CTAATTATTAGGGAAATCAGAAATAGGTTCACAGAGCTCCCCCACCACCCCCTACAACAACGTGTTCCCTGGACAGAGCCCCACGAAATACATCTGCTTTTTAAAGGGGAGAGAGAGCACAGGACTTGTGATCTTACCAACAGAGCCTCCAGCAGAGAGCTGACAGAACTCAAACAGCCCATCAAACACAGGGCAGTCCTCCCCAACGTTAACTAGAGAGGAAAATAAAACAATCAGTAAGGTAAACCCACAAAAAAAGATGCCAAGCTTATACCACCACTCGGATTAGAAAGGCAAAGCGGGTGAGTGACCAACATCAGACAGTTTTTAGGTTCTCAGCTGAACTGCAGTTCTACCCTTGACAAATTTCTGCTGTAACCACTTCCACTATTAAAAATAAAAATAAAAATAAACCAGGAGCAGATTTGTGCCTAATCCAGGGAGACCAAAACCAGGTCCCTGTCACCTTAAAATCACCATTAAAGAGTCTTTCCGTGGGCTGGAGGGGTTAGGACAAGACACCAGCTCACAATAAACCATCCTGACACAAAGCTGCCAGGTATTAACGTGGATCTCAACCCCTTCCAAACTGCCACTGCCCTGAGAACCCTCCAGAGTTCCTGCAGGTTTGGGAGACAACTGAGGAGAAGGGGCTTTTTTTTTTAGCTTGTTTGTTTGATTTGCCCAACTCTTTCCCACCTCTGGTTGAAGATAAGCACAAAATCCATGCAGCTCATGAATGGGGCAGTTCAGCCACCTCTGGCTCCTAAAGCCATCTTTAAAATGACTGATCTACCACAAAAATCAACAGGGAAATGAGGAGAAGAACAACTTCCCGTGGTTCTTCCTGCTCTTTTTTTTTTTTTTACCCCAAACCTCCACGACGGGCCTGGGATTCCCCAGATCCGTGGGGGGTTATTTTGTAACCTTGGCAGGGACCTGCAGCCCCAACTCACATCTCTGCATCTGCTTGCTGTACTCAGACATGTTGTCCGGGCGGATGGACCTCAGGAACTTGATGTAGTCATCGCTGTGGTACTTGGTCATCTCCTCTGCGTTCGCCTTGTGAGGACGCTGCGAGGAAAGAAACCAGAAATGCATCAGCACAACTGTTTAGTTTTTTGGGCTTTTTTGTTTTTTTTTTTAACTTTCCTCTGGCTCATCGACCAGCCTGAAGCTCCACAATTAACACCTGACACGTCGAGCTGTGACCTTTCCCAACTATTTTTCCTGGATGACCAAGCCCCAGGACTCACATAGATCTCCATCTTCCTGTAGAGGCCGTAGTTCAGCAGCAGGTTGTGGGTCATCCGGATCCTGTGGGGTTTCATGGGATGTCCCTGGCCATAATAGTAGTTCCCAACGTCACCTGGGAGCAGAAAAGGGGGTTTGTTACAGCAGGTCATGTGTCATTCATTTGTCCTTCAGAGGGGATGGGGTGACCCCTCTTCTTTGCATGGGGATATCTCCAGGGATCCAGAGAAGTTTATCCTGGACTCAAGTGGAAATTTTGGGTGAGGAGTTTTTAATGCCAGTTCTGGAGAAGGCAATCCAGGCAGAGACTGAGCCACAAACATCACCCTGTGCACGTAGGAGGTGTCCTGCCCGTGGCAGGGCGTTGGAATGAGATCACCTTCAAAGTCCCTTCCACCCCAAATCACTCCACGGTTCTGGGAGCCCCAGGCCTGGACCAGAGGAGTTTTGGGCAGCTGTGCTGACTCAGCACACCAAAACCCCTCACTCTCCAGGACTCCCAGGTTTCCCTGAGCAGGATCCACACGGGCCATGGGAGTTTAATCCCAGCTCAGACAGCGCCTCAGCCCAGGGAACAGCCTCTGCCTCACTTTCTTACTCCTTGTCCCAGTGAAATGAGGCCCAGGGCAGGTACCTCTGCCAGCAGCCCAGCCCTGGTTCGACACCTTCTCAACTCTTTCCACCCTTTTTTTTTTTTTTATTCCTTGAAATCCTCCACAGAAATCCCAGGCCTTCCCAGCCACCCCCAGTGGACACCAGGGCAACAAAGTCACCTTCCTGCAAGTTCATCTCCCCCCAGGGATTTCCTCCTGCCCAGCCAAAGCTGAGCTCACACTTCCCTCCCCCCGCCGCTAAATGGTTGGGTTGTGGTGGGGTTTTTTTTCCCCCCTCCTTCCTTTCCCAGGGAACTCATTTTCCTGAAATGCACAGAAATTTCACTTTCAGATGGGTGCCTCCTGCCTGATTTGGCTGCAGCAGGCACAGATCAAACGCTGCCAGGAGCAGGGGACGCTCAGGCAGCAGCAGGAACATCTCCCCGAGCCTCCTTTTCCTGGGAAACCAGACCGAGTCGTCCGTGGGGTTGTACAACTCCCGATCCCTTCAGGAAGCAGGAGGCTCAATCCAGCCTGGCTGGTGACTCAGTTGGGAGAATTAATATTTCACCACCCAGCTCAACGTTCCTTCCCCACAGCACTGGAGGAGCTTTCCCCTCCCGTGGACGTGGATCCGTTTTCAGCCAAAGGGGATGCAAATGGTGCAGATCCCACGCCTGGAGGACTCTGCTGCTGGAATTTTACCTGGCTCTGGGGCTACAGGGCCTCGTGTTCTTCCAGCACAGCTTCAGAAAGCAGAACTGTTTCCCAGTAAAACACATCTCTTTACTGGAAATAACTCAATTTTCTGAAATCTAGGAAGGTATTTGACCAGGGTAACCATCCCTACAGTCAAACATGTCCCTGAAATTATCCCCAAATCAAGCTCGGGGGAACTTGAGAGGAGATGTTTGAGCCCCTAGATGGAAAATACAACCGCAAAACTTCCTGAAGCTTTTAAAAAAAAAAAATAAATCAGCATCATCTTCACCTCAGGCTGTCAGTGAAATGCCCTGGGCCAACCCTGACCTCCAGAGGCCGTTCCCTCTGCTGGCACATCCCACCAGGAAACCTGTGGAGCCCTGGACGAGTGTCAGAGCAGATTAGGAGGCTGTGGACTCCACAGACACCTCCTCACCTGCTGGAGTTACACAAGTCCCTCCAAAAAACACCCTTTGGACACCAGAGTGCCACTCTGGCACTCTTTGAGAGTTCAAACCAGGCGTTTTAGGGCCCAAAAGCTCCCCCTCCTTGCACTTCTGGAAGGCTGAGTGGTGAAACTGGGCTCGATTTCCCTTCACCCACAGCTCTAATCCTGCCTCTTCCTTGCCCTGCCCTTCCAAAGGCACTGACTCAGTGACCCAGAGCAGGTTGCAAAGCTCACATTTGACTTTTTCAGAGCAGCAAAGCCCCTCCCCACACGCCTGGCACAGCCCCCTTCCACTGGGGCACGGCCACGTAGGGGGAAAAGCAGCTTTTATTTGATTTCAGCCCCAAAACCACAATGAAACAGGAGAATTGCACAACACCCCTCACACCGGGGGAGCAGAGCCTATAAAAAAAAGTGAGCCTGCCCATCCCCAAAGGGGAGGGGGCTGTGAAGGCACAGGGGTGGCAGGATTGGGATTTCTCCCCCAGCCCGTGGGGTGGATGAGGGATCTGGGTAGCCCCCCAACACCCCGTTATTCCCTGCTCCAAAGGGATGCTCTACACACCCCCAAAGCCTCAGGACCAAAGCGAGCCCCTCCACGACCCAGCACCATCCAGAGCCAGAGCTAAGGGATGCTCCTGGCCACGGGAGCTCCCTGCAGACATCCACAGCCTCCCTGGCCCCCAGACCCTTTGGGTTTGGTCCCTCTTGGCACCCTGACCCACATCCCTATTGCCCCCCCCGCCCTCAGAGACCCCGATCTCCCTCCCTGCATCCCCCCCCAGCGACCCCACGACCCCTCCTACCACGTTTCCCAGTGAGCCCCCACCCCAACACTTACCCCTCCAGAGCATCCCCCAATGACCTCCCATCCCCAACCCCTCACCTGCGTCCCCAATACCCCCAGTGACCCCACTGCCCCCAGCGACCCCAAACGCCCTCCCAGTGACCCCATTACCTCGCCAGTCACCCCTTTACCCCCGTGACCCCCATTACCCCCAGTAAACCCCACCCCCCACCCCAGTGACCCCATCACCCCCCGGCGACCCCCACTGCCCCCTCAGCCCCACCCCCATCGCCTCCCTCACCCCTCCTGCCCCCTCTCCTCCCGCCCCTCTGCCCTCACCATCGTAGTAGTAGCAGACTTTGCGCTTCGTCCCCTGCGTCAGCGCCATTTTCCTGCCTCCCTCAGCGCCCGCCGCCGCCGCCGCCCCGCGCACCCAACCCCGCCTGCCGCGGCCCCGCCCCCGGCCGCCCCGCCCAATCGGCGCGCGCCGGCCCCGCCCGCCGGCCAATGGCGAGGCCGCAGCACCGCCCAGCAGGTTAGGCGGTACCTGGGCCGTACCACTGCGGGATGGGGGGGCAGGTGGGGTGAACCATCGGGGGACGGGGATGCGAGCCCCCAAGCAGCGTGCAGCGCCCACCTTAGGGGGAAGCGGAGGGGTCTCAAAGGGGTAAAAGGGGGTCTGGGGAGGTCCAGCAGGTCCGCCCGAGCTGGATTGTCCCATGTGGATGGAGCTGGGGGAGGGTCTCATGGGGGTCAGGAGGGTGTGAGGGGGTCCAGCACCCCCCACCAGGGTGGGTTGGTGAGAGTGGGATTCGTCACTGGTGGGTGTCACCCAGTGGGGTCCATCCCTGGTGGGCATCACCCCCTGCACCCCCTCCCATGGCAGCCTGGCCTCGCTGCTGGAAAGGCCTTTATTTCCCCCAAAATGGGGGAATGTAAATGCCGGGCAGGGGGGAAGAAGAACGAGCATCCCATGGCCAAGGGGTGCCACAGCCATCGCTGTTGGGGGGTTCCTGCCCTCACTTGGTGGGGGTGGACGAGGCGCAGCCAGAGCAGGGTGAGGGGCTGCCAGGCCCCCTTGGCAGCTCCACGTGTGGCTGGAGGCTGGATTTCCACCCTGGAAGAATGTGGTGGGCACCCACTGAGCCCCCCATGCCAGCCCCCCCGCCCTGGGGGTCCACCCTGAGCATCCATCCGCTCCTGAAGGGGGGTGAAATCTGCCTCTCCCAAAGTCTGGAGTGCTCCAAATCTTTACTGCCGAGACCCAGGGGGAGAGTCCACCAACACTGTGATGCTCATGGAGTCTTGTGGGGGGAGTGGTTGCTGCAGGGGAGCGCCCCCAGCACCCTGGCACTGGGCAGGGGGGGTGAGATCCCATGGCCCCTCAGGGCTCCTGCTGGTACTGGCCCTCGGTGGCGGTGAAGAAGTCCTCGAGCACGCTCTTCATGTACTCGAAGGTGGGGCGCTCCTCGGGGTTCTCCTTCCAGCACTGCCTCATCAGCTCGTACAGCTCGGCCGGGCAGTTGTCCGGCTGCGGCATCCGGTACCCCCGCTCCAGGTTCTGGATCACCTCGGGGTTGGTCATCCCTGCCGGGGAGACGCGTGGGGGACTCAGTTTGGGTCACCCCCGTGTCACGGGTACCGCCCTGGGGTTGGTTATCCCTGCCTGGACATCGCACAGAGCTCAGTTTGGGTCACCCCCACATTGTAGGGACCACCCTAGGCTGGTCATCCCTGCCAGGACAATGCACAGGACACAATTGGGGTCACCCCCGTGTCACAGGTACCACCCTGGGGATGATTATCCCTGCCTGGACAATGCACAGGGCTCAGTTTGGGTCACCCTCACATCGTAGGGACCACCCCAGGGCTGGTCACAGGACACAGTTGGGGTCACCCCCATGTCACTCTGGGGTTGGTCATCCCCGCCTGGACACCCACAGGACACCAACTGGGGTCACCCCCACGTCAAAGGCACTACCCCAAACCCCGTGGGGAAGCTTCCACCCCCTTTCCACCTCCTCCTCCAAACGCCCCTCCAAAGGGGTCTTTGGGGGATGTGCCTGGGGAAGGGGGGGTGGTCCCCGGTTGTGGAGGGCAGGGAGCCAGGCTGGGAGCGTGTGTGCGTGCGGGAGTGCATGTCCACACTCGTGGGCGTGCGCTCGCGTGTGCCAGCCCCGCTGCCACGGGAGAGCCTTCCAGCTGCCAGGAAATCCCGACCTGGATACGGGATCCGGCCGTGGGTGACGATCTCGGTGAGCAGGATCCCGAAGGACCACACGTCCGACTTGATGGTGAATGTGCCGTAATTGATGGCCTCCGGCGCCGTCCACTTGATGGGGAATTTAGCCCCTGGAAAAACAGCGGGGAGGGGGAGGGAATAAAGCATCCTGGAAGAGCTGGGATGACCCCTCTGTGTTTAATCTGCCGTGAAACCCCGAGGCAGGCTCAGTCCCTGCCGATGACCTGGGTTTGGTGGCATCCAGCCCCCGATGTCCCCCACCAAAAGCAGGGCTAGGTGGGCAAATGGGGGTCCTGTAACCCCTTCCCCTCACCCCCCCCTCTGAGGGCAGAGAGATGGAGGAGGAAAAAGTGTCCCTGCACCCCCTCCCTGCTCCCGGGGCACTCTGGGGATCCTCCCAGAGGCTGGGGTGGGTGGGGGTCCCTCCCGCCGTGTCCCCCGGGGCAGGGTGGGGTCCCACCCTCTCGAGCCGTGTACTCGTTGTCCTCGATGAGCCGGGCCAGCCCAAAATCGGCGATTTTGCAGCACAGCGCGTCCGAGACGAGGATGTTGGCGGCCCTCAGGTCACGGTGGATGTAGTTCTTGGCCTCGATGAAGGCCATGCCTTCGGAGATCTGTGATTTGGGGGGGAGGGGTGTGTTTGCAATCAACTGCCCCATCTCCCGCTCCCCAAACCCCTCCCAGCCCCATCCCCGTGTCCCCACCCCCCTCACCTGCGCAGCCATGTCCAGGAGCTTGTTGATGCTGAGCTTGACTCCTTCCGAGGTCTTGAGGAAGTCCACGAGGCTGCCTGCAGGGAGGGCAGCTGTGTCTGAGCACCAGAACACACGCACTGCCCCCCTCCCCAGCACCTCGGGGTTGTGAGGTGTGTGGGGGTGTCACCAGGGCACTGTCACCCACTGCAACCCAAAATGCGGGGCTGGGAAGCTCACGGTGCCCCAGGAAGGTGGGCAGGGGACAGAGGGCAGGAGAACACCCCTCCTGCAGGGTCCTCCTCCCCTCCTTCATCCCTGAGACAACACAAAGAGACAGGGATGCCAAAAGTGGCCCGAGGCACATGAACCGGCACAAACAGCTGGATGGAACAGCCAAGAGCTGAAAGAGGGGGACTTTTGGATCTGCCCAGGGAGGTGGTGGAGTCCCCACCCCTGGAGGTGTCCCAGGAAGGCCTGGCCGTGGCACTGGGCTGGGGGAGCGGGCACAGGCCTGGATTTGGATCTCACAGGAGTTTTCCAGCCTAAATGACCCTGTGGCTGTGTGACCACGTCCCTCCACAGCTCCCCCACCCCCCAAGGGGTCTCACCCTTCTCCATGTACTCGGTGATGATGTAGATGGGCTCCTTGGTGACCACGGCGTAGAGCCGCACCAGCCGCGGGTGCTGCAGGTTCTTCATGAGGTTGGCCTCGGCCAGGAAGGCGCTGGGGGACATGCTGCCCGCCTTCAGGCTCTTCACAGCCACCTTCGTGTGCCCGTTGTAGAAGCCTAAGGAGAGCCGGGAGGAGCGGGATGGGGAGAGGGACACGCCCATGTCCCCCGGGGAGTGGGGGCTGCTCCCTGGGTCTGGAGCATCCCAAGCCAAGGCTGCATGAGGAATAGAGGATGGAGGTTGCAAAGGTCGAGTGGGAGGCTGTAAAGCTGGGCTTGAAGAGGAACTCCCCACTGCTCCCAGAATTCCAGGCAGAGCCACAGCAAGGGACATTTCCCAAGTGGGGGCCAAAGCCAGCAGCTGCTCCCATGGTGAGCAGAGCCCAGCTCCACGGGGACAGGACCCCTGTCATTCCATCCTGGCAGTGGAACAGGGATAAGGGTGGCTGGGATGGGAGAGGGGGAAGCTTGAGCTGCTCTGGGTGTTCCAGAAGGATTCCCCCTTCTTCCAGGACTCCCGTGGAAAGTCATGGGTCCCACGCCTGGGGCTGTGCTGGCTGCTCCAGGAGGGATCCCAGCTGGATCCCTCCCATCCTGAGGACGCCACGGGGAGGCCCAGCAGGCTCTGCCCATGCTGGACCCTCAGCCAGGAAGAAGAGCCCCAGTTTCACCCTGACTCACTCACCCATCCAGACCTCTCCGAACTGCCCCGCTCCCAGCTTCTCCACCAGCTTCAGAGACTCCCTGGGCACCTCCCACTCGTCCTGCCACCACGGCTTCTGCGGCTTCTGCGTCCGGCAGGGCTTGCCCAGGCGGGTGCAGAGCCCGTCAGAGCTGCCTGGGGTTGGGGGGAGGCACAGGGTGGAGGGTCAGGGCAGGCAGGGGCACTGGGAGCCGGGCACAGGCCAATGGCTTGGCTGGGGCACGTGGAGCAGCGTGTCCTGCTCATCCCATCTTACCCCATTCCATCCCATCCCACCCCATCCCATCCCATCCCATCCCATCCCATCCCATCCCATCCCATCCCACCCCATCCCATCCCCACCCTGTTCCCACCCCCCCAGGCCGTCCCATACGCGTGTAGTGCTGCACCAGCTCCCTGAGGCTGCCGAAGGCGATGCGGGGGGAGATGTAGAAGCCGCCGTTGTCCATGTTGCGGATCTTGTAGTGCTTCACCGTCTCTCCCTGGGCCTCGTCCAGGTCCCGCACGGACAGCGAGTACGAGCCTGGGGGCACGGGCACCACGTGGGACCCCCACACCCCTCCCAGGGCGCTTCCCAGGGCGTGTCCTGGTGCGGGAAGGTACCTTTGGAGGTCTCGCTCTCGCGGATGAGGAAGGAGCCGTGCGTGTTGCCCGACGCCAGGAGCTGCCGCTCGGCGTCCTTGCGGCTGATGTTCTTGAAGAACCACCTGGGCACACAGGGATGGTGGATGGAGGGTGGGGTTCAGGTTGTGCCTTCACCCACCAGCACTTCTGGGAGTGCTCCTGGCTCCGTCCCCCTCTGCCAGGACGCAGCTCCCGCTCCATCCCTACTCACGGCTCGGGCTCCAGGCTGTTCACCAAGGCCACGAAGTTGTAGGGGATCAATCCCTCCTGGCCGGTGGTGAGCGACTGTGCCTTCCACCACTCCCCATTCCTGCAAGGACACAGCGAGGTGAGACACCACCCCCACACACACACAGCTGCCAGGACCCTGCACAGCCCCCCCTGGCAGCGCAGGAGCGGCGGGGCCGTGCCGGGGTCGGTGCTGGGACGCGGTCGGTGATCGCTCACTCCTGCAGCACGCGGAGCTTCTCTCCCTTCCGCAGCCCCAGGTCCCCGTCGTGCTTGGGCTCGTAGTTGTACAGGGCCACCACCAGCTTATCTGGGAGGACAAGGGAGGGGCAGGGTGGCAGTGGCCCCTTTGGGGGGTGTTCCCCCCGCTGTGGCCAGGCCTCACCTTGCATGGGGGAGCACGGCGGGGACGTGGACTCGTAGGACACCAGGGGGTCTTGCACCTCGGAGCCGACGCAGATCAGCCTCTGCCAGGGATGAGGAGCCCCCTGAGCCCTCGCCTTCCAGGGGGTTTGGCCACCCCATGGCCACCTCCAGAGGCGTCTGGCCACCAGGATGGGGGGCTCTCACCCCATCCTCACCTGGCTCTTGCTGTTGGGCTCGATGGGGTAGTTGCAGTGCTCACAGATGTCGATGTTCTCGATCCAGTCCTCGTCATAGTCTGAGCTGCAGCAGCAGCCCATGGTGCCTGGAAGGGGCAAGGGTGGTGAGGGGAGCCTTCACACCCCCAGCCTCCCCCTCTCCTCCTGCTCCAGCCCATTCCCATCCCTGCATCCATCCGTCTGGCTTCCCACAGGGCATGGCCCGTCCTGCACACCCCTCAGCTCAACTGGGGACATCCCCTGGCTCTCTCTCACCAGCCCTTATTTCCTCCTAATTTATCCTGGCCCCGTTAATTAAAACCACTGAAGGTAATTAGACCCTCAGCTACATTCACCCCTGTTTCTCCTGCATCAGGGATGTCCTCAACTCCCCCACGCCTGCTCTGGGGCCCCTCATCCTCTGCAGCTCACCCTGAAACATCCAGGGGGATGTTCCTGCCCAATCTCAAGGAGCAGCCCTGGTGACACAGAGTCAGCGTGGGGCTGTCCCCAGTGTCCCTGGCACTAATGTCACGAGTGCCACAAGGGCTCTGCAAAGCACCCAGGCACCTCTGGCCTTCCCAAGAATGCTGATCATGGCAGAAAACCCCCACAGTTTGGGAGCCCTGCGGTGCCTCGTGTGGAAAGGGCGGCCCACGGGCCCCGGAAAAAGCTCTTCCGCAGAATCCCCCACGCCCACACGGCCGGGATTTGTCTCCACCAAGACCTGGCCTCCAAACCCTGCTCTCCAGGCCCGGCTCTGGGGGCTCTTTGGGAGCCCTGGCGTGGTTTTTCCACGGGCTCTGGGAGCCCCGAGTCACCACGAGCCAGCCTGGGTGTGCCTGTCCCAGCCCGGCAGCCGTGAGTGGTGCGGCTGGGAGGGTCCCCATCCTCTCCTGGTGCCCTGCTGGGCCCTGGGAGATGCTTTTCCAGGAGACAGACCGGCTGCTGGCACTGCTGGCACCACTTTGGCCTCGGTTTCCAGCCACTGCACAAGCAGGAGCTCCCTCCCTTGTGCCCAAGGGTCAGCGGGGTCACAGGGACCATCCCCACGGTGCCACCTCGGGGTGCCCACCACCAAATGGAACAGGGGACTGGCAATTTTGGTGAGCGGAACACAGATGAGTGACCCCCCCCCCCCCAGCCATGCTGTACAACACTGCTGAAAACCACCCTGATGCCTTCTGGGGACTCGCTCTGGCACCCAAAAAAGGAGCAGGCAGGGCCACAATGATGCCCAGCACCACCCTGGCCCTGCAGAGGAGAAGCCCCCAACACCCCCCAGAGCTCCCCACAGCCCTTCAGGCACCTTTACCCCGAGCAAGCAGTGCCAGGAGGTGTTTTTTCCTCCCTGCAGGGAGCCGGGGTGGGGAGGGAGGTGCTGCTATTGTGCCTTTTCTCTTACAGCCCCAAGCCACAGCGTAATTTCCACCGAGCAGCCGTTTCACCTGGGCCACGCCGCGGGGTAAGGGGGGGTGGGGGGGAGAAAAAAAGGGGCGTTTGAAGTTGGTTTTTGGCAACTGCATCTGTGCAAACCGAATTTCTGCTGCGAAGGTGCCTGGGAGGGACGTGTAGGCGCCCCTGCCCTGTGTTCAGTGCGTCCCCCAAGAGGCATCTGTGCGTCCTGCTGTGCTCCTGTCTTAATTTTTGCTCTGGGGTGTGTTTGGACCCCCCCATCTCCCTGCCCTGAGCCGGCCCTTCCTCTCTGGCCGGGTGGGGTTGGTTTGTTCACGGCTATGGGCGGGCGTGGGAAGCGCTGAAGGCCGGGCTGACCCATCCCTGATGCTCTTTAGGGCTCACCAGAGTGTCCCCCAAGCCAGCTGTGACACACTGGGTGTCCATCCCTACGCTGGGTGTCCATCCCTGCGCTGGTTCAGCCTCCCAGCCACACCAAGGACCCCGGCCCCGAAGCAGCAGGAGGGTCTTTGCGCCAAGGCAGCACCAAAAACGGGTTTATCTCAACGCCTGAACCCCCAAACTGGGCAGCAAACCCAGCACTGAGCTGCTGCCTGTCCCTACACCGCTCTCACCCACAGCCCTGGGGACACAACTCCCGCTCTGCCCTGGAAAGGGGGACTGGGAAGAGCCCTGTGAGGAGACCCTGGAACAACGACTTTCAGCCCAGCTGGGAGGGCACAGAGGAGTGGGGAGCACAGGCTGACTCCCCCCATCCCTCACCCAGGCGCTCACACCCCCCCATCGCTGCAAGCCCAAACCCCTGTTTGACCCCTCCGAGGGAGCACAGCAGGCCCCTCAATTTCAGGGTGGTCCCCACCTCCCACCTGGGTGGCTCACATCCTGCTCCCCCCAGCCCTTACCTGCTGGCAGGGAGGTGATGCCCGGCCTCCCTCAGACCCCCACGCCCCGGCGGCGTTCCCGGCTCCCTCCTCACGTCCTGCCCATCCCGCCGGGGGCGCGGGGACCCTGCGGGGCACAGCTCGGAGCCCCCCCAGGCCTCGGGCTGTGCTCCCCTGGGCTCTCGCTCCTGCTCCCGCTCCCGCCTGCCCCTGTTTCCTGCCTCATGAGCAAACCCTCGAACAGCTCGTTCGCAGCTCGCGCCCCGACCGCAAGAGCGAGTGACAAACCCCGAGGGCTTCCTGCCAGCCCCGCCACGAGGGTCCCAGCGCTGGCTGCCCCCTCACCCAGGGCGTGCCGAGACCCTCAGTGGGGACAGCGGGGTCACACGGGGTGGGAGAAGGGTCAGAGACAGGCAGGGGGTTTGTCCCCTGCTGCCAGAGCCCCCCTGTGCTGTCCCCTCTGCAGGGCTCAGGTTGGCAGTGCCCTGCACCCGCTGCTTTTGATCCCACCTCACCCTGTACCCGTTGTAGGGCTTGTGGTGCGCCCCAAAACCCCTTTTTGGCCACCACCGCTGTGTCAGCACAGAGTGTGGCGCCCGGCCAGCCACGTGGGCAGGGGCTGAAGGCGAGGGGACACTCGGTGCCCCTGCCAGGCTGCCAGCCCTGTGTTTTGGAGACAGCTCAGAGCAGAGCAACCACAACACCATTGTCTTGGCTTCTGAGATCAAACACGAAGCCGCAGGTACCAGCTCAGTGAGGCACAGGAAGCCCAGCTGTGTCGGGAGACAGGGGGGCCTGTGGGAGCCTGAGGGGCACAAAACGATCCCTGGGTTACCCTATAGCTTCCCTGGGTCGCCCCACGTTGTCCCTGGCACTGTTTGTACAAAGTGCTCTGTGAAAGTCACATCCCCAAGTGGCACCTTGTGCTGTCACCCCCCCCACACACCCCCCAGTCGCCACAGCAAAAGTCCTGGAACCACATCTACAGGTGTAAAAAAACATCAGCCCTCACCTTCACCTCCTTTTATTCCACCTCAGAGGGCTGCTCCCAACATCTTCCACCGTGCTTGACCCCACCATCCTTAGGGACAGGCCCCCAGAACGCCCTGTGCCCCATGGGGGTGGTGGCATTTCCCCTGGCACAGGTTTTGGCAGCACCATGGCTCAGCTCTGCCTGCCCCGAGCCCTGAGGGATTTTGGGAGTGACCCTCGAGCCCTGCCAGGTCCAGATGCACCCGTGAGTTCCTTCAGGGCTCCCACCCGGCCCCCAGGGGAGGGATCAGCAGAGGGAGAAGCGGCGGGAGTTGATGTTCATGCGGGTGACCCCGATGTGCTTGAGGGGCGTGGAGAGCAGGAAGGCGGCCTTGGGGGGGATGTTGCAGAGCAGGTCCGAGTCTTCCTCGCAGCCCTCGAGGCCGAAGGTGGCGTCGTCCAGCATCTCCTTGTGCTGGTGACAGGCCTGCTCCACCTTCAGCCGGTGCAGCCGCGCCCGCAGCCGCATCAGCTGCTGCGCCAGGCGCTGGTCCGCAGCCTGCATCTCCCTCTGGAGGGGAGACCGGAGTCAGGGTGCAGCGGGATCACCCCCTGGATCGGCTGCCTGGGCAGCAGGGATGGGGCTTGGCCAGGGCACAAACCCAGCAGGGCCCACGCTGGGGCAGCGCAGAGCCCACACGTGTGGTGGGCACAGGTGGCTGGTGCCCGTGGGTTTGTGCCCACATGGCTGGTTGCTGCCTTAGGGACAGGCCCCCGGGTGCCCCCAAACCCCCTGTGCCCCATGGGGGTGGTGGCATTTCCCGTGGCACTGCCCCTGGAGCAGGGCTGGCAGCACCACGGCTCAGCCCCGCCTGCCCCGAGCCCCGAGGGATTTTGGATGCGTGAGGTCGGGCACGGGGGGAGCCCTGTGGTCCCAGCTCACCCCTCATCCCACTGCCAGCTACTCACCAGCTCCGTCCTGAGCCACTCCAGAGCCGCCTCCATGCTGGCAAAGCCACAGACGCCACCACCCAGCTGGTCCTCGGGGTGCCCAGGGCCCTGCTCAGCCCCCCGGGTTCCCCCCGAGGCCCGGGTGCCCCAGCGCTGCCCCCTCACCCGGGCCTCCCACTCCAGGTACGAGGGTCTGCGGGTCTGCAGCTTCAGCTTGGCCGTCAGAGCCTTCACGCTGTCCAGGTTCTCCTCCTCCCACGTGGGCTCCTCCTCGCCCAGCTCCTTGAACTTCAGCTGGCTGAGGGCCATGGTGGGACCCCCCACAGCCCCCCAAAACCCCTTGGGTGACCTCTGCCCACTCAACAACCCCCCTCACCCAGTAGAAATGAAGCCTCTACCCTGGCCACGACCATCCAACCACCCACTCCCTCACTGCCCCAGCTGTGCCCGATTCCCAGCTATTTATCCATCCCCCCGAGGACAATTCCGATGGGCAGGAATTTCCTTATCCAGAGGAGTGCAAAGGAGGAAGGGTTTTTTTTTGGGTTTATTCGATGTTGTTGTGGTTTTTTTGGGGTTTTTTTGTTGTTGTTGTTTTCCTTTTCGTTTTTAGCATCATTGTCTCCGGCTGGGAGGAGACTCCCCGTTCCCGGACGAAGCCTTCACCGGGCACGGAGGAGCGGGAATGATTTATCCCCGGGCGCAGCCGCCCCCCCCGCACGCGGGAGGGGGGGCCCAAAAAAAGCCCAAGGAAGGAAAAAGAAACCGGGGGGGCACAAGGGGCAGCCGGGGTCCCGCACGCGGACGGGACGTTAAGGTGGAACCGCGTCGGGATCTGCCCTCTTCCTCCTCCTCCCTGCCCAGGGGGGCTCCAGGGGCAGCAGCGCTGGGGCCCGGGTCTCACCTGTGCCCCACGGGTCTCACTTGCCCCGCGGACTCCCACCCCAGACCCCTTGGGCGCCCCCAGACTGCCCCCCAAATTCCACGCGTGCCTCGCCCGTGCTGCGAGCGAGCCCCCGCGGTCCCTCGCGTGTCCCTCCCGCGACCCCGCGCGTGTCCCCTCGCTCCCGCACCCCTTGCCCAGCCCACCCCGGGAGCCCCCCAGCCCCGGGGGCAGCGCCCCGTCCCTCCGGACCGGGCCACCTTAAACCCGACATCCGCCGCCCCGGCCGGGCCGTGCGGGCATCGCCGCTCCCCCCGCTTCCACCCCGAGCTCCCCGCGTGCACCCCGAGGTCCCTCCTTCCCCCCCGAGCTCCCCCTCTTGAGCCCCCAGATCCCCCTTTTACCCTAACCAGAAATTGTTTCCCCCCGCCCCGCTTGCCCCCTAAGCTCCTCTGCTTATGTCTGTTGGCACTCTGGGGTCCCCCATTTGCACCCCGGGGTCCCTGGTGCCACCCCACAGCCTCTTATTGCGCCCTGAGATTCTTCCTTGCCCCCCACGGTCCCCAGCTCATGCCCAGGGGTTCCCCGCGGCCACTCCGAGGTCCCCTGCCTGCACCCCACTGTCCTCCCACTTGCACCCTGAGGTCCCTGCTTGCCACCCGAGGTCCTCCCCTGTCCCCCCAGCCCGAGCAGGTAAGCAGAGGGGGTGGCAGGGGCACTGCCAGGTGCCCACCCTGCTCCTCCTCCTCACCCAGCAGCTCCTGCCCCTCCCCAGGCCCAGGGGGGGACACTGAGGGCACAGGGGCTCTGGCAGCCGGGTCCAGGGGGGGCTGGTACCGGGGTGGCAGGGAAGGACCTGGAGCTGCTCCCTGCATTCCCATTTCCCCAAAATCCCCTCCCTGACGCACAGCCGGGATACCCGGCTTGGGGTGGGAGCCTGGGGCCAGCTCAGCAACCCCCTGCCCCGTGCCTCAGTTTCCCCGGGGAAGAAACGTCCCCCTGGCTGCGTTTGGCAGCTCCGTCCGCTGTAGGTGACAATGCAAACACCCCGAGGGGGTGAGGCCGTGACGCAGAGGGAAGAAGGGGTTTCCAGCCGGGCCCGTGCGCCGCAGGATTTCCCCTTTCTCCCTTCCCCAGTCCCCGCGCCGGGCAGAGCCGGCCATGGAGTTCTCGGAGCTGATCAAGACGGCGACGGTGGAGAACGTGCTGCTGTCGTGCGCGGGGCTGCCGGCGGTGCGGGGCACCCTGTGCATCACCAGCCACCACCTGCTCCTCTCCTCCTGCCCCGGCGGGGACGTGGAGCTCTGGCTGCTCATCCGCAACGTGGACGCCGTGGAGAAGAGGTGGGTGTGCTGGTCTCCCCCTCCGCCTCCACGCCCCGCGGCCGCCCCGCGCTCCCTCCCAGCCCTGTCACCCCTTCCCGAGCTGGAGGTGTCCCGAGCAGAGCACGGCCACCCCTGGGTGCTGCCCGCCGAGCCTTGTCCTTCCTCTTCCTCGCGGCCCGGCGCGGCAGCAGCGGGCACTGACCTCCTGTTCTCCCCAGAGTGCAGAATTTAGGCTGGTACCAGCCCCCCCGGACTAACGGCTCCGCCCGGGACACCAGGTTTGGCTTTGAACGCTCCCTTGGCTCTGCCAACCACCGCGGCGCCCACCCCGCCCCGTCCAGGGCAGGGAGACCGTGGAAATCCCGGCTCCGGGGGCAGACGAGAGCCAGAGATTTGGCAACCACACCAGCACAGCCCTTGGGGGAGAGGGCAGCTCAGCACTGTCTGTGTGTGCACGGACCCCCGGCCAGCCCTGACCCCCCCTCCTGCCTCCCCCAGGCTCGCCGGCTCCTCCGGCACCATCACGCTCCGGTGCAAAGACCTGAAGGTGCTGCAGCTGGAGATCCCGGGCATGGAGGAGTGTCTGAACATCGCCAGCTCCATCGAGGTGAGCCCCGGGCAGCAAAGGGTTGGCAGGGGGAAAAGCGGCCCCGCCGTGTTTGCTCTTCTGTGTCTGTCACTCGCTGGGTAAATAAGCACTCAGCTCCGGCAGCGCTGGCACCGGGTGCCCCGGCCCTCGCCTCGTGCTGGGACGTGGCCAGGAGCAGGGAACAGCCATGGGGTTTGCAGAGCCCTGGGGACATTCCCAGCCCCGCTCCCTGCCCCGTGACCAGCGCCGCCTTCGCTCCCGCTGCAGGCCCTCTCCTCGGTGGACTCGGTGATGATGATGTACCCGTTCTTCTACAGACCCCCGAGCCTGAAGCTCGAGGAAGGATGGCACCGGTTCCCCCTCGAGCTGTACTTCCAACAGATCTCCTCGCAGGTGAGGCTGGAAGAGGGGAGAGACCCGACTGCCCCCACCCGCGCCGGTGCTCCGCCTGACCCCGTTGTGTCCCCCAGACGAGCCAGTGGCGGCTGAGCAGCGTCAACCAGGACTTCAGCACCTGCCCCACGTACCCTCCGGCCGTGATTGTGCCGGCGGCCGTGGGTGACGAGGCCCTGAGAAAGGCTGCCCGGTTCCGGCAGGGCGGGAGGTTCCCAGTCCTCAGCTACTTCCACCCCAAAAACCGCACCGTGAGTCCACCCCGCCCCCCTCGTCCCCTCTCCCACCACCGCCAGCCCTCTGGGAAGGGTGGTTGAAGCCCCCCCCCAGGCTGTGGGGTCCCCCCAGTGCCCCCCATCTCTCACCCTGCAGGCGATGCTCCGCAGCAGCCAACCCCTGACGGGGCCCAACCGCAGGCGGTGCCGCGAGGACGAGACCCTGCTGGGGACGATCCTGGACGAGGGCGAGAGGGGCTTCATCATCGACACGCGCTCTGCCCAGGCAGCAAAGCAGGCTCGCATGACCGGGGGAGGCACAGAGCCCAAATCCTCCTACCCACAGTGGAGGAGGCTGCACCGGCCCCTGGAGAGGTGAGGGCTGTGCTGAGCCCTGGCGCTCTCGTGACACGGGTGACTGCGCTGCCTGGCGTGACGTGGGGGGCTCCACCCCCACCAAAGAGTCCCCGAGCCCCCAGCACCTCTCTCCCCGCTCCCAGGGGCCGCCCGCTGCAGGAGAGCTTCTCCAAGCTGGTGGAAGCCTGCAGTGACCCCTCCCTGAGCATGGACCGGTGGCTGGGCCGGCTGGAGAGCAGCCGCTGGCTCAGCCACGTCAAGGCAGCCCTGAGCACGGCCTGCCTGGCTGCCCAGTGCATGGACAGGTAAGGGGGCCTCACCCCAAAGCCCCCCCAGCCCTTTCCCCCAGCTCCCAGCGTGGCACAAAATCCCAGCACCGTCCTGGGTTGATCCCGACAGGGAGGAGGCCAAGGTGCTGGTGCACGGGGCGGAGGGGACGGACACGACGCTGCTGGTGACAGCGCTGGCCCAGGTGATCCTGGACCCGTCCTGCCGCACCCTGGCGGGATTCCAGGGGCTGCTGGAGCGGGAGTGGATCCAGGTGAGAGCGGCAGCTCCGAGGGGGGATGGGGATTCCAGCCTAGCTGGGCACCCTCACCCCCAAATCCCCCGCAGGCCGGACACCCCTTCCACCTCCGCTGCGCCCGCTCCGCCTATTCCCACGCGCGGCTGAAGCAGGAGGCACCGCTCTTCCTGCTCTTCCTGGACTGTGTGTGGCAGCTGAGCCGCCAGTTCCCCTTCTCCCTGGAATTCGGGGAGCAGCTCCTCCTCTCCCTCTTCGACAACGCCTACTCCTCGGCCTACGGCACCTTCCTCTGCAACAACGAGAAGGAGAGGTGAGAGGGGTGGGGACAGCGCTGTCCCCCAGGAGCGATTCCAGCAGATCCCCTCCTGGTCAGGGTTTGGGTCCCAGCAAACCCCACGAGCCCTGGCAGGGACCGAAACGCATCCCCCGTGTCCCACAGGAGCCTGTGCAAGGTGAAGGAGAGCACACACTCGCTCTGGGCCTGGCTGAACCGGCCTGAGGAGCAGCGGAAGCTCCTGAACCCTCTCTACTCACACAACGCCCTGGTGATCTGGCCCTCCGTGGAGCCCCAGAGCATCCAGCTCTGGCAGGGTGAGCGGGATCCTCCCAAAATCCATCCCCAGCCCTGAGCTGGGCCGGCTGAGGGGAAGCTGCTCTGCCTTTCTGACAGGGCTGAAATAACACCCAGCCCCTTCTCTCCCAGGTTTATTCCTCCGTTGGATCCGTCCATCCCAGCACCTGGATGAGGCCTGGGCAGAGATCCAGCGGTTGGTTGAGGAAAACCACGCCCCTGTCAAGGAGAGCACAGGGAACAGGCTGAGCCAGTCCCTGTCTGACCCCACTGCTGGGCTGGAGAACAGGAGATGAAGGGCAGCACGGGCAGTTCAGTGCCACAGGATCCCAGGACAAGGCAACACTGGAGCTTCCCTGTGGGAAGTGCTGTGCTGGACACAGACCCCACTGACAGCTCTGAGAGGAACAGAACCCCCCCTTTCCCAGCCTTTGGGCTGCCCAGACTGAGCTTGTTTCAGTAAAGCCTCTCTCCCAGCCCACACCTGCATTCCGCTCTTCCATGGGGGCAGGAGGAAGCTGCTCCTTCCCAGTGGGATTCAGGCAGCGCCTGTGGATGGCTGTGGAGCAGGACATCAACCTGCCTGCCCACCAGGCACAGCCAAACCAGCAGCTCACACCAAACCAACACCCTCTCCACAGAAGGCACGGAGGCTGCAGCCTCAGCGTTGCATCAGCTGAGCTGGGAATTCTGCCCTTGAACCCAGATTTGAGGCAGGAAAGACAAACAAGCCACCCCTCCCCATACAGGCAGGGTGAGAGAGGGGGGAAGGATGAGGAGCACGAGCTGCTAGAGCAGGAAATAACTGTTCCATGAGGAAAGCTGGCCCAGGGTCAGCCCAGCAGATAAACAAAGCGGCCGGGCCGGGCGCGTGCGTGTCAGCTGGAAAACAATTCCTGGCTGCTGCACTTCCAGCCTCTTCACACTTCAGGGCTGGACCTGAGGCTCTGGGTCACTCCCTGGGAAGGAGGGAAGCCAGGATGGGCAGAGGTCCCAGGAGGAGCAGCACTGTCTGTCTGCCCATGGGTGTGGAGCAAGGCACTGGCAACAGAGCCAGGAAAACAAAGTCCTTGGGTTAACTGAGGGAAAAAAAAAACAACCAAAAAACCCCAGAGGTGCTTTTCCTTGTGTTTAGAAAAGATTTCTATTTATTTCCTGATGACTTTTTCCCTCCCCTGATGTATAAATATGCCCAGCAGGCAGGAAGCCCCCGGGGCAGGCAGGCAGCCAACCCAGCTGCCTTCCCACAAAAGCCATTCCTGCCCTTCGGAGCTGGCTGAGTTTCCACTTCCCCACCTTCACACAACCCCCAAAACGCAGCAGGAGAACTTCAGGCCTTACAACAGCCCCACGACAGAGCTGATGGGCTGACTGGGCAAGGGGTTGGAGGAGAAAGAGGAGGAGGAGAGGAGAGGGAAATCCTCCTTCAGGCTTCAAACTCGAACTCGAAGTACTGGGGATCGAAGTAGTGGATGCGGACGTAGCCATCCTCACCCCCACTGCTGTAACTGCAGGGAGGAAAGGGACAGTCAGGAATGCTGCAGGAGCAACCAGGGGCAGGTCTGGCCTCACAACCCCCTCCTGGAACTCACACAGGGGTCACAAGGCAAAGAAAGGATCAGGGAGGCAGCCAAAGTGTTTAAGTGACTATCCAGGCTGGCCTGAGGGGAGGCTGCAATGGGAGGATTAAGGTGCTGGTTCTGCTCCCACCACAAGGATCCTGAAGGTCCAGACACACCCCAACTAAAAAGTGGGATTGGCTGGGCTGGGCCACCCTGCAAGACCCCCAGAGAGCCTCACCTCTTCCCGTCGGGGTGAAAGGCGACGCTGTTGATGGGACCGAAGTGACCCTTCACTCTGCCAAACTCCTCCTCAAAGGCCAAGTGGAAGAACCTGGGAGAAGGAAGGGGATTTACATTGTTACAAGGAGTTGGAAGTGGCACAGCCAGGGATTCCTCCAACAAGCTCTGCATGTTCAAGGACTCCTCCAGAAGAAGGGAGCGCTCCAGGTGAGGGAAGGGACCTGCCTGGCCTCAAATTTGCCAATCCTGGTGGAGGTTGTGGTCACATCCATGGCCTCCTGCCCACCACCAAGCACGACCTGCAAAGGAGAGAAGCCACCACCCCTCAGTGCTGCTTGTCCCACACTCGGGGGCAGCTGGGGGAGGAGGGGGCAGAGCCCCTGGGGAATCCCAGAAGTTGGAAACAGGAGGGCACAAAGCCTCGTTCCCTGTGCCAGAGCCAGCAAAACTCCCCAGCCCCACTGCACAGTCCTGGTGTTCAGCTGGGCTGGGGACACCCACGCTGGTGACACAACCCAGGGGTCACAGTGGGAGGGTGACACTGGGGGAGCTCATCCTTACGTGGTCGAAGATGGGGGACAGGGCGGCCGAGTTCACCGGTCGCTCCGTCCGGAACGTCTTCAGGTGCTCCAGGGATGTGCAGTCAAAGAGCTGCGAGGCAAAAGGCAGAGAGTTCCTTAATTAACCCACACCAATCCACCTGCTGGGCCTCACCTGGGCGGGTGCAGTCACTCCTGGACACTCAAACCCCAAAAGTTATTTCCCCATAATGCCAAAATACCGGCCTAAGGTAAACCTGAGCTTCCAAGCTGCCAACATATTCTAGGAAATGCCAAAAACACTCTGGAAACACCAAAATAATTTCATTTTCAATGCCTGGCTGATAATTTCACATGCTGGCACCTCCCCTTTCTCACTGAGCTTTCCTACTGAGCTTTGCCTTTCCACTTCCTCAAAATCCCTGAGGAGGAAAAAAACAACCTGATAAGCTCTGAGGAGAGGTCCTGCCAGGAAATACCCAGTGCTGATGGAAAACCTCACCTTGGCCGTGTTGTCCTTGGAGGCTGTGATGAACATGGTCATGTCCCTGGAAGTCTGGATGTCGTTGATCTGCTTGGTGTGCTCCTTGATGTTTGACAGCTGCTCCCCTGACTTGAGGGGGAAGAGGCAGTTTCAGGGAGCTGGGAAGCGACCTCCTCATTAAAAACAATTTAGGAGGTCATGGAATGGCATCCTGGAATGGCGTGGCTTGGGAGTTATCATCTCACTCCACCTCAGCAGTCGGCACATCCGCCTCGCTCGGGGGAGCCCCAAATCTGAACCGCCCTTCCATGGGGCTGCTGTTTGGAACCCCCAAAATCCTAGAGTTTGTATCCCTGAACCCCACAGGAACGCCGTGAACTCCTTTTCACCCCCCAACCCCCCCCCAGGCCCCTGACCTTGGCACTGAACTGGTTGAGCTCCCCGCTCTCGTGGCCCGCGATGATGAACTCGCCGAGCGGGCCCCACACGGCACTCGTGATCTTGGAGTCGCTGCAGGGGATCTTCATGTAGGGCTCGTTGTTCTCTGAGGGGGGGGGACAGACACACAGAGAGGTGGGACAGACACACAGACAGGTGGGACAGACACACACAGCCCCGGGGAGGGCCCCTCACCGATCTGGGCGGGGTCCCGCAGGTCGAAGAAGCTGACGAAGCACTGGTAGCCCATCTGCTTGTCCGTGGAGAACATGATGATGTTGCCCCCAAAGTCGAAGCCGCAGGTCCTGACGGCAGAGCTGGTCTTCACCAGGGCCAGCTGCTTCCCTGGGGGGGACACAGGGACCTCAGGGGGCTGGGGGGGACGTTATGGGGGCAGGCAGGGGGTGGCAGGAGGGTCAGGGCATCCCTGACTCAGGATCACTTGTGAGTCACACACCACCAGACCTTGAGGGGGGCTTTTCCAAGCTTAATCATGGAATAGCAGGGTGCTTTGGGTGGGAAGGGACTTTATGGACCAGCCAGTTCCACTCCTTTCCTGCAGGGGCACCTGCCACTCGCCCAGGATGCTCCAGCCTGGCCTGGGACGCTTCCAGGGAGGTGGGGCAGCCACAGCTGCTCTGGGAAATCCATTCTTCCAACATCCCACCTAAATCTCCTCTTTCCCAGCTCAAAGCCACTCCCCCTCGTCCTGTCCCTCCCTCCCTTGTCCCAGGTCCCTCTCCAGACTGGAAGGCTCTCCGGGGTCTCCTCCCCAGGCCCAACAGCCTCCCCACGGCCCCTGGAGCTGCCCCATCCCCGTGGATGCCCCGCAGGGATTCGAGAAGGGCCTCACCTGTCTCGCAGTCCCAGAGCCGGCAGCTGTTGTCGGCAGAGCCCGTCAGCACGTGCCGGGTGTCCCCTGGGTGTCACCGGTCAGGGAAGGGCAGCCCCGAGCTCTGCTGGCCCAGCCACCCCCCCAGCACTGACACCCCCCCATTCCAGGGAAAACACAGGGAATATGGGGAAAATACAGAGAGGATTTTAACAGGGAAGGTGTCGAGGCCAAAGTAAGAGGTAGGAAGGATCTCAGAGACGGGAATATGGAATATATAAATTTATATATGATACGGAATATATATATTTATGTATAATATGGAATATATATTTATATATACACATAAATTTTTTTAATCTATATAAGTCCCATAAATATAAATTCCCAATTCCATATATATAAATTCCATATCTATATTCAATATAGATACATAAACATGCATGCAATGTTCAAGAGCTGAAGGCCAAGGGTAAAGCAGCAGGAAGGATCGATCCCAGGGGCAGTTCGATGGGATGAATCCCCGGGGCTAAAATACGGGATCAACCCGGTCTTCCCTGGGGGATTGAAAAGGATACAGTCGGCATCCACACACCACACGGCCCCCGTGTGCCCATTGTAGGTGCCCAGCCGCTCGCCGTTCACCGAGTACCACACGTTGACGATCTGCGAGGCGGATTAATTAATGAAATCAGCGAATTATTCATTAATTAATTAATGAATAATTAAGGTGAGGGAGGGGGAACACTCACGGGATCCTTGGCCACGGTGAAGAGCAGGTCTCCCTCGCGGTTGTATTTGATCTGCGTGATGGAGCGCTCATGGCCCTGCAGCAGGATGGGCTTCTGGAATCATTAAACCAAGAATTAATGAGCGAGGGGAGGTGGAGAAAGGGGGGGGGGTGAGGCGGAGGTTTTGAGCCGCTGGATCACTCGGCGCGGCCGCAAATCGCGATAATCGCGACCACCCCACTGCGGTCTCACCATGTTGGCCACGCTGAGCGGAGCGGGGGGCGGTCACTTCCGGGTTGAGGCGTCGCGGGAAAAATGCGTCACGAGGAGTCGCCATGGCAACTGTACGCCACTTCCGGTCCGACCAGGAAGTGCTGCACCGTTGCCATGGCGACCGCGGGTGAGGAGAGGGCGATGGCGGCGGGGGAAGAGAGGGGAGGGTGTGCCTGGAGCGGCGCGGGAGGCGGGAGGGAGGCTGTGGACAGCGCGGTTGGGGCTCTGTGGGGTCCCAGGCCGGGATCCCGGGAGCCCCATCCCGCTGATCCCGCTGATCCCGGTGCTCCACAGGGCAGGCGGTGTCCCTGGCGCTGGTGGCCGTGCTGTGGGGCGGGAGCAGCCCCTTCCTGCGGGCGGGAGCAGCGGGAATGGAGGACGTTCGCGGGAGGGGCCGCCTGGGGCAGCTCCTGGCCGAGATCCGATTCCTCGGCCTCAACTGCAAGGTGGGACCCGCAGCGGGGCAGGGATCCCGCTGGGATCTCTGGGATCACCGGCATCACTCCTGCTGCTTTGATCAGGCTTTGGTCCCTTTGCCCGGGCTGTTGAATATTCCATTTGTATTTATGGAATTTATATATGGAATATATCGTTCCTATCTCTCGCTCCGGCCTCGATACCTTCACTCAGACTGTGGAATATCCCATCCCTGTTTTTGTAGAGATGGGATTTGTGTGTGGAGAGCTGACAGTTTGTGCTCTGCCTGCAGTACATGGGGCCCTTTCTGCTCAACCAAGGGGGATCCCTCCTCTTCTACCTCACCTTGGCCTCCACAGGTCAGTCCCTGTCGCTTTTTTGATTGGTGACTCCACCAAACACCCGGGCAGCTGCCTCGGGATCATCCCAGACCAACCCAGGAGCTCCATTTCCAGCTGTTTCTGTGTGTCCCAGACCTGTCCCTGGCAGTCCCTCTCTGCAACTCCCTGGCTCTGGTGGTGACCCTGCTGACCGGGAGGATCCTGGGAGAGGATGTTGGTGGCAAACGTGAGTCCCACCCCAGACACCCCCTCCCCTGCTCCTGGGGGCTGATTTAGGGGGGCAGAGCAGCAGATCCCCCCACCAGGCTGTGGCTGCAGGACCTGGAAGGGAAGTGAAACAAGATTTGTGGGCAGGGCTGGGAAATTTAAACTTAGAAACGGCTGGGCTAAGCTAAAAGAGCTTGTGAACATAACGGGATGTTGGACTAAATAATATGGAAAAGGAGCAGCCCCTGAGCCCCCAAATGTCAACACCCATCCTCCTTTCCTTCCCTGATGTCCTGCACTGACGTTGCCCTGCTCAGAAGGGCAGGAAAAGGCGGGGGAATGGAAATTTAAAACTCCAGTACCTGGAACAGGAGCTGCAGGATGAGGAGCTGCAGGAACACACTGAGCTCTCTGGTTGTTGTCTAAGCCTGGATGTCTCTGACAGGCACAGAACATGGGTGACATTTCCTTGGACAGATCCTGAGCTCAGGGCCAGGCTGAGCATCCAAACCCCCTCAGAACTCACCTGGCCCAGGCTGGACCTGCCCAGACATTCCTGCCCTGTGTGACCTGCACAGACAATCACAGAGTGCTTTGGGCTGGGAGGGACCTTCAAGATCATCCCATTCCAACCCCTCCTGCCTGTTCTTTATATTCCCAACGTGTTCCTCTCCACAGGGGCTGTGGCAGGGATGCTGCTCACCATCCTGGGGGTCTCGCTGTGTGTGGTTGGTTCAGGAACCAGCAGAGGGGCAGAACCTGATCCAAGGTAACCCCCCCCTCCTGTGGCTGAGGGGGCTCCTGGCTCAGCCACACCTGGGAAAGGTGGATTTGGACACCCAAAACCCATGGATATTCCCTGAGCAGCAGGGTGGAACGAGGCACATCCTGTTCCACGTCTTCAGGAGTTTTTTTTTGGGGGGGTGTTTCAAGAGGACGACGATTCAATCTGCTCAGCACTGAAGGGGGCAATAAATGCTGAATAAATCATTCAATGGGACCTTCTGGGACTGATTGATTTTTGGTTAGAAGAGAGTTTTTTAGGAATTCCTCCTTCTTGTAGCCAAGCAAGTGAAAATGGCCTTTTCTGCTGTGCTCAGCCATCCCAGCTCACACTGCACAGCCCTTTCCTCAGGGGTTACTCCAGGGCTTCCCTCAGGGTTCCTCTCGTCCATCAGACACCCACAAGGGCAGAGTGTCCCAAAGGAAGGAAGGGTGGTTTCCTCTTCAGTGAAATTATCAGCCCAAAGTACCAGAGAAATCACTGAAGGGAAAAAAAATTAATCCTTGTCACCCTTGTAATTACTGAGAAACCCCAGGGAGGGAAATCAGAAAGCCTATTTATTCCTGGGGCTTTTCCTAAATCCTAAATCAGGCAGATGGTCCTAAGACAGAAATAAAATGTACATGGGTTTGGGAACAGCTTTAGTTGCTGCAAACACTATCCAGGCATTGCAAATCAGAGGGACAAGGATACAGTGAAATCTCTTTCTAAGAAATACCTGACAGGGAACAAACCCTGGCAGATGCTTTGCTATAAAAACACGTTTTCTGTTTGGTAATTCTTCCTTCTCCAGTTCAGCTACAAACCAGCTGAGTTAGAGCTCAGAAGAGCAGCCATCTCCTCTGAGAAAAAAAGGGGAAAATCTGCAATAAATGTGCAATAAAAATGAATAAAAATGTGATCCAGGGGGGGAAAAGCCAAGGGAAAGCAGCAGCACTGGAGTGTGCAGCAAACACAGCACAGCAAGGGTCAGGAACCACCAGCTGAAGCTTCACCAGGGCTTTCTCCAATTTCACTTCAAAGGAATTGTCTTTCCTTTGAAGTTTTAATTAACCCAGAGACACCAGCGAGGCAGAGCCGAGTCACCCACGCTGTCACCCATTCCAGCAATCCTGACTGTCCCCAGGAAAAGCTGGAATCATGAACACACCACTGACAACAAGCATCTTGCTGACCTTGTCACGCTGCATTTCATCTTAAAAAGAACTATTTCCCCCCCCTCTTTAAAGCAAAGGTTTGAACTTTTGTTACTAAAACAACATTTGATAGAACCAGGTGGTTATTCCCTGGGGGATTCTGAGCTTCACCTGCAGGCAGGTGAAGGAATCTGAACACAGGAAGGTTCTCCCACACTCCACAGACCCAGTGAGGGGAACAAATACCTTTCTGTGGTCTCTCATTCTGGGTTTTAATGTAAGTTCCTCTGTGGCAGGAGTGAGGATGGAAACACAGAAGAATCCAGGAGAGCCTTTGCCGTCCTTATTGCAGATCCCACGTTCCAGAAGGGAATTGTTCATCCCCCAGATGGGGATTTCTCGCCTTTCCATCGCACAAAGCCCTGCAGTGATGCCGTGCTGAGCTTCCTCCAGTTCCCCCTCGTGGCTGCTCTCAGCTTTACACACCGGAGAGCAGCTCAGTGCTTCCCAAACCTGGCTCTGACCGGGATTTACGGCTCAGGATCTTCCTGATGTCCCACCCACAGCAGCACTGCCCAGGTGCTGTCACCCCCCTGTCACCACTCTGTCCCAGATGGATTCCATGGGTCAAAACGGGACATGGACCCACCTGGCTCTGCCCAGGAGGAGGCAGGAAAGCCAGGCAGGAACAGATCCAAAGAGGAGCATTAGGAAAGCTTTTTATTCACAAACAAGGTGGGGATCATTCTGGAAAAGAGGGATCCACCTGCCACGTGGCAACAGAGGCTGTTCAGGCAGCAGGAATGCAGGGGAGGGGGGAATCACAGGGGGGAACCCCAGCACCACATGGAAAGTCCCTTTTCCAGGGACCTGGAATGTTCCTGAGCTACAGGAACAGATAGAGCACCTTCCATCTTCCAGCATTCCCAAAAATCCACCACGGGCACTTGGAGATCCTGGCTGTTGCAGAGGTGTGAAGTGCAGAGCCCTCAGAGGGGAACAGGCTGTCCCTGCAGGTCCCAGCACCTGCTGCCTTCAGCCTTTCAGTCCCAAACCACCTCCTGTACGTGGAAAATCTTCCCATCCTCCATTTCCCCCCGCCTTGGATCACCCAGCTCAGCCAACAGGAACGGGGTCCTTGTGGAAGGATCCCCACTGGGAACCCCTCCAGCACTCACCACAACCTCCCTGGGTTTAATCCTCCCCAGTGTTTAATCCTGCTCTGACCAACTACTCACACCTAAAAAAGAACTAAAAGGCTCTCTTGCCACGTTCTGCTGGAGTTTAAAACCACCAACCCACGGAGCTGGAGCTCCCCTGGGGTCACCCCTGGTGCTGCAGCTCCTCCAGGGCTCCCCCACACCAATCCAGGTGCTTGGGAACGCCTTCCAGGGGGTCAGGAATCCCCAGCTTCCGCTTCAGCATCAAGAACTGCAGGAGGAAGAAAACCCAGCACTGCTGATTAAATCCCACAGACCCGGGGGGCAGATCAACCAGCCCAAACCCCCCAACACCCTGGATGATGGGATTGTCCCCAGCCAGCCCCGTTTTTGGAGGGGCTGTCCCTGCTGTTTGGGAAGGGGCAGGGCCAGGCCCTCACGTTTTTCCTGCTGGCAATGGCCTGCTGCAGCCACAGCAGCTCCATCAGCAGGTGGCTCCTGTAGGCCTGGAGGCCGGAGCGGCTTCGGGGAAGCTCCCCCAGAGGGATTTCTGCAAAGAAACGGAACAACAACCCCCTGTGAGTTGAGATCCTCCCCTCCCAGCCTCTCCAAGGCACTCTGGAGGCCGTGGCTCCCCCGTGGGGTCCCCCCCCCGTGCCCCCTCACCCGGGTGGGCTCCGAGGGGCTCGGTGCCCAGGTCGCAGCTGTCCCACACCGAGGTCTCGCTGCTCTCCTTGTCCCACTCCTCGCTCTCCTTCTCTGTGCCTTTGTCACCCTCAACCCCCACGTTTGGGGGGCTCAGGGTGTCGTCCTGGCCCGTGGGGGTGGGGGCTGCCCTGCCCTGCAGGGGGGCTGGGGGGTCTCATCTGGTTCGGGGGGTTCCGGCTCCTCCGGGGGGTTTTTGGTGCTGCCCTCCTGGGGATCCAGGGGCTAAAAGAGGGGACACAGGGGAGGGATGGGAATGGGGCGGGGGGGGGAAAGGAGGAGAGGTGGTAGAAGGGAAGGAAAAGGGAAAAGAGAAAATATGAAGGGAACATAAAGAAAATATGAGGGGAATAAGAAAAATAAATGTAAGGAAAACAGAAAGGAAAATAGAAAGGAAATGAATAGAAAGGAAATAGAAAAAAAAAGGAATCGAATAAAAGGAAATGGAAAATAGAAAAAGTTGTAAAGGAAAATATAAAAATATATGAAAGGAAACATGTAAAAGAAAACACAGAGAACTGAGACGTGGCCCCCAGGGCTGGGGCACCCCCAGGGACCCCCAGGGTCACAGAGCCCCAGGCATGCCCTGCAGGACCAGGGCAGGACCCCCACCTGGGCGGGCCCCTGGGGGTCGGGGTCAAAGCTGGGCCGCAGCAGGAGCTGCCCCGTCCAGCGCAGGGCCCGCAGGTCCCCGTCGATCTCCAGCACGGCCGCCTCGAAGTCCTCCCGCGCCCGCCGGAGCCGCTGCCGCAGCAGGAACCCCCTGGCACAGGCCTGCGGAGCAGCGGCAGTCGGGAGAGACCCCCAGACCCCCCTGAGCCCCCCAAACACCCCCACCTGCACCGGCACCCGGCTGGGACCCCAGGGACATCTCTGATCCCCCCAGGTACCCCTGTGAGCCCCAGGGACCCCTCAGACCCCACCCCCAGAGACATCTCTGACCCCCAAGGGACCCCTCAGACCCCCAAGAGACCCTCAGACACCACCAGGGACCCTGTGAGTCCCAGGGACCTCTCTGACCCCCCCAGGGACACCTCACACGCCCCAGGGACCCCTCAGACCCCTCCCAGGGACCCCTCTGATCACCCAGGGACCCCTTGTGAGTCCCAAGGACCCCTTAGACCCCCAAGGACCCCTCAGACCCCCAGGGAACCCTCAGACCCCACAGGGACCCCTGTGAGCCCCAGGGACCCCTCAGACCCCCAAAGAGACCCCTCTATGCCCCTCCCCAAGGGTCCCCATCCAGTTGTGCCTCCCAAAATCCCCTTCCAGCCGTGCCTCCCCCCGGGTGTCCCCCCCGCGCAGGCCCCCCCGTCCCGCACCTGCAGGCGGGTCAGGGCTCGCAGGAGCCGCCGCCGCCCCTCGGCCTCGGCCCGCGGGCCCAGCGCCGCCATGGCCGCCCGGCGCGGGGCGATGGCGTCATCGGGCCGCGACGGGCCCCGCCCCGCCAGGCCCCGCCCCGGGGGTTGGGAGTCCCGGTTTGGGGTCCCGGTTTGGGGTCCAGGCCGGGCACGGCCGGGGGGGCGGGCCGGGGGCAGGGCCGGGGTCAGGCGGCCGCGTCCTCGGGGTCCGAGCTCTCCGCCAGGTGCAGCTTCTGTCTGAGCGCGGGTCAAGGGGAACGCCACTGCTGTCCCCACGGCCACTGCCATCGCTGCCACTGCCACCACTGCCACTGTCACTGCCATCACTGCCACTGCCACTGCCATCACTGCCACTGCCACCACTGCCACTGTCACTGCCATCACTGTCACTGCCATCGCTGCCACTGTCACCACTGCCACTGTCACTGCCACCACCACTGCCACTGTCACTGCCATCGCTGCCACTGTCACCACTGCCACTGCCATCACTGTCACTGCCATCGCTGCCACTGCCACTGCCATCGCTGCCACTGTCACTGCCACTGTCATTGCCATTGCTGCCACTGCCACTGTCACTGCCATCACTGATCCCTTTGTCACTGTCCCCACCATCACTGTCCCCACTGTCACTGCCATCACTGTCACTGCCACCACCATCACTGTCCCCACCATCACGGATCCCTTTGTCCCTGTCCCCACCATCCCCCAGCAAGGATACATGGAGCTGCTGAGCTCTTCCAGCTGTGGGAGCAAAGGCAGAACTGAGGAGCTGCTGGAGAGGCCAGGGGGTCCCAGCCCTGGCAGGGGACAGGGGTGACACTCACGTGTGCCAGCAGCTGGTCCAGGTTCCTGTCGGCCGCCGCCTTCTTCTGCTCCTCGGGGAGCTCCTCCACACACACGTCCAGCCCGAAGTGGAGCCGGGCCAGCTTCTCCTGCATCTCCCGCACGTGCTCCAGCTGCTCGAAGGAGCACTCCTTCCCTGGGAATCACCACATCCCATCCCACTCCTTCCCTGGGAATCACCACATCCCATCCCACTCCTTCCCTGGGAATCACCACATCCCATCCCACTCCTTCCCTGGGAATCACCACATCCCATCCCACTCCTTCCCTGGGAATCACCACATCCCATCCCACTCCTTCCCTGGGAATCACCACATCCCATCCCACTCCTTCCCTGGAAATCATCCCATCCCATCCCACTCCTGCCCTGGGAATCACTACATCCCATCCCACTCCTGCCCTGGAAATCATCCCATCCCACTCCAGCCCTGGGAATCATCCCATCCCATCCCATCCCATCCCATCCCATCCCATCCCATCCCATCCCATCCCATCCCATCCCATCCCACCTCATCCCATCCCATCCCATCCCATCCCACTCCTGCCCTGGGAATCACCACATCCCATCCCACTCCTGCCCTGGAAATCACCACATCCCATCCCATCCCACTCCATCCCTGGGAATCACCACATCCCATCCCACTCCTGCCCTGGAAATCACCACATCCCATCCCACTCCAGCCCTGGGAATCACCACATCCCATCCCACTCCAGCCCTGGGAATCACCACATCCCATCCCACTCCTGCCCTGGAAATCACCACATCCCATCCCATCCCATCCTTCCCTGGGAATCACCACATCCTATCCCACTCCTGCCCTGGAAATCACCACATCCCATCCCATCCCACTCCAGCCCTGGGAATCACCACATCCCATCCCACTCCTTTCCTGGGAATCACCACATCCCATCCCACTCCTGCCCTGGAAATCATCCCATCCCACTCCTTCCCTGGGAATCATCCAATCCCATCCCACTCCTTCCCAGGCATCCACCCATCCCATCCCATCCCATCCCATCCCATCCCATCCCATCCCATCCCATCCCATCCCATCCCATCCCATCCCATCCCATCCCATCCCATCCCATCCCATCCCATCCCATCCCATCCCCTGTCCCCACGGCCCCCCCCAGTCCCCGATCCCTCACCGAACGCCTGCAGTTTTCCCGAGTGGAAGTCGCTGAGGAGGCTGAGCAGCCCCCCCTCCATCTCGCACACGTCGGACACGTCTGTGAGGAAGCTGTGCTGGAGCGGGGCCCCCCGGGACCCCCCCGCGCCCGCCCGCGCCCGCTCCTTGCTGGTCCTGCACGGGGAACAGGGATTCGCATCGCTCCAGGGGCACCGCGGGGGGCTGAGAGGGTTCCCCCCCATCCCGCACCCACCTGCGGAGCCGGGCGCGCTGCCGGGGCGAGGGCAGTGTGGGCAGCGGCAGCGCGAAGGTCGTGCTCTTGCTGGGGGGCAGCGGGCGGGGGCCCCCGGGGGGCGCGGGCTGGGCCAGGCAGGTCCGGGGGCTGCGCTTCCTCCGCCGCTCCTCCATCCCGGGGGCTGCGGGGACCCTGCGGGCACGGGCACGGAGCGTGGGGACTGAGGGCTCAGGGAAAAGGACGAGCGTGCCCGGGGCACAGCAGAGGGGCTGCGGGACCCCCGGAGTGCGGGGGTGACAGCCACGGCCACCGGGGCTCGCTGGAAGGGCTGGAGAAGGAGCTCGGACCCCCTTCCCGGGCGGCAGCAGCCGAGCTCGGGCTCAGGCTCAGCCTTCGCTCGCAGCCGGAGCTCCGGCCTGGCCTCGGCTCTCGGCGTGTCCCCAGCAGGATTTCAGGGTTTCAGGGAGAGCAGGATTTCAACCTCGGCTGCCCCCGGCGAGAGCGGGACCAGGACCGGGACCGTGCGGGTACCGACACCCCCCGGCTCCGACCGAGCCCCCGGGCCCAGAAGGGGGGCCGGACGGGGCCGCTCCGGGGCCGTGGAGCCCCTTTGTCCACAGCCTGCGGAGCTCCACGGGCGGGCACTGACCTGTGCCAGGCCCCGCTCCGGCCCGAGGGGCTGCCCCGGCGCGTCCCCGAGCCCACCCGACACCCTGCCGGACACCCCAAACCCCCCGGACACCCCGAGCCCACCGGACACCGTCCGCACAGCCCGGGATTTGCATTTAAAGGGAAAGGGAACTTCCTCCGGGCGCCGCCGGACCCCCAGAACCGCTCCCCAGCCCCGGCCCCGGGATCAGCATCCCACGGGGGTCGCGGATGGGGCAGGATCGGGATCCAACGCCCGCTCCGCTCCCCCGCGCCCCGGGGTCGTTCCTGGCCCCCCTCCCTCCTCAATCTCGCCCGGTTTACCCCGCGTCGTCCCCCGGTGTCACCGCAGAGCCGCGATTGCGGGATCCGTCCCTGCAGGAAGGGGCCGGGAAGGAGCCGGGAAGGAGCCGGGAAGGGCCTCCAGCCCCGGCGCAGGGACGGGATTAGACGAGTCCCTGCGCGCAGCCGGAGCGCAGCTGCTCGTGTAAATCCCGCCAGGATTTTAATCCGATCTTGGACATTTTGGAGCCAATGTGGGCAACCAGGGGCTGGGTACCCCCAGGGCAGGTGACACTTTTGGTGGCTGCAGCATCCCCGCGAGGGAGAGCCACAGGTGAATGTCCCACGCTGGGGGTCCTGATGGGACATCCCATCTCGGCTGTGCCTCCCAACCTCCCCCACCTCGTCCCCTTTGGAAAGGGAGGGACAGAGAGCCTGGAGACAGGGAAACCGTGTCCCCCAGAGGCTGGTGTGGCCTCCCCAAACCCACCTCACCACCCCAAATCTTCACTTCCCTCCTCCACCCCCCCCCGTGGTACTGAAGGAGAGACAACAGAGGCAGTGGAAGCGGGGAGGTTGGGAGCGTTTCTATTGGATACAGGACACACACAACAGCCCCCACGGGGTTTCTGTACCGTGACAGGCAAAAGACAAGAAAAAAAAAAAAAATAGGGGGGTGTTGGTGAATTTCTAAGGGGTTTTCCTTTTATTGAAGGAGCAGGAAGAGAAGCCCAGATCCTGATCCCGGCAGCAGCCCCGCCTTGGCCCGGCTGCTGGGGGAACAGGGTGGTCCCCCAGGCCAGACCTACATTCACTTGCTCGGGGGCTCCTGCCAGACCCTTCCAGAGGCAAATGCTGGAAGGCAAAGCCATGCTCAGCTCCAGGGAATGTGTCCCAGTGGATGTTCAGCTCTGTGCAGACTTGTTGGAGCCCGTCCCTGCTGCAGACAGACCCTTCCCCAGAGCTGGGCTCCCTGGGGTCCCTGCAGAGGAAAGGGGGACAAGGAGGCAGGTCCTTCATGGAGAGATGATGGGAGAGCAGCTGCGTTGCCAGAAGAGAATCCAAAGCTGTTCCACTGAACACATCCACAGTGGGAAATGTCTCCAGCCAGCTGGTTCCAGGCAATGCTGGGAATAAAGTCTGTCACAGAGAAGCTGCGGCGAAGGAGGGCTGGAGCACGTCAAGTCTTCCAAAAGAACACTGGAAAGAGAAAGCCTTGAGAAAATAAGGAGAAATCCCAAACCCCAGTGCCAGCAGGTCCCACGTCTGTCCCTGAACACCCTCCCAGCACAGCTGGGTCCCTGGGGCGAGCAGGGTGAGGCAGCACTGGGGAGATGCTCTTCCAAGAAAGCAGAGAAAGAAGGGAAAAGGGTAGTCTGGGATAGCACAGATACCCCCAGGCCAGAGGGTCCACGGTCCTGGAGCTGGTCCCGGCGATCCCGGAGCAGACACAGGGTTTATCCTCCTGGAGCCCCAGCTCCGTGGGTGCTCCCAGGGATGGGGCAGAGGAGCTCGGGGGGAGCCCCGTCCCCCTGCACAACGATGACACACTTGTGCAAAACACTTGGGAATTAGACCTTTGGATTAACTGTTTAATACACTTGTGCACATGTGCGTTCAGCAAAGAGGCAACTGTGAATCGTAAGGCGATTGAGACATTGGCAGGTCCTGGGAAGAGCGAAAGTCCCGCAGGACAGGACCGGGAATGCCCTTCCTGCTTCTCCTTGTGCCCGTTCCACACACAGAACTGAGCAGGGGGACGGCCTCTTGCACCCCCAGCCCACGCAGGAGCAAGCCCAGGAGCTCCCTCCTGCGAGCAGCAGAGGGAAGGGGGAGGATCCAGCGCTGTGGCTCTCACAGCTCTGCTCCTTGGCTTTCACTCGGTGCCAGAGTCGCATCCCACGGGACACAGATCCACGGACCTGCCTTCCTGAGCTGCGCCAGATTTTGGGGATCGCAGCCCCTGCCAATGACAAGGTCTTTTAGTGAGAGGGACGATCAGTTGAGGCTCCATATATTAGTTATTGACACAGGCAGGGAGGCGGGGCAGTCCGGTTTTCCATGGGTATCCATATATAAAGTGTACGTTGCCCTGCACATTTTTTATATATCATATATATATATATATATAAAATTTAAAAAAAAAAAAAAAAACAAACCCTAAAAGCTAGGAAATCTCACATCCCCAGGAGGGCTGTCCTGTCCTTTTTCCACCTGTCCCAGGAGCAGGAGAAGGGCACCAGATGGAGTCTGCTCATCCAGGCCTCCCCCTCTCCCTGTGCCCACCCCCGTGCCCTGCAGGGGCTCAGTCGGCGCCCCGGGGTCCCTCCTCAGTCCCGCTCTGCCCCGTGGCTCCTGGGCTCAGTTCTCCCAGGCTCTCCGCAGGATCCGGGCTGTGCGTGGCCTTTCCCGAGCCGGGACAGTCGGAGCTGTCCCGGGATGGGTCCTTCAGAGGCTCTGCCAGGTCCGTGTGGGCACACAGGTCCTGCACCTTCTTGTTGAGGTCGTTGCGCTCCGTCTGCAGGGCCCGGCACAGCTTCTCCAGCCGCTGGATCTTCACCTGCAGCCCCTCCAGCTCCTTGTCCCGGAGGGTTTTCTGCAGGGAGAGGCGGAAAGGGAGGGATGAAACCCCAGAGGGATATGGGCAGACAGTGACAGCATGGTGGGGATGGTTTTAAGCATTCAAAGCATCTGGAGCTGCATCGAGGCTTCTTTCTGCCCTCGCCCCCTCACACCTCACCATCCTGCATCAAGACAGGAGTTGTCCTGCCCTGCCCTCAGCTCCAGCCCATCCCCAGGGCCCCCTCACCTCCTCTGCCATCTCCAGGAGAGCCTTGTTGCTGCTCTCCCAGCGGGAGCGGTACATGGTGGTCTCCTTCTCCAGCTTCTTGATCTTCTTGGTCATCTACAGGATCACAAAAAGGGCACAGATGGAATCACTGAATAGCCTGAGTTGGAAGGGACCCATCAAAAGTCCAACTCCTGGCCCTGCACAGGACACCCCAAGACAAACAAGCCCCAGGCAGAGCACTGCAGGGACATCCCACATGCCCTCAGGTGCCACCCCCTCCTCTGGCACAGACCCAAAATTAAACAGAACGATGGAGCAGAGCCAGGACAGCAGAAGCGCCACCCACCTTCTCCATCTCCTGTTTAAACGTTGTGAACACTTCACTGCTTTTGGAGAGGGTGTTCTGGAATTCCTCAAACTTCTCTGTGTAGAGAGCCAGCTGTGGGGAGAGACAGGGAGCTCACCAGGGCACCCACTGACAGCAGGGATGAGGCCAAGCAGGGACTGAGCTGCTTGTGCTGGGACACAAAACAAAGTGGCAGCACAGAGCTGCTCTGCCAAGGGAAAATTCTGTCCTAGGGAAACACCCTCAGAGTGATGTGTCCTATAAACATCCCCTGGCCAGGGCAGGAGGCACTTGCTGGGGCTGGTTCAGTGAGGGATGATCCCATGACTGCTCCCAGCACTGGGAAAAAAACAAGGCACCTTTCTCCCAGCAGGCAGAATTGCTGAAGGAAATCTCAGCTCACCAATACCAAGGCCAGGAGAGATCCTGCCCCTGTGTTTTCCAGATGAGGGAACTTTGGATTGTTCCTTGCTTAGGAAGAAAAGAAACCCAAACAGAACAGGCTGAGCACATAGAGCAGGGAACTCACCTGCTGCTTGAGGTGGGTCTCCTGCTGCTTCATCAGCTCACACATCCTCTGGGATTCCACAGCTTCCTTCAGCAGCTGGGGAAGAGCAAAAGCAGTTATCTGGGAATGCCCTGAGCACATCCCTGCACGGCTGGTGCTGGGCCTGGAGACGGGAGCAGCCTGGGAGAAGCACCAGGAGCAGAGCAGGGCTCCAGCCCAGCTCCTGCAGCTGCTCAGGAAGCAAGGCAAGATGTGGGATAACCTGCTCTGGGCTCTGTTCTCAGGGCTCCAGCAGTAACAAGGGTCACAACCACCCCAGAACTGCTCCACGACTTACAAAGTCCTTCTCCCGCTGGTGCCTCTCCTCTGTCTCCTTCAGCATCTCCTGGGCCTGCTGCAGTTTGGCATCCACCAGCTGCTGCTGCAGCTCCTTGTGCTTGAACACCTTGTCAATGTGCTGCCAAGGGAACACCACAGGCTCAGAAGGTCCCAGACAAACAGATGTTCTTACTGCAGGTTATTTATAAGCAGTGTCTAATTAATGCCATATTAAGGGCATCAATGAACCTCAACAGTCTACACAAAGTAAGGATGTCTAGTTTGCATTAAATGAACCCAGGTCAATCTCAGCGGCATAAGTAACCAACCTAAAAAAATACCATGTAACTTTTACTGGAATGAAATGCACAGAGCTGGGTGTTTGCAGTGCATTTAGATACACAGGACATAGATACATTTAGATATATTGGATATTTTGGCTATACTGGATATTTTCCTCTGCTAAAGCAGTGAGTGTGTGTGCACTTTTCCCCCTGCTGAATCTTCCTGGTTTGAGTGCTGCTTTTGAAGACCTGTGTTCCATTTTGCCACACTGATACAAGCAGTGCTCGCTTCCCTTTCACTCTGCCAAACACAGCCTCGATGTTCTGTGGCACTAAAACACTGGCTTGATGAGAGCTGTGGTTACAGGAATGTGATGAGGGAGGATCTGCTGGGTTTTAATTCCCCTCTGGAAGCAGGGAACTCCCTCCCTGTCCTGACCCACCTCCTCCCGCAGCTCGTACTGCTCGATGAGCTTCTTGAGCCTCTCTGCCAGCTCCATGTTCTCCTGGCGCAGCTTGGAGTTCCTCTCGTTGTGCTGCTCCATCTGCAGCTGGATGTCGTTCAGCGTCACCTGGAAGTGGGATGTCACCTCCTTCCTCTTCTCCTCCTCCTCCCGCGCGCGCTGCACGCCCTCCTCCTGCGTGGGGAGGGCAGGGACACGTCACCAAAGGGGAGCCCCAAGCCCGCCCAGCCTCCCACTGCTCCTTAAATCCATCAGGAAGGGACTCCAGGCCTTTCCCTTGCCTCTCTCCAGAGGCTGCGCCCCGAAATAACACCGGGACAGTGCAGGCAAGGAGGGCTGAACCCCAGAGTTAAACACTGCCCTGAGGGCAGCCTGGGGGCAACCCAGGCACGCCACTTGATCCGAGGGGTTGGGATGGAGCAGCCCCGGGAGCAGAGCCCGGGGAACACCTGCCTTGAGGGTGCGGTTGTGCCTCTGGAGCTCCCGGCACAGGCTCTCCAGTTTGCTGCGGGCCAGGATGGCCTTGCTGTGCTCGCTCTGCAGGTGATCCTTCTCCTGCACCAGCTGTGTCTGCTTCTTCTGCAGGATCTTCATCTGCTTCTGTGAGTTACGGTGCTCTTCCAGCTGGGAGAAGGGAGCAGAGGGCATGGAGAGGGCAGGGCAGGGCTGTGTGCCCACTGAGGGACACGGGGAGCCAACACCCACCCCTCCTATCCAGATATCCAGCCCTGCAGAGATCCCAGGGCACTGCAAAGCTCCAGGGTCTTTCTGGAATGTCCCTCCTGCCTCCCTGAGCTGCTGTTTCCCCCCTCTCGGCCCCAGAGGGACTCACCAGCTCAGCGTATTTCTTGCACAGCGCTGCCAGCTTCTCCTCTGACGTGCTCAGGGTGTTCAGTGTCTGCATCAGCAAAGTGATTTCCTTGCCTGGCAGGAGACAGGGAATGGGAATAGATAAATAAACTGTGTAAAATGGCTTACACAGAGCTCTGGCTCGTGAGGGTGAAGACAGGAGGGGACTGAGCAGGTCTCGCAGCCCTGGGCTGGAGCTGCTGGTCCTGGGGTCTTCTCAGGGCTCTGCCCCACGGATTTCACCCCATACAGTGGGAAAATAAGTGGAGCAGCTGGGGGAGAGACCTGGTTTTCAGAGCAGGAAATCACCACTGGGCTGGGCCGGAGCCAGCTATGTCCAGGAGAAGAGAAATCCATGGAATTCAGAGGCTGTGGCAGCTCCAGGGTACATCCCTCACCCCCCCCCAACTCCAGAACAGGACACTGTGCCATTCCCAAACACATCCGAGGGCACAGATCTGATCGGTGCAGGGCAAACCCAAGGGCTGCAGGGAACCTCTTACCTAAACCCTTGGCTTTCTTCTTCTCCTGAGCCTTCTTCTGGTCCCTGTCCCCGCCCTCCTCGGTGCCCTTGGAGTTCTCCTTCTCGCCGTTCATCTCGGGGCCGCCCGGCTCCTGCTCCCCGTTGCGGGGGGACTCGGGCCGGCCCTTGTCGGGCTCCTCGGGCTCGGGGGGCTCCCCCGGGCCCTCCTGGCTGGCATCCACGCAGTAGGTGCTCAGGATGTCCTCCAGCTGCCGGCTCAGCTCCTCGGACACGTCCCGGGAGGACTTGGAGTCCTCCTGAGTGAGGGGAGCTGGAGGGGGGGGGACACGAACACAAAGAGTGAGGGTCACACTCCCACCCCACTCCACGCTCCCAGCCCTGCCAACACGCAGGGAAGGGGAGGTTTTCCTGGCTGGACTTGCAGCAGGATAAGCTGCTTTGTCTCCAGCCAGCTGCCCTGACAATGGCAGGGCATTCCCAACAGCCTCTCCTTTGATCACCAGAGCATGACCAAGCCCCTGACATCTGTCAAGAGCAAAAAATTCCACCCCCCAGCGCCCCCCCAACTCGACCACAAGCAGGTTGTCTGCGAGCTTTTCATCCCCCTCCCCAACAGGAACTGGCAGCTCAGATCCCCCAGGGCTGGGCTTTTTAGCATGACAATGGGTTTTAAACCTGGGAGAGCCTCTGTCCTCCCTGGAAGAGCAGCTGTACTGGGATCAAACGTCCCTCGTTCCACCCAGCACGGAGCAGGCTGCACGCCCTGCCTCCAAACTTTCTCCAAGAGCAGCTGGTTATTAAATTAACTCTCCTCACTGTGAGTTCCCTCCATCCCCAGGCACGGGAGCACCAGGCAGGGTTCATTTTAACCAAGCTCCTACTCCGTTACACCTGGATTTTGCATCCCAGAGAAGAGTTTTGATGAGTAACAGCAGAGAGTTGAAAGGGACCCTTAAGGTCGAAGCAACAACAACCAACCCTTTGCTTCCAGGTAGAACTGACTCCATGGTTCTCTTAGGACATGGGAACTCCTCCAGGACTGCACACAGAAATAGGGGAAAAACCACAGGAATTTCTACCCTGGAAAACGCAGCTGCTCCCACACAAAGAGCTGGATGCAGAGAAAGCAGCAACCTGAGTCCTTCCAGGTTTAAACCCACCCTCACACGTTCCAGGGAATGCCAGCACTGCCATCCCCCCTGTTCCCAGGGACCCCCTCCCCACCTTCTGGGGGTGCTGCAGCCTCGGGTGAGTCTCCCTCCTCCAGCCCCATCCCGCTGCTCGTTTTGGAAGCACCAGAGGGACGTGGGGCTCCTTTGGTCTCCGCCCCCTGGTTCTTCATCACAGCCCTTCGGCCCTGTCAGACCCTGCAGGAACAAACAGTGACTTTAGGAACGTTTGGAGGGTCTGGGGAGCCATCCACCCGGACTGGGAAGGAGCAGGAGCTCCCACCACAGCTCTGTGCCCAGGAAAGCAGGGCCTGCTTCCCAGTTTGTACCTCCTGGATTTCAGAGCTGACAGAGAAACCCCCTCACCGGGGTTGGGACCCAGAAACCAGAGCATCCCCAGCACAGAGGTCAATTCCTGCTGAGCCCAAACCCTGGCTGAGGAGAACCCAAAATCCCAGCTCCCCATCCCCATCCCCTGTCCCTCTGCAGGGCTTGTTGGATGTTCCCACCCCTCCCAGCCTCTGCTCTGCTTATGACACTAATTATGGGAGGGTGCTGATGCTCCTGGTCTAGAGGGGAGGGGCTGTTCCCAGCTTGGGACTCAGGACAGTTCCCAGTTTGGAGCTCAGGGGCTGTTCCCAGTCCAGGCTGTTCCTAGTTTGGAGCTCAGGGCTATTCCCAGTTTGGCGCTCGGGACAGTTCCCCATCCAGGCCGTTCCCCGAGCAGGAGGACCCCCTTCCCGTGCCCCCCTCTCCCCCTCAGCAGTCCCGCCGGGCCCATCCCCTCCCGGTGCTGCTGGAAGGCAATCCCGAGGGCAGAGCGGGGCCGGGCCGGTGTCACCGCCCACGTGCGGGACCTGCGGGGCAGCGCCTTCCCCCGCACCTGCCCCGCGCCTCGGGCGCTCCTTTTCGGCTGCTGCTGCACCGGGAGCGGCTCCCGGGCGGGAACCGGGCCCGGGGAGGGGTGGGGGGGCAATAAACGGGGCCCCGGTGCCATAACCGGGCCCTGGGGGGCGGCCACCGGAGCTCGGGGCAGGGGTTAACCGGGGCTCGGGGGGCGATCACCGGGTCCTAGGGGCGATCGCCGGCCCCACAGCACCCCGGCCCTGCTCCCCTCGGCGCATCGCCCCCGGTCCCGCTCCCCACCCCTCATCCCGTTACACCGGGAGGAGGTTCCCGGTGCCCCCCGTTATCGCCCCGGGGCCCGGCCCAGCCCCGGTGCCGCCCCCGCCCTCACAACCCCGCGACCCCCCCTTTGACGTCAAAGCCGCCCCGCGATGCCCCCCCCGCGCGGTGACGTCACGCGCGCACCCCCGTGACGTCAGCGCCGGCGGTCTGACGCAGGTGCCCGCCTCGCTGCTCAGCCGGCGGGCGCGGCGCCGCGGTGCATGGGTGCCGGTGCGGCCGCGGTGCTCGCCGCCGGTGCCGGTGCCGAGGGTGCCGCTCTGAGGGTGCCGGTGCCGGCTCTGAGGGAGCGGCTCGGCCCCGGGGCCTCCAACGGCCGCGCGTGCGCCCGCCCCGCGCCGCCCCGCCAATCAGCGCCCGCCGCGCGCGGGGCACGCCGGGAAGCGCCGGGGAGACGCGGCGGGAGGAGGCGCGGGCAGAACCACAACTCCCGGCGTGCCCCGCTCCCGGGGGAGCCACGAGCAGAGAGAAAGGGGAGGAAAAGGAGGAAAGGAGGGAAAGCCTGTCCTGTGGCTCCCGACACACCCCCGGTGGGGAGGGGAGAAGAAAAAGAGGAGGAAAAGAAGGAACGAAACAGTGGCCTACAGTTCCCGGCCTGCCGCGCTCCGGGCGGCCCCGGGGACTACAACTCCCAGCATGCCCCGCGCGGGCCTCACCCTGTCCCCCCCCGAAGGTCACAGAGTCACCTCAGCCCCCTCACACCCCACCCGCGCCCGTGGGGTTCGTTCCTCGCACAACAAAGGTCCCCTCTCCCCTCGCCGTGACACCCCCGGGGGGCTCAGCTTCCCCCCCCCGGCACCACAGAAGTCGGGTGTGTTCTCCTCTGTTTTTAATGAAATCGTGGCAAAGTCACTCCAGGGGGCTCAGGCAGCTCCGTTCACACGGACGGGACGCGAGGAACAGGAGAGGCAGCGGGACAGCCCCGAGCCCGGGGGTTTCCAGGTGTTTTTCCCGCCTCACAGCGCTTTATTTACAGGAATTGCACAAATTCCAGATATAGTTTTCGCTGTGGCCCAATTAGACAAATATCTACCTATATATAATATAAAAAATACAGAGATTTGCCTCTTTTCTTTTTTTTTTTTTTTGGAAGTAAAATGTACATTATCACAGCTGTGAGGAGGAGGTAAGCCTGGAAACCTGGTGCTGCTGGAGCTCCCACCACCTCTTTGTCACCACCAAGCCTTCCTCCAAGCCATCAAACCACCCTAAGGCAGGAAAAAAACACCCCCAGAATTCAGCCCATGTTCTCATGGAAAATAAAGTATTTCAAGTAAAGATGAAGGTGGGTTTCAGCGTTTCAGAGCTCTGGTGTCAGTCAGTACAACGCAAACCAAACCTGTGCAATGGCAGCTGTGCTTCCTGCTCCGAAAAAAAAAAAACCCTACCCCAGTTCCCATCTTTGGGCTCTTGTTGCTTTTTTTTTGTGTGTGGTTTTTTTTTTTTAATCCTTGGAAATACCACTAGCAGTTCTTAAAAAAAAAAAAAAAAACACCCAAAAAAAAACCCCAACAAAAACCAAAACAAAATCCAGACAAAAGGGAAGCAGCAGAAAAGGAAAAAAAAAAAACAATCTTCCCAAGAGTGGGAGAACTTCCCTGTTTTTCTGTCCGTTTTTTTTCAGGGAACTCAGCCTGGGTTCACCCAGGACTGTCCACTGAAGGAGGAAGGCCAGGGTTAAACTTTGCTCTTGGCCAATTAAAGAGTCTTTATAATAGAGTAACATGTGCAAAAAAAACCCAAAAACAAAAACAAAAAAAAAACCAAACAAAAAACCAAGAAAAGAATTAAAAATTAAATAGACCAACCCACGTTTTCCAGAATTATTGTGGCCAGAAAACTCCCTCTCTCTCTGCTCTGTGTCCTCACCCAACGCCGGAGCCTCACGGGAGCACCCGAGGTAAGAACTGCAGTGGGGAGGGACCACCACAAAGAACGAGCCACCAGGAGGTGCCACCTCGTCACCTCCGTGTCCCTCCTGCGTTAAAGACACGTGTGCAGCAGCCAAAAGAAACAAGGAGAAGAAGAATCCCCTTCTTTTCTGCGAGGACCGAGCGCCGTTTGTATTTTTTTTTGTTTTGTTTGTTTGTTTGTCTGAAGGAAGAAGAGTTTCCTAAAACTCCAGGGTGTCGTTCAGCCTTCCCAGCAAGGGCCAAGCAGCTGCTTCCCAGGTGCTTCTCCAGGAAAGTTTGTGGCGTGTTTTTCCTCTGCCCCAGGGCAGGTTATAGCTGGAAACCATCCATGGGGGCCTCGGATTGCTGGAAGATGTATTGCTGCTGGGTCTCATCCACCTGGGGGGCCACGGATGAGTCGTCCTCCACCCCGAAGTAGTGCTCGATCAGGTCGAAGGCTTTCTGGTAAATCTCCTGGTTCTCGTGGCTCTGGAGGAATTCTATCTTATCCAAACCTTGCAGGGGAAAAAAAAAAAAAAAAAAAATTGGGATGTGATAAAACAAAGAAATCCTGGTGGTTTATCCTCAGATTTATTGCCCCTCGTCCCTCTTCACTGCAAGAGCTTTGGCTGAGATTTGCTTTTTTTTTTTTTTTTTTTGAGGAGCTCTGACACCTAAATCCAGACCTAAATGCAGCTATTCCAGAGCTGCTTGAGGATCTTCCCCCTGTCAGGCAGCATTGATGTCTTCCCAAGTGGCAGGTTGAGCTCACACAGATGTTTTAATCTGACCGGAATCTGATTTAAGCCTCCACAACTGGCTGTGAGGAATTCGGGAGCTACAAGGGGGAAAAGGGAGGGGAAGGAGCAGGGTCTGCAGCCTCCAGCTTTTAGCTGCCCTAATTAAATCCCCTGCTGCACATCCAAGAATTCCAAGAATGGTTCTTACAGGGAGAATCAGGACACAGAGTGTAATAATCAGAGGGCAAAGCAGACACTGGCAGTACACAGGGAGTTCCAGACCAAAATAGGAACTTGCTCCTCAAAGCACTGAAAGAAGGACAGAAAAACACCCCCACCATTACCAAATTAAGTTGCTCCAGGGAAAAGCAAAGTCTCCCTGGATTTCCAGTGTTCAAGCAGCTACAGTTTGAGGAATTTTAGGCCCAGAATTGTCACTTTTAACTAGAAATGAGCTGAGCTAAGTAAACACTCCCAGCTGGTGAAAGCCATGACTACTCAGCTTGGCCTCCAGGTCTTGGAAGCCTGGATCAGAACTCTGATAGTTTTTACTTCCAAGTATTTTCTCCTCACCCAATCACGAGTCTGAAGAGACTCTGGAACAAATATTGGCTATTTTGGAATATATCAAACCCCTTAACACAGCAGGAAAGCACCCAACAGACCCCCTCAGTGTCCTCCTGCAGTGCCCAAAGCCCCCACCTACCATAGGCCTCCTCGATCAGGCTGCAGTAGGGGTTGATCCCAGTCCCACTCTGGTTGGCTTCCTGCTCTCCCAGCCTCAGGATGTTCTCCAGCCCATTCAGTGCCACCAGAACAATCTTGGAGTCCATGACAGTCAGCAGGTCACACAGAGGCTTGATACAACCCAAATTTACCAGGTACCTGGAGAGAGAGCACCAGCAACACACACTTGGGTGTTCAGGGGCTGGGAAGCAGCACCTTGGCTCCGTTACAAACAGCAAAGGAAATGAGCCAATCTAAAACACATAAATTTACCTTAAAATGTGTATTTACCGCTCTGCAAGGTTAATTTTTCTCCACTTATTTGCATTTGCATACATAGCCCCCTTTTCAGAAACCTCCATTTTATTTAAAAGAGAAAGCTACTTTTGAAGTCCAGGTGCTGCTAAAAATTAAATCCACACTGGAATTTAATCTGTCGTCAAGTTTGGACATTTAGCCTTGTCTAAAACTATCCAAAGGTGGGGGATGGAGAAAGCTTGGACCAGATTCTTCATCCAGAAGGAAGCCACAATTCCCAGCAGAGTGAATCGACCCAGCCACAGCTCTGCCTGCCTCGGGTGCTCCCCAAACCCCTCCCATCAAGGCAAAGCTCCCAGGGATTTCCCCCCCTCAGGAGGAGCCCCAGGGAATACCTGATCTGCTCAGGAGTCCCTCCTGAGGTGGCGTTGGTGATGGCCCAGGCTGCCTCTTTCCTCGTGCGGAATTCCGCCTTCTGCAGGATCTCTATCAGCACCGGGAAGATGTTGGCATCTATCACTGCCTGGGGACAGAGGGCAGGGACAGGGCTTGGCACTGGCAACACCACTCCTGAAAAGGCTTCTCAGCACCTGGGAGAAACCTCTACCCCCATCTCCCAGCACAAAAACTTCCCAAGTTTCGGTGATTCCTCTGGTTTATTCCTCAGCCCAATCCAGTTAAGGTGAGATATTCCATAACCAGCAGGACAGACCATCCCTGGTATTGCATCAACGCTGTGGGAATGCTTTCAGCACTGATCTCTATGTAGGTCAGGAAAAGGATAATTAAAACTGAACCAGCTCCAGCTCTTCAAAGGGGCTGAGCATGGAGAAATAAAGGGCTGCATCTCCTGTTATTCCAATGATCCAGCGTGTGGGAATCATTTCAGGCTGGTCTGTGCTGGTGCCACCACCAAGCTCTTTTTCAGCTGGTTGGGAGCAGCGAATTTGCAAATTACTGCAGAATAAGGTGAACAAATCCAGCCTCTAAAATGTCAGATAAGGAAAAAAAAAAAAAAAGCTGCAAATCCTTTTAATGCTGAGCTTGGAATCTGGGAGGAGAAAGTACCTGTATTTGTGCTCTGTTTCCCGCTGTGATGTTGGATATGGTCCAGCACGCCTCTTTCCTGATGGATTCCTTGGGACTGCTTAATAAATGAAGGAGACAAGGCAGGGCTGAGCAGTTTAGAATCACCTTTGGAGAGAGGAAGCAGAAGTGAGATCACCAGTGCCAGGTCTGGAGCTTGATGGCCACCACATTCCCTGTGGGAAGGGCCTCTCCTCTCACCTGGGTCTGGATGTCATCCCCCGTCACGATGTTGCCAACTGCTCGCAGAGCTGGGGAGGCCACTTTGTAGTCGTTGTGCCTGCAGGAGAACGGGGCAAGGACACAAGCAAATCCATCAGATCACTGGGATGTTTGGAATATTCTCCCCCCATTTATCTCCTCTGCATTATTTCCTTGGAATTCCAGCCCCTGGCATGTAGAAACACACGGTAAGTTGACCGCATTGCCACTGGAAAAGGAACTGCAACACAGTTTGGTTCTTTACATCACAACTCAATCCTCTTTTCCACACAGGTAACAGGAGAAACAAAGCCAAGCTGACTTTTGCTACCCACTTTTCTTTGATTTGCCTCATAACCAGGCTTCCCTAAGCACATCTGAAGTTTAAGAGCACACAGCACCCTGCAATCTTCTCTCCCTCCATGGATGAGAAGTGTCAGTTTGACCTTTCCTTAGTGAGTTCTTCTTAAGTTCTCTGTGTGGTTGGCCCACACTCGTACTCTCCAATTTCAGAAATTTACAGGGATAAGGTTTCTTTCATCAGTGAATTTGCAGTTTTTGGGACTGCTCTTGAGACCAACACAGATGTCCCTTCACTAGCGTTGAGTACAACCAGACAAACCAGCAAACTACAGCTCCAAGAGCCTCCCACAAAACTGCTCCCAGCTCAGCCCAGCTGCCTGGATCCCGTGAGCACGGGAGGTGTGGAGTGCTCTGATGGAGCTGACCTGGACTGACGCTCAGCTTCCTGCCTGGCAGGGCTGGGGCAGCCATCCCAGCTACTCACATCAACAGCTCCACCAGCCGCCGACACACTCCCGAGTCCACCACTGCCTGGATCTTCTCGTTGGGACCATCTGACAGGTAGGAAAGGGCCCAGCAGGCGTCTGCCAGCAGGTCAGAGTCGCTGTTGAACAACAACCTGGACAGCACCGGCAGGCAGGGAGACACCTGGAACGAGAGCCACCGGCTGGGTCACTCACCCTGCCCAGGACCACCACCCTGCAGGCCACACCACCCACGGGCTGCTCACACAGGTCCCTGCTTGGCCACAGGTCCCTGCTTGGCCACAGGTTCCTTCCCCTCAGGTCAGCAGCTTCCCACACCTAATCACAGCGTCCAAAACACTCCCCCTGTTCCCTCCTGGAATGACTTAGAGGAGCCCAACAGCCCAAAATAACTGGGATAAACATCTCAACTGGGTGTGTCTCCCCACCACCCATTCTCCCCACAAGGCATTTATTCTCACCTTATCAAATTCAGGTGGAGGGCTCTTTCCTCTGCACAGGTTTGACAAGGCCCAGACAGCGTTTCGTGTCATTGTCAACCTGGTGGACGTCGTAAGGAGCCTAAAGAGAGAATCAGCAGGAATCAGGATCCTTATGTGGCAGTCAAGGGAATCCAAAGAATTAAAACCAGTATGGTTTTAAGGAAATCAAAGCACTATTTCACTGGGTGTAGCTCAAGCCATGCTGTTTGTCACCTGAGCCTCTCAATAAGCAAAAGAAGTGACATGAGACTACTTTGTGGGATAAACAGCTGTAATTCCCAGCAGTGCCAAGGGACACGGGGCAGGAAGGCAACTTGCACCTTGGGCAGGTTGCAGAAGGAAGGGCACGTGAGCCAAGTGCAGCTCCAGGTTCCAGCTCAGCCCAGACACTCCCAGCCCTCACCAGAGATGGGGTGACATGAACTGCTCAGGCTCTGAGCTCTGAGGAGGACGGTGAGTCCTGTGGGATGAGGAGTCAGGCAGCCCCCCAGGACAGGGCACTGACACCAGGAGCAGGAAAACAAGCCATTTGTGACAAAGCATCCATTTTCCAGGGATGGGATGAAGATTAATTCCTTCCAGAGCTACGAGAGCCTGACAGATGGGTCTGACTGTGGTGGGCGTGCATCATGCTGAGAGAGGGGGTGTACAGAGACCTGCTCCCACTCCAAGCCCTTGGAATCCATATCCCAAGCAGAGAGCAGGACCTGAGGGACACCCTGTGACTACAGAAGGACCAGCACACTGCAGCAGCACCCACTCCACACGCAGAGCAGTGTGAAGGGCTGTGAGAAGGCACGTTATCCACTGAGTCCCACTCCATCTACCAGATCCTTGCCTGAACTGGGAGTTAATCTGGTACCAGTGGTTTGATTCCCAGTGATCACCACCAGGGAATCTACTGGCCCAGCTCCAGTACTGCTGCTGTGGCACAAGGGGACTCCAAGAACTGCACTGGCAAGTGTTCATGGCTACTCACATTAATAAGGGAGGAAGGATAGCGCAGTTAAGGACATAATCTCTACACACAGAGCTGTCTCCAGCAATGTTCCCCAATGCCCAGACAGCCTGAAAGGAAACAGCAACAGTTTTAGCATTCACAGTTTCTAACAGAGGAAGAACAAGGCAGTGTGCTAAGAAAGCATCTTCCCCTAATTCCAGGCAAACAACACTTCCACCCGTGGTCTGGAGCCAGCTGGGAGACACTGGTCACTCATTTTAAACACTGCATTTTTATGGTGTGCAACCCACTGTGCTTGTCCCCCCAGTCCCAAAGAAAGGAGTGGTCCTTACCTGCTCCTGAACATCCTCAAAGTCAGAATTTAACAGCTCTATAAATATGGGAACTGCCCCAGCCTCGATGACTATTTTTGTTTGTTGGGAAGTCCCTGATGCAATATTCGTCAGTGCCCACGCAGCTTCGAACTGGAACAGGCAAAGAAGTGACAAAGGCATGAACAAAACAAGCCTGATTTGGCAAAACCATTACATTTCATCAAAATTCTTTCATTGTGAAGGAAAGGAAGCACATCACAAGAGCAGACCTCAACAATCAAAGGATTTTATTTTCTTGAGCAATAAAAGAGCCACAACTGCTAAAATCCTTCTCAGAGGCTACAGCTGCTCAAAGGGTGAGCGAGTGAAGGTGTCACCACCAGTCACTTCACCTCTACAGCCATTCCCCAGCAAGGGAAATGAAGACACACAGAGTACAAACACACAAAGTAGAAAGTTTTCTAGTCCTTGAGTTCAAGGGAAGCTGAGCAGCAGCTCCCTGGGTTTGCCTCTCTTTGGTTTAAATACAGATTCCCACTTGGCTCTTCTGGAAATTAAGCCCCTCTGGTCCACGGCCTGGGGCCAGAGGGCAGGAAGAGAGATGAAAGCAGTCATCAACTCAGATCAAATTCCATGTATGGAAGTATCTTTAACCCCCTCCAAAGCAACCAGACTTATTACCAAGCTGGAAGGAATCTCAAGAAGCCACCCAGGCTGTCCCTCTGCCCCGGGCAGGAGCAGCACTGCCCAAGCCATTTCTAACAGACTCTTGGCCTCTATTTAAATGCCTCCAACAATGGAGGTTTCTCCTCACACAGTTTCTTCCTGCATGGCTCCACCAGCTCCCAGCAGAAATATCAGACACAGGAAGGCCAAACTCTCTTGGGTGATTTTTGCCAGCATTCCTTGGAGAATTTAATTCAGAGCAATTTATCATTTTTTTGCCTAAGCTCTACAGGCTACCTTTGTCTTCTCCTGTAGATCACACAAGCTGCGTTTTTTGGGTTCAAGACATCACTTTCCCCTGACAGCACGTGTGGGTTCACACTGCTAAGCAGAGCTACAAAGAACTGATAACATGATCTCCTTTACCTGTAATGTGCAGTTTTCACTTCTTTTCAGGAATTCAACAAATCTCTCCACCACTCCCTGAGTGTTTATCACTTCATCTATCGGAGGATTCGGCTCTGGAACAGCAAGGCAGTGTCAGAGCAGTGTACAGGCCTCATGCAGGGGATAACAAGCATGAAGGGTTAATTATCTCAAGTTGCACTGAGCAGGACAGCCCTGCAGAGTCACCTTCTGTACTGTTCATACAACTGTCAATCATCAGAAATACAGCAAATTATCACATTTCTAGTTTATGGCTTTCTTTCCCCAAGCTCGAAGCTGCAAAGCTTCTGTGCAGCAACACGTGCACAGACTCCTGCAAAAGCCAGATCCCGTGGCAGGGATGAGTTATTTTTACCTTTGGAGAGCAATTTCCTGAATTTCTGAGTGGTTGCCAGCTGTAGGTCAGGGTCATCTGAGAAAAGCATCTCTACCATCTCTCCTGTGATCAATCCCTCCTGAAAAGATGCAGAGGAGACAGAAAAATGGTTCAGTTTCAGCCTAAGATATTTAAGGCATCACACACACACACCACAGCCTGCCATGATGTGTGCTCAGCTGGTGAGTCAAAGATTAAAGCTTTGAGATCCCCAGCCCACTATTTACTCCCTGAGAGACTTTTCCAGCTCACTGCAGTAACACCTGCAGTGCTGCTGGGAGGAAGGGGGTAGATGTGGAAGGCTCTGGAGGAGGATTCTGGACGTGCCCCAGGGCCTCAGCACCCCCAAAGGATTAAATCTGGAGGCAGAGCTGGGCCAAGGAAAGGCACCTTCCTTACCCCACACGTGGTGGAACTGACGTAGGAATCCACCAGGTGACTGTCACACATGGAGTCATCCTCATTGATCAGCTCCACATTCCTCCTTTTGAAGAGCTGGTGGGGAACAAAGCACAGGGATTGTTATTGGAAAGCAACGGGGGAAACAGGCTCCACAACTCGACATTCTTGTTCCTCAACCAAGATCCCTTCAGCTAAGACTGAAGGTAACCTGAGTAAAAAAAAGTGGCCATTAATAACAGCTCTGCTCTCTCAGGACTAGTCTGGCACACAAACCCCAAGAGTCAAACACGCTGAGTCTTGCCCTCAGATATGCAAATGCCCAAGTCACTCAGACACTGGTACAGGCAGGGCAGAGTTTGATCTAACTGGGCAGAAGGCAGCTTGTAGGTGATGTTCTAACAGAGCAAATATTTAGTCCCACACACATCACCATGTGCTTTCATGGACCTCCAAGCCAAAAAAAAATCCATCTCAGAGTTAAGGAACACACACAGCCCAACTTTCACTCGCTCTTCCTGTTTCTCGAGGAAATAATCCCATTCTCTAATTAAAAAAATAAACAAAACACACCACCGAAAAAACACCACCACCTTTAACAACAAGGATCTGTGAACAAAAAAAAACACCTCCAGTACCCCAAGGAGAAAGTGCTTGGAAAACTCTTGATGTGAACTGGGTACAAAGAAAAAGAGAAAAGCAAGATCTCAGTTAGAACAGGAAAAAAAAATAAGAGGACTGCCAACAAACCTTAATGCACAGATCCTTGAAGATTCCAGTTAGGCAGCAGCACAATCTTGGTTGTGTTAAGGCTGAACACAACCTACTCAAGATGACAGTTACCTGTTGCTCTCGTTTCTGTTTGCGCAGTTGAATTCCTTCCTCTTCTCTTCTCCGCCTCATTTCCTCCAGATTTAGGGCTTTGTTCTTGTAACTCTTCATTCGATAGTTTTCTGTGAAAACAAAGAGGGTTCTGCCTCAGAGCTCCTGTCACTCTCTGCTCCTTCATCCACGTGTCCTTCCTGATAGGAACTCCCTGTGCATGGAGCAGGGAACCCCCAGACTAAATGGATTCATTCACCCCAAGGGCCCAACTAAACCCAATTCCTACCCAAAACCAAAGTAACCTCCCTGCTGTCACCACGGCATAAACCACACCTGGACATTTTTGTCCTCGAGTAGAAAAAAAACCCCAACAGAACCAAGGCCTTGATTTCATGATCACAAGAACCAAGCACAGAGCTGTACAGGAGGCACAGGCCACTTGTGTCCCACCAGGTGCTGCTGCAGTCCCTGACCTACTTATCCTGCTGGTTCACAGCTGACTAAGGCAGCAATTCCAGCCTGATTCCCTGTGTGTCTGCCTCCAGGTCAGGGAAGTGGCACTCCACTATCTGGCACAGTTGAAGGCAGCCAGGGCCAAGCAGCAACCCAAGTATGATCAGGATGGCAGTTCCTCACCCATCCAGCTGCAAAAGTCCTTCTGAATCTCTCCAAGCTCTCCTGTTTTGGATACAGATTATTTGCACATCTGTGCCCTTCCCAGGACGGGAAGGAATCACAGTCACAGCTAACCCTGAACAAAGTAACCCCTCCACAACTCACTTGGGCACCACTATCTTTGTTTTCTCCCAGCTGCCAAGGGAAGTGTTCTGTGGAAGTCTGCAGTGTTATCTCCTTATCCCCCACTTTCAAGCCCCAGGCACCCTCAGCCCCGCGGCTCACAGAAAGTTTCAGACTTATCAACTGCCTGCAGCCACTCTGGAGCCCTTCCAAGATCAAGAGGAGAAGTTTCAGACCTGAAAACCCACAGACAAGCCAAGAGGAGACATACACAACACACAGATATCCAGCATTTCATTGCTACGGAAAGAGAAAACAACTGGGAAAATCAGGAATTTGACACAATACTTTCAGCTCTATGATTTGCCAAAACAGCCCAAAAGACACCAAACAAGATGCAAATCCACAGGATTCAGGGGTTTGTATCTGCACAGCAGCAAGGTGTCACCTACATCTAGATCTGAATTCAGAAAGTGTATTTAACTACCTGTTAAATGTTATAGTTGTGTATTCAATTTACCACCCCAGTGCTGATGGCTCCTGCAGCCACACAGCAGAGCAGGAGTTGAAAGCTTAATCCTGAAAACAATTTAAGAACCTTAATCCTCCTTTTGGAAAGCTGAAGTCTCCAATTAAAAGGTGTTTTTTTTTTCTTCAAGGAGAGGAGGAGGGAAAAGGCAGTCATATAAATAGCTGAGGGGCACATGACAGCTCAGCTGCCTCCAAGCTGGCCCTGCCCCACTCAGCTCTGCCACCCCAGAGCTGGGGAACAGCCAGAGACACTCTGAGGGCTCAGCAACACTCAGCAACACTCAGCACTTTGTCCTTTATGGCTTTTTTGTGTGTCCCAGAGCATCAAGATCGCAGTCATCCTGCAGGGAAACCCCAAGGATACGACAAGCCCCGAGGAGTGATTTTTCACATCCCTCTGCGACACTTTCTGGGACTAAATTCCCTATTTTTTTCCCTCTCCCACACTTTTATCTCTGCAGATGATTTCCATTGAGTTTTCCCAGCCCATCAGTACTTGAAGGACAGGAGAATGCTGATTGGTGACACTACACCCCATCTCCAGGCAATGCATGGATGTGACAAATGCAGGATCAGGACCCCACAGTGAGCTCAGACACTGCAGGATCCTCGGACTCCAGCAGGCCCAAGCACGTGGAATCAGACAGCAGGATGCCAGGCCTGGCCAAATTCTGTACTTGGGGTGTTTCAGGACAAAGCATCCAGTTCATCTGCAAGTCAGGCTGTGTGTTAATTATCAACTCAAATTCTAGCAGTGGGAATACCCACAAAACCCACTAAAACCAGGCTGGTGGAGAAGCTGGGCTGCCAGGAATGGGGAAGCAATCCTTAAAAATTGAGGGATGAGAAGGAATTTACCACTTAAAAGAAAGGAAAAACAGTGTGAAAGGCTGACTTTGAAGGCTGAGCAGAGCACTCAAACCCTCTGTAAAACCAACAGAAACTGCAGCAGCTCAGCCAAAACTGTCCTTGCAGGGCCAAGATTCTACCAGCTCCTCGATATTCCTGGATCAGGAATCCAGCTCTGCCTCTTCCCATTCCTCTGCATGACAAACAGCACTTGCTTCAAACCTTCTGTTCAGCTGCTGATTAAACCCTGGGGAGCTGAGTCACTGCAGGGACTTCTGCTGCTGAGTCAGAGCGAAAGGCCGGGCCAGGGACTCACTGACAGACCTGACACGGCTCTTTTTAAGCCAAAATTCCCAATTCCAGAGGGAATCTTCCAAAGGGAACCTTCCAAAGGTGCCTGGTAATCCCTGTGGCACGGCCTGGAATGAGGCAAGTGTAAATAAATACACTTGATGAACTTCATCAGCACTAATCTGCCAATTAGCATCCGCTTGGGGACATTCCCAGCTCTAAGCCAGGTGACCTCCAAAGGCCCAAGTTTTCCCTGGGATAGGATAAATTTGGTCATTTCCAACAAAACCTCCCCTAAATTAGACAAGTGGCAGCAAAACACACTCGGTGAACTACTGAGTTTGGTGGGACAAACATTCCTGACCGTGTTCCCTGGGTTTTTCCATGTCATTCCCTTCCCTGAGATCCCAGAGGAGCCTCCCAGCTCCTCCTGCTGCTCAACATATTTAACACCTCCAGAGGATTCTCTTCTAGAAAAAGTGCGTCCACAACAACTACAGAAAGAAAAGACTAAATAATCTGTGCTGCTTAAACACAAATTAAATGAAGTTGGTCGTAATAAACACATAAAAGCAGCTGAATTGTTTGTACACACTGTACAAAAAGACAGCTCTGAGCTGCTACCAGAAATTAGTCAAAACCACAGTCTTTTACTGTCACTTTGATAGTTTTGCAGTGAGATAATAGAAAAAAAGGGGGGGAAAAAAATCACTTTGCTCACAAGACAAGAGGCAAAACGAAGCTAAACAGGAGACAAGAAATCCTGTCAAATAATCAGCAACTCAGGGCTTTTCCTACAGCCCTGGAATGACCCCAGCTGCCCTCAAAGTGGCCAAACCGTGCTGTGCTGTCACTGCTGCAGGTCTGCTCTGCTCTGTCATGTTCTTACAGGGTTATTTGAGTGTTTCCCATGAACGGGACCCACAGAGGCTCCCCTGGTCCCTGTCCCCACCCCCTGTGCCGGTAAATCCCTTGTCCCCTGCAGCTCTTTGGCTCCACTGGCTCGATCCCTCCCGGCTCCCTGTCCCGGTGCAGCTCCCGGAGCCAGGGATGTGATATCACCGCTGGAATGTGCAATCCCAGCGCCGGGAGGGGGAAGGGACAGGCAGAAATTCTCTCCGGGGGGAAATCAAGTCCCACAGCACCGAGATCAGGATTCCCTTTGGATGGGAAAAGAACTCACCCCGCTCCTCCTCAGCCCAGTTCCCAACAGGGTGATTTCAACGCTGCCTCCTCCTGATTTGATCTTTTCAGCCCCAAAAATCTGAGGTTTGGGGGGTTTAAATCCTCTTCAACCCGAGACATCCTGATTTCCTTAAGGTTAAAGAGTCCTTTGCAACAGTCCCTAAAACAGGGATTAACTTTGGCTACATCACCTCAGAATCAACCCACGAGAGTAACAGGTTAAAAACCAACCAGAAGCACTCAGAGGGATATAAAATTCCAATGAATCCATCCTTCCCAACGTGTGCTTTGCCTCAGAAACAAGCAGGGCTGTGTGATTTGCTAAGCAGATTTCTCTGGACCTCCCCAGCCCCAGAGCTGGAGGCCTGAAGGAATCAGGACTTTCACTCCTGCACGACTGTAATGATCAAACTCTCCCCCTGACAAAGTTCATGTTTGCTCTCCTGAACACAAGCAAACAAAGAAAACCAGCCAATTCACTGCTACATTCATCAGGCAGAGGAGTTTTATTAAAACTTGAGCATTACATACTGCTCCATGGGTTAAGCAGCACTATAAAGGCATTTAAACACATAATTTGCACAGCAAACGAAGAGTGAATTAATGAGAGCCTCCAACAATATCACAGCTGCTGACAGAAAATCCAGCATCCTCAGCCTGCATTTTGCAGGAAGGGGGTAACAAACCCTGCTGCCCCCATGTAGCCCTCTCGCCCAAACCAATGAAAAAAAATCAAAAATAAATGTTTCACTGGGATAACTCAAGGGAGGGGGATATTAAACTCAAATTGCAGTGTGGGGGGAAGATGGGAAGCTCCCGTGCACAGACTCCTCAGCTCCAGATAAAAGTGCTCCAGCAGTTTCCAGACGTTCACAAGAGGCCCAAGGACATTTTTTTTCTCCTCAGAGCTGCCAGCTGAGGTTTTACATCTGGAGTTATAAATTAGGATTGAAAAGCTGTTCGGGGCTGGGGAGGTGCAGCAGCCACTGCACACACACGGAGACTGTCACAGACCTGTCCTGGAATGTCACAGGAGGGGCTGGAGAGGAAAGTTCCTGACGGGATCACGACGAGCAGGATCCCACCCCAAAGGGCATTTTTGAAGCTTCACAGAATCCCAGAGTGGTTTGGGTTGGAAGGGAACTTAAAGCTCATCCAGTTCCACTCCCCTGCCCTGGGCAGGGACACCTTCCACTATCCCAGGCTGCTCCAACCTGGCCTTGGACACTTCCAGGGATGGATCCACCTCACCCTCCAAACCCTCTCCTACCACCTGAACCCTCAAAAAAAGCCCCCTCTCCTCCCTCAACACTTCAGGTACATCGAAATAAAAACCCGCTGGTGATTAAAGCACCTCTTGAAGGGCAACGCTCAGCTGTGATTTATTTGCAGCTTGCAAGCTCTGGGAGCCTTTAAGTGTATTTATTGGTTGTTTATAAAGATGGGAAACAAACTCCTCCACCTCCTTCCCTGCACATCTCTGCCCGTGCCACCCACGGGTGTTTATGGTGACACCGGGGCTGAACTTTTTTGCTTTATGGAAACCACAAAGCCCCGCCGGGTTCTCAGAACCGCGAAGAGGTGACTCGGATCTCACCCCGAACTCTTGCAAAGCCCAGAATCTGAACTGCACAGCAAGCCGGAGAATGTAAATGAAGCAGAGATCAGCCTCTGATGCAGGTTCGGCTGCAGCGGGTCCCTCTCAACGCTCTGACCTCGGTGGGTGCAGCAGGAACAGCCCCAAACACCCCAAATTTAAACTATTTCAGCACTGACACCTCAAAGCCGGGGCATTACAGTCCTAACGCACCGCAAAATCGCAATCTTACAGCACTCGACACCCCCAAACCGGAGCGTTTCAGCATTAACACCCCAAACCAGGGCTGTTAGAGCACAGACAGCCCAAACCCCGGGGATTTCAGCCCCGAACCCCCAAACCCGGGAGATTTCAGCCCTGAACCCCCAAACCCGGGGGATTTCAGCCCCGAACCCCCAAACCCGGGGGATTTCAGCCCTGAACCCCCAAACCCCAGGGATTTCAGCCCCGAACCCCCAAACCCGGGAGATTTCAGCCCCGAACCCCCAAACCCGGGGGATTTCAGCCCCGAAACCCCAAACCCGGGGGATTTCAGCCCCGAACCCCCAAACCCGGGGGATTTCAGCCCTGAACCCCCTCAGAGCTCCCGCCCCCCCCGGAGCGCCCCAAAGTCGCTGTTGGCGCTGCCCGGAGCGGTAACGACCCCCGTGCCCCGCGCCCCTCACCGAGAGCACCCTCCCCAGCGTCCCCCCGAGCCGTCCCCGGGGTGACTCAGCAGCACCGCGGGGCCCTTCGCCCTCAGCCCCGGGGAGCCGGTGAGGGGCGCGGGCGGCGGCGGCGGCGGCGCGGGGCGGGCGGGCTGTGCGTGCCGCCCGACCACGGGGTGACCCCTCCCGACCCTGTGCCGTACCCCCGGCCATGCCCGGAGCCCCCCATGACCACTCCCGCGGCCCCCCGAGCCCCTGTGAGCCCGCTCGCCCCTCACCCATCGCGGCGGCTCCGGCGGCGGCTCCGGTGGCGGCGGCCACAATATGGCGGCACCGGGCGGGGCGCGGGCCGGACGGCGGCCGCGCGGGGACAAACCTGTGCGCGAGGGGAGGGGCGGGGCGGCCGCGAGCGGAGGGGGGGCGGGGCCGCGGCGCTCGGCGCCCCCAGCGGGCGGGGCGGGGCCCGAGGCCGTGTCGTGACACTCGTGTCGTGTCACTCGTGTCGTGTCACTCGTGTCGTGTCACTCACATCCCGTCCCTTGCCCTGTCACTCATGTCAGCTCAACTCGTGTCCCATTAGCCGTGTGCCATCACTCATGTCCTGACCCTTGTGTCCCACCCCCTCACTCATGTCCCAACCCTCGTATCCCAGTCCTTGAGTTCCACCCCCTCTCATTCACATCCCATTTCTTCCCACCCTGTCCCCTTATGACCCTCACATCCCATCCCCTGAGTCCCAGCACTCATATCCTATTCCCTGACCCCATAATGTGTTTTGAGCTCTAAATCACCCTGTCTGTGTCCCCCCCACCCCACAGGGAGCGAGAACACCCCAGACAGGGCAGAGACTCTGAGAATTCCTTTAATTGCTGTTATAACTGCAAGTCTGTAAAAGGTTTGGAGAAAGTCATCGTTACAAAACTACCAGCTGTTAGAATTGTTCCTGGCTCTCACCCCAGCTCCGAAAGGCTCAGGGAGATGCAGAGATTCAGGACAGAAGAATATTGCACGACCAACCCAACGGTTAATTGGACTAAAGAAGAAAGGAAAAGTGACACCGATGCGAGCGCTGCCCCTCGAGCTCTGCCCAGGGCCCAGCTGGGGCTGCCACCAGCAAATCCCCTCCCCGACACCCCACAGGTGTGCCCTGCCCACCACAGCTACACCTGAGCCAGGACAAGGCTGCAGCCACCTCACCCCAGGCAGAGCTGTCCCCAAGTCCCCAGGCCCTTGGCAGGACCAGGATGCTCCCACCTGGGTGGGCAGAATCTCCCCAAAGGAGGGAAAAAAACCCACAGAAAAACCCACCCCAAAACCCCAATTCTTCCAAGTGCACCTCATTTAGTGCTGTCCAGACCCAGCAGGGATCCCACAGCTCCGGTGGGGCAGCCCTGGCAGGGGCAGGACAAAGGCATCACATTCCAAACCACCACCCCAAAGGCCAGGGGGAGCCCCAAGGGCACTGCCCCCTGGGGATAAATCAGTATTAGCAACATAATGTGTCATGGCAAGGAAACTGCCCCCCAAAAAAAGAGGCTGTGGGGCTGAGGGAAGCGGTGCCAAGCAGTCACGGGGGCTCCAGTGAAGGGATCAAAGTGAGCACAGCAAAGCCCGTGGCCCTGGGGGCTGTGGGACCTGGCACGGGTGGCACACGAGGGGTCAGGAGGGGACAACAGGCCCCACCCACACTTGGGAGCCTCTGCATTCCCCTAGGCTGGCAGAGGGAATGGCCAAGCAGGGGTTAAAGTGGTCAGTGGGCCAGGCTGGGGCTTTGCAAAGGCTGAACTGGGCACCACAACGAGGGGGTTCTGTGCTCCAGGGGTGACCCAAACCCAGCAGGGCTCAAGGAAGAAGAAGCCACGAGTACTTTGCTTGGAGAATCTGCCCAGGAAGGACACGAAGCCCAGTGCAGGAAGGTGGTGCAGCTGCAAAGGGGGGAGCAGCAGGCCTTGGCTCTTCCAGGAGCTGCTGGAAACGGGAATTTCCGTGAGGAAAAGCTTCCAAGACAAAAAGCCAGGCAGAAGCTCGGGGTTTGGCAGGGGGGGGTGTTGGCTCTTCCCAGGGTCAAAGCCACAAGCCAAGTGCCTTTTTTGTGCAGCACCTCCAGCTTCCAGGCCTTCCCCGTGCGTTCTTCCCGGGCCAGGGGTGCGGAGCAGGAACAGCCACATCCAGGAGCCTCCCAGCCGCGGGTTACACGTGCACACACAAGCAAACAGGGAGCCAAGCTGGCACCTGGCAGCACCCAACACCCCTGCCAGGGCTCCCAGTGCCGTGGGGACCCCTCACTCTGCCTCCACCCCACAGGTCAGGGCGGTCAGTTTTGGCCTGGCCGGTCTCTGGGACCCACGGAGAAGATGGGCTAGGTGTGCCAGAGACCTCCTGCTTCCTCCCCCTCCTGCATCTGAAGGGGGTCACTCGAGTTGCCCACAGGATTTAGAGGGAATGAAACTCCTTCCAGCCTGGAAGTGCAACCCCCAGCACAGTCACACACAAAGGAACAGCCGGTCCGTGGTTCGATTCACGTTCGATGGTGGAAAAGAGCCTGTGACACACACTGGAGGCAGCTGCTTTATTCCCAGTCTTCCCACTCTTCATCTTCCAGCTGCAAGCAAGAGGAAACACCCCTTTAGTTTGGTTCTGTGACTCCACAGCTCCTCCTGCCCAGGGCACCTGAGCCAGCACAAAGCCTGAGGTATCTTCATGCTCCCACACCCTCCCAGCAGGGTCTGCCTGCCCTGTTCCCCTGGGGAAACCTGCACGTCCTCTCTCAGGTTGGGGAGCAATTCTGCCCCCCCTCCACTCACCTCCCCAGACATTTCCACCTTGGACAGCGCCAGCTGCACCTCCTCTTCAGTCATGTCGAGATCAAAGTCCTTCTCCCAGTCCTCGCTGATGTCCGTGCTGGAGCCTGGAACCACAGACAGCCCTTCTGAGCCTCCAGAGCTGCACCTGCTCTCCACACACCCTGGAGCTGCCCAGGCAGGCCCCAATTCCTTGATTCCTTTTGATTTCTTGTGCAGTTTCACTCCACACACAGAGCCAGCTCCTGACGCTCAGCCACCCTGGTGGATCTTGGGCTGTTCCAGGAAGCAGCACAGCCATTATCCTGGGAGAGCTGCAGCTCAAGGCTCTGCTCAAGGCAGCATCACCCCAAGGAAAGGCCTGGAAATGGAGTCACACAGAGCTGTGACACGTCCTTAACCTGGTCCTGCAGGAGTCCCACCCTTTGCTCCCCTGAAACAACATGGAAAGGGGCTCAGGGGAGGGATGAGGACGGAGCCAGCTGTGACACCAGCTGTCACCAACTGATGTGACCAACCCAACAGCCTAAGGATTTACTCCCACTCCACTTTCAGCCATTAGGATCTACCCTTCATTTTTTGCCAAAATCTCTTTCTGCTCCCCCATCACCCACAAAAGCAGAGCCCTTTTCCCAAAATCTGCCCCCCCCCAGGCCCCGTGTGGCCCCACACACGCACCTTTCTTGCCATTATTGGAGGGGGTGGACTTCCCACTGTCCGAGTTGAGCTCGAAGACTCTCAGATCCGTGGGCCCTTCCTCCCTCAGAGTCTCTGTCCTGCCCTGGCCTCTGCCCTCCCCCTCTCTGAGCTCCGCACCAGCCGCCAGCTCCGAGGATCCCGCTGATTCCCGGGCAGGTGCAGAAGGCTGAGCAGGTTCTGGGAGCTTTGTCTCTTCCAAGGTGGCCTCCTCCAGCCTCCGGGAGAGCTCCGTGGTGCGGGCGGGGCGTGCCCCAGTCTGTGGCTGTGCAGCAGGCACAGAGGCAGGGTTTGCAATCTGAGTCACGAGGGACACGCTCTCGCTGCTCTCCGAGGGGCTCAGCTCCGGGGGCAGCGCGGCCCAGCTGCCCTCGGGGGGGCCCTGGGGAGCAGTGGGGGGGGCTCCCTGCGGGGCTGCCGGGGCGGGTTCTTTCTGGGCTGCTCCTGGAAAGGTGATGTTTGCACAGGGCAGGGGTGACATCCCCAAGAACTCCTCTGTAGGGAGGCAGAAGAGAAGCGAGAGATGTTTCAGCAAGGGCAGCAGCAGCAGCTGGGCTGGGAGCTGGATTGCACAGATATCCTCAGCTGGAGGGGACCCACAAGGATCATCCACAGGACACCCCAACAATCCCTCCCAATCCCTGAGAGTGTTGTTCAAACCCTCCTGGAGCTCTGGCAGCCTTGGGGCTGTGCCCACTGCCCTGGAGAGCCTGTTCAGTGCCAACCACCCTCTGGGATGGATTTCCCTGAGATCCATCCCAATCCCCCGGCACAGCTCCAGCCGTTCCCTCGGGTCCTGTCACTGTTCCTCTGCTCCCCTCATGGTAGCGAGGAAGAGGCACCCACAGAGCCCCAAAATCCACCTCCACCAAGACCCACCTTCATCCTCCTCCCAGCCTGGCTCCTCCTGGTGCATGCTCTGCTCCGCTCGCTGCTTCAGAGCCTCCCTCCGGGCTTCATCCTGCAGGGAATTCCCCGTCAGCAGCCACACACGGCCCCAGCCCTTCCCCCCCAGGGCATTCCAGCATCACTGACCACAGGAAGGCAGCCCAGCCCCCCCTGCTTTTCCGGGAACAGCCTCTGCTGTGCCCTGGAGGGCTCCTTGAGGGAGCTCCCCCCTGAGCTGGGCCCCACCTGCTCCAGGCGATGCACTCTGTAGAAGTAGCGCTGCCAGAACTCAGCGTGGGAGACAGCCACGGGCACCTGGAATGGGATGAGCCACTTCAGAGGGAGGGGCTGCAGCTGCTGCCCTGCTCCTCCCTCCTGCCAGGCCCTGCAGCCACCCCCCTGCCCCGTGCAAGGCCCCGTGTTCTCAGGGCACAGACCTGGGGCTGAGCCTCAGGCTCCAACACACCCTGGGCAGTTCCAGAGGATGGAATAAACTGCAACCTGCTGCCTAATCCCCGTGCACCCACAGGGATTTCCAGGCCCCAGGCAGCTCAGGGCTGCCCTGCACCGCTCCCCAAGTGAGGAATTGCCCACGGGAGCCAGGCAGGGCCTCACTCACCATTTTGGTGTAGAGGGCCCGGATGGACGGGCTGGTTGCCAGCAGCTCTGCCACCTCCCCTTTCTTGTCCTCCAGGCTGAACTGAGCCAGCCAGGCCTCCAGCAGCTCAGCAGGGCCTGTGTGGGACAAGCACAGGGATAACAGCCCTTGGCACAAACAAGCAGGAAGAGTTTTGGGAGGTTTAACTGGAAAATTGCTGCTGGGGCAAAGGGGGAGGGAGACACGGGGCTGGAAGCCCACACAGGAGCACCAGTTTAAACTGGGCCACTAAACTCAGCCTAAGCTGGTCCCTGACACAGCAGACAGATGTGCTCCCCACAACTGGTGATCCCAGCTGCAGGCCAAGCCAGCAGCCTCCCTGGGGAATTCCAGATGGATCCCAGACCCCCAGCTGGGCTGGGCAGCACCCCAGACCACCCCCCTAAATGCTCCCATACCATCAGGCTCGTTGCAGTAGGTGGCTGGGTCGGACTGGAGGCTGTAGAGACGAGCCTGGAGGAGACACAGAGGGCAGAGCTGTCAGGGGAGGGGCAGCAGCAGAGCCCCAGGGACAGGGGCTCGGGAGACTTTAGGTGCCAGAGCTTCCCTCTGGGAACAGGACACTCACCTTGGCACTGTCGTAGGGCTCGGTGGTGCCCGAGGGCGTTGCCATCAGAGTTATAACGTCACAGTCGATGGTCTTGTCTGGGGAGGGGGCAAATGTGTCCGAGATGACCCCCAGGAAGTCCGACAGCCCCTTCCTCACCTTCTCGGTGGCACCTGAGGAGCCCTCCGTCCTCTTCAAGAGAGGAACCAGCACAGGGTGAGTGACAGTCCCTGCAGCAGCAGGATGCCCCAGGAGTTCTGGATGGGATCCTTTAGGGAAGCAGGATGTCTCTCCCTTCAGGAAAGTGCTGAGGAGGTGCCTGGGCTGGAGAGAGGCTCAGGGCTTGTGAGGGGTTTGTGGGGAACTGAGCCCAGGGAAGGACACAGGCGGGTTTGTGGGAAGGACACAGGCGGGTTTGGGATGGGCTGGTTTGGGGTTGGGCTGTCACAGCAGCAGCTGGGCAGGGCTGAGGGGGACAGCTCATGGGGAGATCCAGTGCCATGCACAGGGACACTGCCAGGATCCCACCTGCAAGCACGGGGCGGGGGGAACCACAGGGAACCTTCCCCTGCTCACCCACAAGGACATGGAGTGACAGGACAAGGCGGAATGGCCTTAAGGCGAAGAGGAGGGCAGGGTTAGACGGGATACTGGGGAGAAATCCTTCCCTGGGAGGGAGGGCAGGCCCTGGCACAGCTTTGCCCAGAGCAGCTGTGGCTGCCCCATCCCTGGGAGTGTCCAAGGCCAGGCTGGAACAACCTCCAGCAGCTCCTCCCCACCGCAAGGAAACCCCGCACAGCGCTCAGCGCCAAACCCGCCCTGCAGAGACAAAACCTGACCCCTGAAGGTCACAACAGGGGTTTGTCCAGCGTCCTGTGGGGCAGGACCACCCTGCCCACCCCCTTTTCCCCCGTGCCACAGCTCTGCCAGCCCCAAACTCACCGCCAGCCTGTCCTTGACCACGCTGGCCGTGGCGGCGATGGTGCAGGCCGTGTCGTGCTGCACCACCTGGGTGAACTCTGCCAGGTCCCTCCTCATGAACTCCAGGGCTTCTGTGGACTGCAAGGAGACAACAGAGGGACCGTGGAGCCTTTTCTCCTCTCCAGCAAATCGCTCCAGCAACACCCAGCCATTACAGCGGGGGGTTGTTTTTTAAGCTAAGAATAGAAAAGCACGGGTTGGGAACAGCCCTGTCCTGAGTGCTGTGTATAATTAACACCAGCAGTGCTGTCACAGGCAGGAAATTACACACCACGGAGCCCTCCTTGCTTAGGGGGGTGATTCCCACGGGACAGAGCCCGAGATCCCTGCACAGCCCCATCCAGGCCCCCCCAGCTCCCGGAATTCCAGCCCTCCCAGGCCGTGCTCCAGCCCCAGCAGGTCCCACCTTCTCCTTGACGGCCTGGTAGCTCTGCTGCAGCCAACTGCGCCACCAGCCCCCGTCCTCCCTGCGGGACACGGCGTCAGGACACACGGACACACAGACAGACACACAGATGGACAGATGGACACACACGGAGCCTGAGCCAGACCTACAGCCCACACTTCACAGCCCACACCCAGCCCCCAGCCCCCAAATCCCAGATCCCCGACCCAGATCCTGATCCCAAGCCCCAGATCCAGACCCAGATTCCAGATCCTGACCCAAGATCCAGATCCCAGACCCCAATCCAAGATCCAGATCCAGATCCCGGCCCACATCCCGAGCCCAAACCCCAGATCCCAGACACCGAGTCAGAGCTCGGATCAGCGGCCACAGCCCCCGATCCCGGTTCCATCCCGGCCCCCGATCCCAGCCCGATCCCGGTTCCATCCCGGCCCGATCCCGGCCCGATCCCGGCCGAGCCCCGCTCACCCCTCCGCCATCTTCGCGCTGTGACGTCACCAATATTTACCGACCCCTCGCCGGTGCATCCTGACGTCACTTCCCGCCCCGCCCCGGGGGGGCCGGCCCCGGTACGGCGGCCGGGAGGGACCGGGAGGGACCGGGAGCCACCGGCGCCGGGCGGAGGTGAGCGGGGAGCGGCGGGCGGGACGGGCCGTGGGGCGGGCAGCGATCCCGGTACCGGGCAGGGTGAGTCCGGGTGGTCCTCGGCGTTCCGTGGGGTCCCGGTACCGGGAAGGGCCGTTCTTGGAGCAGGGAGGGATCCCGGTACCGGGAAGAACGGTCCTTGGCGTTCCGGACACCGTGGGTACCGGGAAGGACCGTCCTGGGAGCAGGGAGGGATCCCGGTACCGGACAGGACGGTCCTGGGCGTTCCAGGTCATCCCCGGTACTGGGAAAGACGGTCCTTGGAGCAGGGAAGGATCCCGGGACCGGGACGGTCGGTCCTTGGAGCAGGGAAGGATGCCGGGACCGGGACGGTCGGTCCTTGGAGCAGGGAAGGATCCTGGCACCGGGACGGTCGGTCCCAGGTGTTCCGGACACCCCCAGCAGCGGGTGGGACAGTCCTTGGAGCAGGGAGGGATCCCGGTACCGGGCAGGACAGCCCGGACGGTCCTTGGTGTCCCGGAGCATCCCTGGTGCCTCCCGCGGGGGGAGGCTGGTGCTGCTCCCCTGTCCCCGAGTGTCCCTCTGTCCCTGGTGTGTCCCCTCCTGTTCCTGATGTGTCCCCCCTGTCCCTGGTGTGTCCCCGCTGTCCCGCCGGGGATCCCCGCGGGTCCCGGTGCTGATTTTAAGATTTTTTTCCGGTGTTTTCCCGGCACAGCCATGGAGGTGCAGTCCTACTACACCAAACTGCTGGGGGAGCTGAACGAGCAGCGCAAGCGGGACTTCTTCTGCGACTGCAGCATCATCGTGGAGGGCCGGATCTTCAAGGCGCACAAGAACATCCTGTTCGCCAACAGCGGCTACTTCCGAGCGCTGCTCATCCACTACATCCAGGACAGCGGCCGCCACAGCACCGCCTCCCTCGACATCGTCACCTCCGACGCCTTCTCCGTCATCCTGGACTTCCTCTACTCCGGGAAGCTCGACCTGCGCGGCGAGAACGTGATCGAGGTGATGTCGGCCGCCAGCTACCTGCAGATGACCGACGTGGTCAACTTCTGCAAGGCCTACATCAGGTCCTCCCTGGACATCTGCAGGAAGATGGAGCGGGAGGCGGCTCTCTACCAGGCGGACAGCGGGAGCTCGGCCAGGGAGGGCCCGTCCCTCGGGCTCAGGGGTCAGGGCGCTGCCCCTGGCTCGTCCCTGCAGGACGAGGAAGGGGTTCCGGGCTGCCAGCGGGACCCCCCGTGCGGGGACTGCAGCGGCTGCCACCCCCTGGAGCTGGTGGTGCGGGACCCCCGGGATGGGGGGAACCCCTCGCTGCCCGGGGGGGTGGAACCCAAGGTGGAGTTGGAGCCCGATGACGAAGGGGAGGCGGAGGAGAGGCTGCCCCCGTGCCCCGCCCCGCTGTCCCTGGAGCACGGGGAGGAGGGGCAGCCCGTGGACCTGGCCTGCAACAGCTACCACATGAAGCAGTTCCTGGAGGCCCTGCTGCGCAACAGCTCGGCCCAGAGGAAGGAGGACGTGGTGGTGCAGCACTTGGTGAGGGGGTTGGAGGGCAGGACGGAGGACGCAGGGGTGGCCGTGAGCTCCATGGTGGACATTCACAGCGACTGGTATGGTGAGGACACAGGTGAGAGGACCTGGGGGGGGAGGAGGTGCAGGCTGAGGAGACAGCTCAGCTGTGCCCAGACTCCTCCTGTTGCTGTTGTTCCTGCTCAGGGACGTGTCGGTGAATGTCGTGGCGTAGTGAAATAAACTCTGGTTGTGGACTTGCAAAGCAGCTGTACTTGTCTGTTCAGTGCAGCCCGTGGGAGGTGAGTATTGCCCAGGAGCTTTACAGCCCCCCCTGGAACAGAAACCAGAGCTAAGTGTGGGTGATCCTGCCCCAAATAAACAAACTCACTCGAGACCTCTCTGAATGGCAGGTGAATTTTTAAATTTAACAATTTGTAAGGAGCGACCCGGGAGGAGCTGAGCTGCCACAGGAGGGATCTGCTGCAGGACCTGGCCCAGCAGGAGGAGCTCATCCCACCGGAGCTCCTGCCAGCACATCTGCTGGGTGACGGGCTCTTTGCTCCTGCTTTGGACTTCAAAGGGCAGAAATCGGTTTAATCCAATACTGAGGGACACTACGAGTCCTTTGAAAGCTTTAAACTCTGGGGTGCTGCATAAAGAGGAGACCTTTTTAGAGGCAAACTCACTTCTCAGCTGTTGGTCACCAAGGTTCTGCTGCTGCCCCAAGCCCAGCACCTGCTGGAATGTCTCAGGAATATCTCCCAGGAACAGTGTCAGGGACCTGGAGGAGAAGAAAGTCGTGCCCATATGCATTTCCCCTGAAGTGGACAATAAAGATTTGGGCATTTTATCTGTTTTTTTCGGTGATTGCCTTGCCCAAACAGCCCTGTGAAGACGGGAGGTGGCTCTGGCAAACTGCAGGTGCCACGGCCACTGAGGATGTGACAGATTCCACAGTGCTGTGGGCACAGACAGGGCTGGCACTGGCTGCTCTGCCAGACCCAGCAAGTTTGTGTTCGTGTCATCTCCAGCTCAGGCCTGCCTGTGTGATCCCAGAGCCAATAAAACAGATCTGTTCTCCCACTGCTTTAAAACAAGGAGCTGATAAAAATCACAAAATCCATTTTCACTGCCCCCAGAAAGCTCTCAGGGCCGTCACAGGTCGTGCCTGTCATCTCTGACGGGGAGCAAGGCAGGAGCATCAAACACACAAACTTCACTTCTCTTTCTCCTCTCTTAAAACCTCCAAACTGCTTAATAAAGTCATTAAAAAGGGAGGTGCTTCCAGGATTTGATGGAGAACAGCAGGCTGTCCTGACAGTGGAGCAGAAGTGTCAGTGGTAGATGTGCTTTAAGTGGGGAGTGAGGGAAAGGAAGCCAAGCCCTGCATTCCTTTATTTCTCTGCTAAAACAGGACATCATAAGCACTGAGTAGGATGGGAGTTCCTCTTCCCAGCTTTCACTGGTGCTGCTGCCTCAGCATTCTCACAAGACACCAGCCATGGGAAATACATGACAGAGGAATGGTGCACTCAGGCTGCCACAGGAGATAAATGCTGCTTATATTTTGGAGCGTCCACCTCTGTTCTTGTCATCCTGGTCCCCCTTCACAGCAGGTGGAGGGTTAACAGGCACCTCTAGAGAGCCTGGAAGCAAGTCAGGACTAAGGACTGGGCTTGGGTTTTATTTTTAATGGAGCTTTAAGGGCCCAGCAGGGATTAGAAGTACCTTGTGAAGGTCCAGAACTGGGTGAGGTGACTCTCACTCACATGCCATTAATATTAGACACACCCTTCTTGACAGTGGGTTGGATAAACCTTAATAAAGGGATGTTCTGCAACCTCAGCTGCTTGTGGAAGAGCTCAGGGCATTTGACATGCAAACACTCCCCTGAATCAGTGCCTGAAATAAATATTTAAATACAAGGTCACATGGGGGCACGGTGCAGTGTTCCTACCTGCAGTTTGTGTTAAAAGATTTTAGTTTCTGATGCAGTTTAATAATAAAAAAAAAAAAAAAAATTGAGTAGGAAAGTTTCCATGGCTGAGATGAAGCAGAGACCCCCCTGCACCAAAAGCAGGTTTGGGGCACTCGGTGGCTTCTTGAAATAAAATGAGTGTTTTCCTGTTGTATCAGCTGTGTAAGGCTGATTTCTGAGGCACTTGGGCACCTGCAGCTGCACCAGTGTCTGCACCTGCCCAAGCTGAGGGAATTCCAGGTAAGCCAAGGCCGGGGAGAGGGGAGGTGCAGTTCCCTCGGCTGGGATTTGCGGTGAGCAGGGCAGGGACCCAGCACAGCCATCCCCAGGGGTGCTGCCCTGCCTGACCCGCTGCCCTGTGTGTTTTTTCTCCCCGAAGGTGACGTGCTGGTCGTGCCAATCAAGCTGCACAAGTGCCCCTTCTGCCCCTACACGGCCAAGCAGAAGGGCATCCTGAAGAGGCACATCCGCTCGCACACCGGGGAGAGGCCCTACCCCTGCGAGACCTGTGGGAAGCGCTTCACCCGCCAGGAGCACCTGCGGAGCCACGCCCTGAGCGTGAGTTGGGTCCTGCATCCCTCGGGAAATTCACGGGGAGAGTTGTTTCCTTGGCGTTTTCCAGTCACGTTCCCGAAATCCATTGTTGTTGCTGATGTCAGGGCTCGAGCCACTGATGTTTGGTTCAATGATTTAGGTGTTGGGTTCATCGGATGTTTGATGTTTGGCTCTTCAGGTCGGATATGGGGATGGGATTCTCCCCTGTGAGGGTGGGCAGGCCCTGGCACAGGTTTGCCCAGAGAAGCTGTGGCTGCCCCATCCCTGGGAGTGTCCAAGGCCGGGTTGGAGCAACCTGGGATAGTGGGAGGTGTCCCTGCCCATGGCAGGGGGTGGAATTAGATGAGCTCAAGGTCCCTCCCAACTCAACCCATCCTGTGATTCCATGATCCTTCCGTAGCCCAAACCTTCATGGCTGGACAGGTGGGATCAGCCGCCTGCCAAACTGGCAGGTCGCCTTTCTTTATTTTTGTTTCGATTTTCCCAGCTCGCCTCCCTTTTTTTCCCCCGCAGGTTCACCGCTCCAACAAGCCCATCATCTGCAAGGGCTGCAGGAGGACCTTCACCAACAGCCTGTCCCCGGGGCTGCGGCGCTTCGGGCTCTGCGACAGCTGCACCTGCGTCACCACCACCCACGAGGACCCTGCGCCCATCAACCTCAGCCTGGTGGAGACGGCCTCGGAGGGCCAGGACAAGGGGGATGCCGACAGTGACTGGCCCATCTACGTGGAGTCCGGCGAGGAGAACGACCCGGCCGACGAGGAGGAGGAGGGCGATGACAAGCGGGAAATCCACAGGAGTTTGTCGGACAGGGAGTCGCTGATGTAGCAGTGGGAGAGGGAGCACGGGAGAGACTGCTCGTTAGCCCCCAGTTTGGTGACACTGTGCTGGGTTTTTATTCTTTTTTTTCTCAGTGGGAATTTTTAATGCTTTTTTAAGTTTTCAGTGCTGTGCACCAGAAGTCTGTGCAGGGTTTCCTGTCTGGGCTTCGCAGAGCTTGGACTTGAGTGATTTCTCTGCCTCTCTGGTTTTGATTTTGCAGGTGGAACATCTCGGTGTTGCTTTGATGACAGGTTTCTTCAAGCAGTGCTGTTGTGGTCCTCAATCCCTGTCCTGAATGGGGCACCACCTTCTCTCTGAAGATGACATGAAATGTAGTTTACATCTCTTACCTTGGGACTTTTTAATTAAACTGTGATCCTTCTGTGCTAGGACAGAATTACCTAAACTGTAAACCAGGAGTGTTTGCTCGGGCTGGGTCTGACCTGGAAACCAGGGCAGAAAAACCAGGATAACAAAAATATGCTGCTGCTGAAAGGGTAGACAGTAGGAATAGCTGTACTTCACGTGTCCTTAACTGCAGGATTTCGGAGATCAAGTTTCTCTTCCTGAATTTTTACTGCATCTTACCCCAGTTATTTATTTCTTTTTAAAAAACCCAAACCCTCCATTGTTGACCTCCTGTTTCTTTGCTGGGATAGCTCAAGGTTTTCAAAGGGTGAGATTTGTTACCTTTTCAGTAGCCAGTTGATATAAGCTATCAAAAAACCAGGCTGGGAAGCTTTGGATGAAAACCCACCACCAACAGAAAGCCTGTTTGCTTTTAGGGGTGACCTCCTGTTCCCTAAGGAGGGGACAAAACTGAGATTATACTGTGAAATATGACTGTTAATGCTTCTTTACCCTGCTGTTCATAAGTGTTCCACGAAAAGGCAAATTTTGTGAGTCCTTCTAGCTGGAGCAAAGGCTGGACCAGAAGTCTGCAGACAGATTTGGCTGACGAAGAACGAGCAGTTCCTCCCACTTAAGACAAGTGTTTCTTGAGGCTTTTGGAGTAAAGAGTTCACTCTTGGCAAACCTAAAAAAAAAAAAACACAAACAAAGAGGATGTCTGTGCAGGGATGTCTGCAGAGACCTTTTTTCCTTCAACCTGCTGTCTCTTTGGTCTTAGAGATTGTTCTTGTGTGTCTTTGTGCCTAGAGAATGGAGCTGGGAGGGGTGAGGGGAGGGGGGGGTTGGCTGTGCACATTCCACGTGGAAAGTCCCCACCAAACTCGTGTTTCCTGTTGGAATTGTCATATTGTGCTGCTTTGTTTCCTATGGAGTCCTTCAGCCTTTGTGGTAGAAGAGGATAAATAGTTTATCCACATTCTTGTGAGACCTGGGGGGGGAGGGGGATGTTCACGTAAATCTGTTTTTCTTGTGCTTTCCACTTCGTTTTTTGGGTGTTTTTCCCTGAAATCTTCCGTTGTAGATGCAGCCTCTACGAGCTTTGAGAAGATGATGCAGCTGTTTTGAAATGGTGCTCGATGGAGAATCCAAAATAACGTTTTTAGGGAAGTTATTTCCGATACAATCTCTTTCTCAAAGGTTTCTGAAGGCCGTGCAGGGCGACATTATCTTCCAGTCTTAGCTCGATGTACTTGACTTTGTTTAGGAATGTACATTTTAATGTATTTTTGCACATGACTGCACTGTATTTCACTGGAGGAATACATGCTGCACTGGGATTTGGAGCTCATTTTAACCTCTTGGTGCAAGCCCTTGTAAATCTTCCAGACGTGGTCATTTGGTTTCCTGATGTTTTGTAAGACAGTTTCATAACTGAAGTCCTTTAGTCCAGTTACAATGACAAATTCTTATAAAACTGAACCTTCTTTGTAGAAGTGACTGAACTATATTTGTGGATCTTGGAGCATTCTGGAGTTTTTTTGATTGTCTAGAAAATAAAACTCTCCGAGAGGGTTGCTTTGATTTTTTTACCATTCAGATGTTGACTGAGTAAACCTGGGAGTGTCCAGATTGAGGCTCACGTTTCAGTTTCTTGAACTAAAATTAATAAATGACCATCCCCAATTTAATTACTCCAGTTAAAAAATGGGTAAATCCATTTCTGGGGACGAGGCAGTTTGCAAGAAGAATCAGGTTCTTGGGAGGAAAGGGCTAAAAGGATCCTGTCCACTTAAACCCCAGCCAAGTGGGTTTTTTAGAAAATCTTTTATATATATATATTTATATTGATATAAGAATTTTTTTTAGACAATCTTGTATATTATTAACACTGGCTTTCTGAAGTCTTTGTAGCTTTATCCTAATTGAACTTTTTAAACTCTCTGAAGAGCAAGTGGCAAGTACACAGGTTTTCCATTTTTTCCAGGGAAGATGTGGGTGCTGCAGCACCCAGAGGGAAGGAGGGCCATGCTTGGTTGTCTCCATCCTTGGGGAAAAGGACCTTCTGTGGGGGAAGGAGAGCAGGAAAGCAGAGCAGGGCAGCCAAGGGCCATCAGAGGGTGAGCAGAGAACCCTCTTTGGTGATCTGGGGAGGAGGTTGTTTAGATCCAGTTCTGAGTCACCAACATGAGCTGTATGCAAATATGGAATATTTAGGTGGTAAGGGAAGCCGGGTTAAGATAAGAGCCTAATGAGTAATTAAACGATCCTATTGGATTAGGGGGTTGAACTCCTGTGCAGATGAAGCTCCTGACTAATTCTGCTGAGAAGCCTCTGCCAACACCGCCACCAAACCTCAGGCTTCTCCTAAATGTAATTTACTGCCAGGGGGAAGATTCTTCCCTGCACTCAGGGGTTTAGGGCAGTGCATTCCCATTTCCTTCCCACTTTGCAAAAGGAACTGATCTCCTGGTGACCACCTGGAGCCTGGGTGGGTTTGAAGATTTGTATTTGTACTTGTAGATGAAGGTGCAGCTCAAATCGACCCTCCTGGGCCAGTCCCTCGGAAAGCTGAGGACAGGAACAACGATGCCAATGCAAATGAAGGAAAGCCAAACCCAAGCTGGCAGTGATTACACGAAAATTGTAATCTCATTCTTAATTCATTTCTAGTCAGGCTTTGAACTGTTGTTTAAGTTGTTCTGGTACAGGCTCTCAAGTTTGCTTTGGCAAAAAGCGTATCCCTGGATATTCCAAGTCAGAAAATACACCATCCCCCAAGGCTGTGATGCTTGACAAACATTTATTTTGAGGAAAACTGAACCCCTTTTACCTGGGTGTTACCTAATTGTATTTGGTTACCAAAACTCAAACTAACTGGGTGAGAAATGTACGTTAATAATTTTTGTATCAGCGAGAAGAACGCTGGGTTTTTAGAGTGATTTGTAAATTGTTCTCTGAAAGAGAGACCTGTGAGGGTGGGGAGGCCCTGGCACAGGTTGCCCAGAGAAGCTGTGGCTGCCCCACCCCTGGAAGCGTCCAAGGCCAGGTTGGATGGAATGTCTGCAGTTGATGGAAGGGAAGGGCAAAACGGACACAAAGGACACGGTTAAGGCAGAATGGCTTCCATGGGAAAATAAATATTTATGGGATATAACTGGGGTGCAAAAAGCACGGAAAAAGGCCCTGGTGGTAAGGAGAGGAAGGGAAAAAAAGCTAACCAAACTTCGAGGGCGAGAAAGTGAGAGGTTCAGGTTTCGCCTTTCAGACATGTTCTCTCCAGGAAAGATTAACAGCTCCGAACGGAGAAAAGAAGATGTCACGCGTCCTTCGGAGGGAGCTGCGAGAGAAAGGAGAAGGATTTGGGTCACCGGGGCCGGTGCTATAGATAAAGGTGTGAAAAGGCGGCATGTAGGGCATCCCCTCCCCTCCCGGGCATCCCGCGTGTGCGCGGGGCGCCGGGGCCGGGGCGGGCGCCGGGGCTGCGGCCGCAATCGGGTGCGTTGCCCCTTTAACTGTGTCCCCAGCCCTCGGGCGTCCGTGTCCAACGCCCACGTCAGCAAATACCTTTTGTTTCTCTCCCCGCTCGGGCTGGCGGGGCGCGGGGGCTGCGGGGAGCGGCGCGGCGCCTGCAGGCACGGCGAGCCCCGAGGCGGGGCCGGGGACCCCGCACGCACCGCCCGCCCGGCCCGGCTCGGCGGCAGCGCCCGCAGCACCGCCCGCTCAGCGGCGGCTCCCGCACCCGGTAGGCCGGGCAGGGCTGCGGGGCTGTGGGCGCGGGGAAGGGGGTCCCGCCGAGCCGGCGGTGCCGGAGGGGCGGCGGGGCCCGCGGGCCGCGCTGGGGACCGGGAGCAGCTCCGGCCGGAGCCGCTCGGTGCCCGCCGGGGCCGCCGCGTCCCCGCCGGGCGCCATTTGCAGCCCCGGGCGCGGCAACAAAGGGGCTGCGCGGGGCGGGCGGGGAGAGCGGGCGGAGGGTGCGGGAGCGGCACCGGGCACCGGGGCGCGGCACCGGGCACCGGGGGCTCCGGCGGGGATGGGGATGGGGATGGGAGCGCTCGGGCCGGGCGGGACCGGGCGGTGGGTCCGGCGCCGTCGGGCGTGCCGGGCACCGAGCGGGCGGCGGCGGCCGCGGCCGGTGCCGGCAGGGCGGCGGCTCCCGGTGCCTCCGAGAGCGGGGCCCGGGCGGAGCGGGGCGATGCGGGAGCGGCGGCTCCGGGCACGGCCGCGGTCGCTCTTGGCTCGTCGTCTCGTCGGAGCTGCCTGAAGGCTGCGCAGCCCTCGCGGGCGGCACGGATCCAGCCCTGCATCCAGCCCTGCATCCAGCCATCCAGCCCCGAATCCAACCATCCAGCCCCGCATCCAACCCCGCATCCAACCCCGCATCCAGCCCCGAATCCAGCCTCGCATCCAACCCCGCATCCAGCCCCGCATCCAGCCCCCATCCAACCCCGCATCCAGTCCCATATCCAGCCCCACATCCAAGTGATGGAGATGCTCCCAGCTGTAGCACACTCTCCTCTGCCAAATTAACACGGTCTTGGCTTTGTCGCGTCTCTTGGAAAATGAATCTTGGGTTGTGCGTGCCGTGATTTAAATATAATTATAGGTTTCGGTAAATGAGATTATTTTTCAAAAGGTGTCCATAAAATCGCGTCTGGCGTCTCTGGCTGAGTCTCACGGCGCTGAAGTCGAGAGTGTAATTATTTTCTTCGTTTTTTTTTTTTTTTAGAGCGACGTTTCGTTTCCTCTTTTCTGGGATGGAGATTTCTTCTCACCAGTTTCACCTCTTGCAGCAACTGAATGAGCAGCGCAGGCAGGACTTGTTCTGTGACTGCAACATCCTGGTGGAGGGGAAGGTCTTCAAAGCCCATCGCAATGTGCTGTTTGCCAGCAGCGGCTACTTCAAGATGCTCCTTTCACAGAGCTCGAAGGAGACGAGTCAGTCCACGACAGCCACCTTCCAGGCCTTTTCTCCTGACACCTTCACAGTCATCCTGGATTTTGTGTATTCGGGCAAACTGTCTCTCACTGGTCAGAATGTGATCGAGGTGATGTCAGCTGCCAGCTACCTGCAGATGACCGACGTCATCAGCGTGTGTAAAACCTTCATAAAGTCCTCTCTGGACATCAGTGAGAAGGAGAAGGATCGTTACTTCAGCCTCTCGGACAAAGATGTGAGCTCCAACGGCGTGGACCGGTCCTGCGTGTACAGCGGGGGCTGGAGGGCCGAGAGCAGCCCCCCCCATTCCCACTCCAGCCCAGACCCCGGGACTTGTATGATGGGCGGAAACACTTGGAGCAACTTCAACTACTACCCGGCTTCTCAGCGGAACGCCCAGCAGCAGCTGTCCAAACACGAGCAGCGGCAGGATTCCATCAAGAAATCCCGGCACCCGGGGCTGCAGCAGCCCTCTGACATCCCCCACTACAAATCCAGCAAGCTGGAGGACAGGGCTGCCGAGCCCGCCGGCCCCCCCGCGCCGCCCGAGGAGCAGCTTCACATCGACACCGAGGTTGAGACTCCTCACGTGGGCTACCAGTACGGCCAGGGGGCCGAGGGGGTGCCCAGGGGCTTGGCTGTGTCCCAGCAGGAGCACGAGTCGCCCCGTCCCTCTGGCAAATCCAAGTCGTCCAAGGCTGAGGAGCAGTACGGGAACATGCCCTCCATCCTCGGGGTCATGGGGAGCTGGGCTGAAGGTGAGCGGGGGGTGCCTGGGGTGCTGAACCAACCTTCTGAAGTAAATTCAGCTTGTGATCTTTTGGGAGATTTTTAACCTTGTTCTCGTAGAATCCCAGAATGGTTTGGAGTGGGAAGGGACCTTAAGGACCATCCCCTTCCACGAGACCAGGTTGCTCAGAGCCCCGTCCAGCCTGGCTTTGCCTGGGCTGTGATATCACAGCTGGTGGCCCCCTCCTCCCTTGTTGCACCTCTGTGTGATTTACAGGAAAACACGAGATCTTTGTGCTCGAAAGGACCTACAATAATGTTGTTTTTAATTAAAAGCGATGTGCTGTTCTGCTCATAAAATTCCTTTTCCTACAGCCTGACGTGACCTGACACGTTTTGACTTCATTTCTGGGTTTAATTTATCTTCTGACAGACGACCTGGCCAGGATGAGGTTCAAGTGCCCGTTCTGCAGCCACGTGGTGAAAAGAAAAGCTGACCTGAAGCGTCACCTTCGCTGTCACACAGGAGAGCGCCCGTACCCCTGTGAGGCCTGTGGGAAGAGGTTCAGCAGGCTGGATCACCTCAGCAGCCATTTTCGAACAGTATGTACCTTCAGGAGCTGCCTGATTTGTTTAATGTGTAAACCTGCCTAATTAGACACAGTGTGAGCGTTTCTGGTTGATAGAATTGACTCCTGTAAAAGAAGAGGTGCTAGAAAATTAATTATTTGGCTTCGCTGCAGGCAATTTGAAGCGTAATTTCTAGGAAAGGGGGGAGGAATCTCTTGGTTAGCTGGTGGTTTGCAGAGGTGCTGTAAGGGGTCTCCAGTGGGTGGCCACAGTGCTGGGGGTGGGATGGTTTAATGCCTGATGTCCCTCAGAGCGGGTTAACGCCGCTTGTTTGACGCTGCTCCCTCCCACCCTGCCTTTTTTTTTGCCACCTGGAGAGCACCCCTTGGTGGACGTGGCACTGATAAGCTTGTCCGTGTGGCTTTTCCCAGATCCACCAGGCGTGCAAGCCCATCTGCAGGAAGTGCAAGCGGCACGTGACGGAGCTGACGGGGCAGGTGGTGCAGGAGGGCACGCGGCGGTACAGACTGTGCAACGAGTGCCTGGCCGAGGCCGGCATCGACAGCATCCGCATCGACCTGGAGGCTGAGGCGCCCCTGGAGTTCCCACAGGACGGGGACAAGGACTCCAGGTGGCACTACGGCGAGGACAACAGGTCTGACGTGGAGATAGTGGAGGACGGCTCGACCGACCTGGTCATCCAGCAGGTCGACGACAGCGAGGACGAGGCGGACGAGAAGGACGTGAAGCCAAACATTAGGTAGCTGCGGGAGGAGGATCGGGAATCCCTCGGAAGGGGGAGGATGTCCTGGCCACACAGGCCCTCCACCAGCTGTTGTTGATCCTACAGAGACTCGGGGTTGAACAGGTCCAGACTTGCATGTATTTATGGACGCGCCGCTGAGTCCGGTCTGGTCGGTTCTCAGAACCCCCAATCCTTTGCTTGGTGAGGAAGAATCCATCCTCAAACAGTGGATGAACGAGGAAACCGCAGGATTCCACGGATAACTGTTCATAGCAGACAGTCTCAAAGCCTCCTTCAAGGGAGTGGGGTCTAAATATTTAAAAATAGTCGCAGAGTGTTGTAAATTGCCCACTTTTTACGCTTGTAGGGGTGTGGGGTTTATGTCATGGGGTGATAAACAAAGTGTAATGACTCCCCTCATGCCAGACAACCTCCCTTCACTGTTCAGAAGGGAAGAGAATCTTCCATGAAATTCCATGAATTCTTCCTGTTATGATAAGGAAAAAGGCAGCTAATTAAGGGAGAGCCTGTAAAATGTTTTGGCACTTTTGTCTGGAAAGGGACTCCTGTAAAATTTATTAGAACGAGGCAAATCTTCAGCAGATCACTCACTCAAGACCTGTTTCTTTACAAGAAAATCAGCACATGAATGCTAGTCCCAGTCAACACATCAGAGACAAATTAATTATGAATATGGATCATTAATTGATGCCAGCAGATGTTTGGTTCTCAAAATTGGGACCTCAGATGTTTTAATAAGCACTAATAAAACACTCTCTTTTGCTAAGAAACCTCTCAAAAGTGCCAGACAGGGTGGGGTTGTTGGGGCTCATCCATGCAGGGCCAGCAGTTGGACTTGGCTGCTCCTTGTGGGTCCCTCCCAGCTCGGGATGTTCCATCCTGTGAGCCCTCTCCAGTCTGGACAAGATGAGAACAAGATGTACTGGGAGTTCTAGAAACGTCATATTTGTGTGATTTCACCTACAACTGGGCTACAGGAGGTCGGGGATGATGAAGAAATGTGACTTCTCTAACAAAACAAGCCCCTTTGTTGTGTTGCTCGGTGAGTTTATCTCACCCAGCACCTGTAAACAGGAGGGGAGCAGAAGATGCTCCCAGGGTGCTGCCACTCTGCATTTTTTTTTTGGACAGACCTGAGTGTTATTCCAGTTCTTCATGGAACTCAATGGCTGTAAGACTTAAAAAACTCTGATTTGTTCTCTTTTTTTACAGTTTTGTAAGCATGGTTGGCTGAACCCCGGGGTTTATTACAGAACAACCCCATATATATATATATATACACTATATAATCTTCCCCAGGGACAGCTGGAAAAAAAAATTCAATATTTTATTTTTATTCATGTAAAAACTGTATAACTTTATCAGTCTCATCAAGACCAGAGATTTTTTTTTTTTTTAGTACCATCATTCCAGGCTGCAGGTGACCAGCCCAAGGTCTCTAAAATGACAACACAAGTGCTTCCTGCTAAGTTCAGTGTAGGCACTAAGCACCCTCCCCTCAAACATTCCAGGCTGATGGGAATTATCCTGCTTGGATGTCCCAAGGAAACAAGAAATGGTATTTTATCACTCCTGCAAAAATTACCATCACTGGCTTAGGATTTGGAAGGGAGAACTTACAAAGCTTCCTGATGGCCACCATGAAAACATCTTTACAAACAAGATTTATGCTTGCCTCGATTTTTATTTGACCCTTGGGCAGCAGCCCAGGGATGGACTGGATGTGAAAACAGACATTTAATTTTCTTGGAGCTTTTTTTTTTTTTACTCCTGAAATGCCTGTTATTGAACAGCTGAGAAACATTCCTGAGCAACCTGAACTAAATCAAAGACAGAACAAGAAACACGGAGTGACTTGGATTAAATTCCAAGGTGTTTTCCCTTTACATTAAACAGTGTGACAATAAATTCCAGGTACCGGTGCCTGCTGTCCCAGGATACAAAGCGACTGGGATTAGTCTGTGTGTGTTTGGGGTGGATTAAAGGGAGGGGGAAAATAAAGTGTCTCTCTAGGCCTTGAAATCTTCACTGCCAACTGTAAAGGTCAGACTATTAAATGTTTCTTAATAGTGGGGGTGTTTTTAGAGGCATAGGGATTTTGGGATCAATACTCAATTCAATTAGATACCATAAATCTAAGATGCTGCAGATCCAGACCTGAAGGGGCTGTAAATGGGCCAGTGGAACAGTCTGTCCAGAGGAAGACACTTTTTCCACACAGGCAGATAAATGGTTGATCTGCCAGGCAAACAAGGGCTTTTACTGGTTTTATACGTGGATTTTATTCTCAGTAGCATAACTAGGTATCTGTAGCCATTTTTAAAGTCTCTTATTAAGCTTGGAGTTTTGGCTCAAGACTGGGATCCCCCACAGGTCAATTATGGTTTATATTTTTTTAAAAGTTACCATTTTTTGCATCTGTTGCCTTAATTTTGGTTGTTGTTTCCTTATTTTTGTACTGCAAGCCGAGATAAACGTTAAGTGCCTTCTGTTTTCTACGTCCTTCATTTCACATAACCAGTCACACATTTTATTTTTCTAGAAATGAAAGTATTTGGTTTATTTTTGCCTCCTGCCATTGCCTGATTGTCTTCTTCATATCCCTGGGAGGATCATGTTCCACTCAGCAGCAGAATAACCTTTTTTCTTCTTTTCAAGGAGGAAAGTAAAGACCATACAGGGATGTTCCCACTGACTTTTATTTTTTTCCTTGCTTTTCTTTCATCTTCACGTCTCTTAGGGACAAGGTTTAGTGCTGGGCTTGATCTTAAAGGTCTTTTCCAACCCAAACCATTCTGTGATTCTTTTTGCTTGGCTTGTGTTTATTGTTGTGTTCACAAACCACAGTTAAGAAGTGTTAAGGCAGAAGTCATCATCATCCTCTGATTAGTGTCTCACCTCTAATTGATGTCTTGCCATCCTTTCAAAGGCTGAAATGCTGAGTTAAAACATTCTCTTTGCCCCTTTTTCAGGTATTTCTTACATTTCTTACAATTCTCCCTGCCACATAAACCTATGACTTGTGTCATGCTTCATCAGTTCTTTCACATCATCTCCCATCCTTTTGTTTTCCATTAAATCACCTCAACACCTGTATTTACTATCCAAAAAAAGTCATATTTTAGTTATTGTTGGTTGTAGGCAACACATATAGGAATGAAATAGAAGAACAAATTCTCTAGTTCTGCCCAAAGGGTTGAGTTTTGCAGAAAAGGATCTTCTAATCCTCCAGACTTTTTCCATTAGGTCCAAATCTGCACCAACATTATGTCTGTGGAGCGATGGGTATAACTCTGAAAGCTACTGAGAAAACTTTATAATAGCATTTAGTTAAATATTTTCTATACTGTTTAACTTAAAACCCTTCCGTGTTGGGAGTCAGTGTAACCTTTCATCCTGTGTAACTCGTGAAATGCAGAGGGGTGGCTTATTCGGTGCATCAAGAATTTTAAACACAGCAGGAACACAGGACAAGAGTTTTGGTGAACAAACTGGGAGGAGTGGCTGGAAAGAGCTTCCCCTGCCAGGGCTGAGCTGTTGGACTAAATTAAATATTAGTGGAGTTCTCTCTGACACTTGGCTGTGTGAATGGGAATCGGTTTTTCCCTTGTTCTCCCAGCCTGCTGTGAGGAGGGAACTGAACCAATGACTGCAGAGGTTCCCTCTCCAAATGATTCAGTGATCTCGAGGAACAAGATTGAAAGAGTCTCATCCTCTAACAGGCACGAGTTTGGGAGTGTCTTGTCTTCCAGCGGGCATCCCGATTCCACCTTCCACACGGGACGGAGAGCAGGGCGACCTGCGTGCGGCATCCCTCCCGCAGCGCTTTGAGCGCCAAAGTTCCCTCGCAAAAACGCCGCCACACTTGAGTCGATGTGACAAATCCCACACCGCAGGGCTACGGACACCTCCCGCTCAGGTGGCGCCTTCCATCCACACACACACACAGAGGTACATCCCGGGCCGGGCTTTAACAAAGCCGCGTGTGCGGGAGGGCATCCCCTCCCCTCCCGGGCATCCCGCGTGTGCGCGGGGCGCCGGGGCCGGGGCGGGCGCCGGGGCTGCGGCCGCAACCGGGTGCGTTGCCCCTTTAACTGTGTCCCCAGCCCTCGGGCGTCCGTGTCCAACGCCCACGTCAGCAAATACCTTTTGTTTCTCTCCCCGCTCGGGCTGGCGGGGCGCGGGGGCTGCGGGGAGCGGCGCGGCGCCTGCAGGCACGGCGAGCCCCGAGGCGGGGCCGGGGACCCCGCACGCACCGCCCGCCCGGCCCGGCTCGGCGGCAGCGCCCGCAGCACCGCCCGCCGAGCGGCCCCGCAGCCCCGGCAGCCGCGGGAAGGAGCGGGGCTGCGGGGCGGGGAGCGGCGGCAGCTCCGCCCGGAGCCGCTCGGTGCCCGCCGGGCGCCATTTGCAGCCCCGGGCGCGGCAACAAAGGGGCTGCGCGGGGCGGGCGGAGAGAGCGGGCGGCGGGTGCGGGAGCGGGGGGTGCGGGAGCGGCGGGGGCAGGAGCGGGAGCAGCGGGCACACAGGAGCGGGAGCAGCGGGCATCGCGCGGCGGCGTGGCGGGGGCACCGAGGGAAGGGCAGCCCGCCGAGGGAGGCTGCGGGCGGCGCGCCCGGCCCGGGGCGGTCCGTGCCGGGGATGGGGATGGGGATGGGAGCGCTCGGGCGGGCGGCTCCGGCGCCGTCGGGCATCGCGGGGGACAGAGGGACCGGCTCCGAGAGCGGCCCCCGGTGCGCTGGGCAGGGGCTGCGCCTGCCGCGCACCCGCGGCTCTGCGGGAGGGCCGAGCGCTGCCTCTCGCTCTGAGAACCATTAACGTCTCGGTGGATGCGATCCGCGTTCTTTTGGGATGCTAAGTGATCCCCGCTGGCGCGTCTTTCCGCCTCTTCTGGAGTTGTTAAGTTTCTTCTCTCGTGTTACTGTAGCAGGCGGAGGGGCTTGGGAGATGCCTCGGAAATGTGATAACGCCTTTTGAATTGGAGCTCGTCTCTTTATATTAGGGTTCCTCAACGTTGATGCAGATTGTCACGATGACGTTTTTTTCCTTTACAGCAAACCCTCCTCTGACTCCCTGCCTGGGATGGAGATTTCTTCCCACCAGTCTCACCTCCTGGAGCAGCTGAACGAGCAGCGGAAGCAGGACTTGTTCTGCGACTGCAACATCCTGGTGGAGGGGAAGGTCTTCAAAGCCCATCGCAATGTGCTGTTTGCCAGCAGCGGCTACTTCAAGATGCTCCTTTCACAGAGCTCGAAGGAGACGAGTCAGCCAACAATAGCCACGTTCGAGGTCTTCTCTCCAGAGACCTTCATGGTTATCCTGGACTTCGTGTATTCAGGGATATTGTCTTTAACCGGTCAGAATGTGATCGAGGTGATGTCAGCTGCCAGCTACCTGCAGATGACAGATATCCTCAATGTCTGCAAGACCTTCATCAAGTCCTCCCTGGATATTAATGAAAAGGAGAAGGATCATTACCTCAGCCTCTCGACCAAGAGCGCCAGCGCCGAGCCTGCCCGGCCCACCCTTTATCGCTCCAGGAGGAAAGCGAAGAGCAACCCCCGGCGTTCCTACTCCGTCCCGGATGAAAAGCCCAGCGCCAACGAGAACTCCTGGAGCGGCTACGGCAGCTACCTGTCCTCACAGGGGATCCTGCAGCGGGCAGAGACCCAGCTGTCCAAAAGGGGCAGAAAGCAGGGCTCGGGCAGGAAGCGCCGCAAGCACCTGGGCCTGTGCCAGGGCCGGGATTTGGGGCAGTGCAAAGCGGACAGAGCCGGCGCCTCGGATTGCAGCCCCCTGTCCGGGGTCGGGGAGGAGGCCGAGTTTGATGCGGAGAATGACGCGGATCGGGATGATTTCGGGTGCCATCGCGGCTCGGAGGCGGCGCCCAAGAGGTGGTCTGTTAATCAGCTGGAGCAAGAACTTTCCAGAACTCCCGAGTTCATGGAGTTAAAGGCAGAAGAACTGTACACCTCGATGCCCACAATTTTAGGCGTAATGAGTAGTTGGAACGAAGGTAAAAAAGAGAGGAGCTGGTTTGGAAAAGTTTGGCTTTATCTGGGAGAATTCGGGTGATGTTTTGGAGGGAATTTGTGTGGTTGCATGGAAAGCAAAAGTAGTGCCGAGACTTCGAGGTGAATTTATCTACTCAGGAATGAGTTTGCAGCCAGAGTGGGGCATGGGAAGTGGGATGGGACCTCTGTAGATCCCCAAACCTGGCACTTATCCAACCTCAATCCAACCCAATTCCTTCACATGGCATTTTTGGGATGTTGCATTTCCCTTGGGGTCCAACCAGCCCAAACTTTGTGGCTGTTTGGCCACAAACAAATAAAGCATCCGAGCTCCTGATGGACTTGTCAGCACCTGGTGGAATAAAGCTGACAGGTCTATTCTCATGTGTATTCTTTTGGAAATGAACATATTATGCAGATTGCAGTGGCATATTCTGAAGACTTGAGGCATTCTCATATATTAAACAGAGATTATAAATGTCAAAGCTATGAACCGTTAGGTGATGGAAGAGCTCATGGTTCAGTTAGTACAAATATATAATAGCTACATATTTATGATAATCTGTATGTCTAAAAAATACCCCCAGTAAGAAAGAAACCACTTTAAAATGGCCATTTAACATGTTCAGTGAGAAGTACGGGCTTTTGGGGGAAAGATATATTTTACATATTAAATTTGTTTCATATATTTCATGTATTTTATGCATTTCATATATTTTATAGACAAAATACGTTTTATAGATGAAATACATTTTATAGATGAAATAAATGTTATAGACAAAATACATTCTGTAGATGAAACACATTTTATAGGTGAAATGCATTTTATAGATGAAATATATTTTATATATGTGTATATACCCTCAAAGCCCGTATTTTACGTATTTGTAGGTTGTATTTCATATATTATATATTGTTATATAATTTACATATTGTTCTATATTATATAATGTCACAGGATATTCTGAGTGGGAAGGGACCCACAAGGATCATCAGTGGCCTGTGTGGGGTGGGGGGATTGAACCCACGAGCTTGGCATTGTTAGCACTGTGTTCCAACACGACCCTGACAACACATCACACGTTTATATAAAATATTTTGGGGGTTTTTCCTCCTTGCTGACGGAGCAGAGGTGGCAGGAACTGCCCCTGTCTGAGCTGACAGCCCTCCCCTGTGCCCTCGGCAGGTGACCTGCCCCGCATGCGGTTCAAGTGCCCGTTCTGCACCCACACCGTGAAGCGCCGCGCGGACCTGAAGCGGCACCTGCGGTGCCACACCGGGGAGCGGCCGTACCCCTGCGAGGCCTGCGGGAAGAGGTTCACCCGCCTGGAGCACCTGCGCAACCACTTCCAAACGGTACGGCCTTCCCGCTGGGATAAAATCCCGGGAAATGCAACAGGGGCTCCGCTGGTCTGAGCCGTGCAGGCGTTTCCAGCACTAACGCCCCAAACGCTTCCTTAGTCGTTATTTAACTTGACGGATCGTATTTAAAAATTTCATTTTTTTTTCCCTCTTCGGCGTGATTCCACCTTCTTAAAAAATAATTATAATAATAACAAATGTCCTTTTTTTTTTTTTTGGATCCCCCCTCCAGATCCACCAGGCGGGCAAGCTGATCTGCAGGAAATGCAAGCGCCAGGTCACGGAGCTGACGGGCTGCGTGGTGCAGCAGGGCACGCGGCGCTACAGGCTGTGCCACAAGTGCTTGGCAGAGGCCAGTCTCGACAGCACCCCCGAGGATTTCGATGCAGGACATTCCCCCGTGTCCTCTGCGGGGAGCAAACGCCCCAAGTGGGCTCTGGAGGAGGGGCAGAAATCAGAGGAGGAGCCGGCGGAGGAGGAGCCGTATAATTTGGTTGTCCGACACACTAACGATGACATTCCAGATGAGGTAGAGGAAAAGGTGAAACCAAATCTTAGGTAGATATTTGTGCACTTGTTACTTGTTGTATTCGAGGTTAAATTAGTCGTGTCCTACCGACTAAATGCTGGCTCCTTGAATTGAAATGAAGTATTGCTAAAATTCTATTTTTGAGGAGCGAAATTTGGACTAAAACGAGTTGTTTTGTGCTTGCAGACATGGAACAGTGTAACTGCTTCTAAATGCCATCCAGAAAGCACTGAGAATCATAAGGTCTCCTGAGTTGGAAGGGACCCACAAGGATCATCAAAGTTCATCTCCTCACTTATTACCTGGAAACTATTTAGAAGAACTGGTTTATGTTCCATCAGAGACTCACTCAGAGCTGCTGCTCACAATGGAAGCGTGAACCAGCTCACAGTCCTGCAGAGGTTCTGTATGACAGGGACTTTTTAAAAAGCAGAGGTTGCAAACTTGCTTTGAGAAGGTCTGACTGAAGCGAGCAGCTAAGAAACATCGAAACAGCTTCTTTTTTTGCTGGCATTGTAATGAACTTGTACATACACTACGAAAACTTCCTAAGAGAGGAGCAAAGGAAACAAGTGGAATTCTTCCTGCTGAAGAACCCATTGACCAGAACTTTGTTTTTTTGTTTTTGTTTTTTTTTTTTTTTTTTGAGTGAACTTAACTGCTTCTTAGAGTTGAGAAAAGCATGATTAAAGAATTCCCACAGCCAGAGTAGAGTAGTGAGCAGAGCATTTGTAGTGCACTTGGGTAGTTTGACTTTGCCTCTTTTGTACTGTGAATTTTATAGCAAGATACACCAAGGTGGTTCCAAGGAAATAAAAGTGCAATCACTGGAAGTACACTTGTCAGATTTTTTCTTTTTTTTTTTTTCAGGACTGGTGCAAGATTTCCCTAAACTCCTGTTCTGTTTTATCCTAGGAATAAAGATGCCAAGTCTTTTTAACTTCTTAGATCACAGAGCTACTTCAAGAAAGGTTTTCCCGCTCATATGAATTTATAAATTAAAATTACCAAGCAACCTTTGTAATTCTGGGGTCTCCTCAGCTTTTTTACTAATGGTGTTTAGGGGTTCACTGATGGTGTAGAGGAGTAACACTTAGTTAATTCCCAAAGTTTTTCTACCAAGCTTCCTTCCAGCACTTGGAAAGCAGAGCACATCAGTGTTTTGCTGCCCCCAGACACACGTGGGGCATCTCAGCATTTGTCTCCAAAGTTAAAATTCAATTATGTTAATTTTTATCTTGCTTTTTAGAGAGCTGCACAAAAGGAAGGGCTGCCCCTCACCCCCTCCCCACAGCCCCACTGATGCCCTCAGAAAGAGTCCACTCACCCCAGCAGGGAGCAAAGTACAAGTGTCTGGATTCACTGGTCAAAAATCCATGGATTCTCTCAGTCCCAGTTTTATTTTGGCACGCTACAAAAATAAGAGGGGTTTTTATCCCTCAGTCTTTACAATATGGAAAGTCCATAATCCTTTGACATTAAAGGACTGTCTTCATTGTCCTTTCTAAAGGGTGATCCAAACCATCTGCTTTTTCAAGGAGAATCCTATTCCACAGGACACAGCTGGGAGTGAAGCTGCAGAGAGCCTGGAGCACCCCCTTCCAGCCTGGTGCATCCCCTGGCAAAGCTGCCAGCTTTTTGGGGGGATGTCAGGTGATGTGAGGATTCCAGGTACATGGTCATGTGCCTTAGGATTTCGGGTGGTAATTTATTTACAGCAATTCAGCACCACCTGCTGGCACGGGTTTTGGGTTTAAGTATTTTTAAAGGTGTGGTGGTTTGGTTTTTTTAAATGGTTTAATTTTTTTTTTTAGGTAGCTGGAATTTTTTCCACATTAAATCTGAGCCACTGCAGCTATTTTGGATTTGTGTAAAATGGAGGAGGGGTGTCAGCTCAGAATTAGGAGAGTGAAATCTGCAAAGGACATCACGTAGATGAACATTCTCTCCTGCCACCCTACAAAAGGGGAGCATTTTAGTTAGGACCTTCACTAATTTCTGTATTTCATACATATGAACCACCCTTCAAAGGTGACTACCAGCATTCCTGGGAGATTTCCAACTCCTACAAATCTCTCCTTCTCAATATCCCCCAACCAGTTCTTTTAATTCTCTGTCTCACCATCCTCACCTGGAAACACTGGCTGACATTCCCTGCAATTATTTCCTTCAGTTTATGATTTTAACTGCCCAATTCCTTAGTTACTTCCACAGGGATTACAGTTTTAGGGGACTTCTGCCAGCCTGTGACAAACATCCACTCGACCGCACTTTCCTTGCTTTAAATATCGATGATGACAAAAACTTCTGGCTTCTCATCTTCACAGATCTGCATTGCTGAGTAAGTGATGGCTTTGACCTCTGTGCCCTGGAAAAGAGACACAAACCTGGGGATTTTCTAAATGATATCCTTTGTCACAGTTCCTAACACACTTCCCTCAGGGTTTGCTTCTGGCAGTTCTTTAGGGGGGAAAAAAAAAGAGAAGGGAGAAGCCAAAACTGACGAAGCAAAAGGCTGAGCCAACAGTGTGAAACCCAAACCCACGTCCCCATTCTGAACACAGGTTGGTTTTCTGTGTTAGCAGCATCACAAAACCAAAGCCAACTGTTGAGTTTTGCCAGTGCTGAGGAAAAGTCAGGCTCAGGTCAACAGTTTCAGGAACACATTCATATAAAAAAAAAAAAACAAACCCAAAAGTTTAGTTCCTGTGATTCCACCTAAGCCACGTTTGTACTTGGATGTCTGGAGGACTCAAAGGTCTGATTTAAAAGATACCTCCCCCTCCTAAAGGGAAAAGATGGACAGAGGAGCCACTGCATACCTGTGGGTGTTTGCCTAAAGAGAACTCTTCTCCCCACCTTTGGAAGTAAAAAGAAAAGAGGTTGGAACTTTGGCAGCGTTTACCAAATGTTGTAATTAGTTTCACTGCTGAATATAGAACAGTGAGATTTTCACTTAAAGCCTCAAAGGAAACAAATAAAATAAAATAAAATAAAAAAAGCCCACCATCCACCTTGTAGATGATGATTTAAGCTCACCCAATGGATCTTATTTTGAACTGCATTCGGTCGATGTGAAGCACTTTCACCTCCTGCAGGAAGAGGGAGGGGAGAAATATTTCAGTCACACTTTCCACCACAGCCTGGACTTGTATTTGTCACATTCCTTTTTTTTCCCCCCCTAAAACACCATTTCTTTCAGAGCTGGTATTGCCAGGGAACAGCCTTGTCCTGCAGATGGAAAAAGGACCAAACCAGGACACTTACCCTGGGTACAAAGAACTCATTAGCACTGAATTTATACAGCCACTCATCCAGGAGGTGGAAGAGGAGAGACAACATGTCGTGTCCTGCGTGGTTGAAGCAGAGAAGTCAGTTATTGCCTCAGCAGGAACATCCAAGCATTTTTTAACAGGACATCAGATGTTCAGTTTATTAGGAGACTCAGATTAGCGATATTTAATTAGATTCAGACTTTTGGTACCTTTTTCCCCTCAGGTTTCATAACTCTCCCCATGAAAAGCTGAGACAGCCTCACCTTCTGCCTCTACCTCAACTGTATCCACGGGTTCCACAGTCTCTGTGTCCGTCATGTAGCCAAACATGGCCATGACACACTGCTCAAACGCCTCCTCCAAGGTGTCTCCCCAGGCATGGAGCCTGCAAGGAAGATGGGACAACTCATGTTTGCACTGTGACAAAGAGAATTTACCCCAGAGCAACATGCAGGTGAGCAAGCAGAACAGTGAGAGCGGGAGAATTGATGCAGAGGAGCTGAATGAACAAAAAAAGAAACCCAACTTGCTTTCCAGAAAGAGAGGGGTTTGTGAGAAGAGCTTCTCAGAATATGGAAAATAAATGTTTTAGAGCCACCAAGGAAATTCCACCTTGATGTGGCTCACTGATGTCTGCAAAAGCAAACTGGGCAGAAGAAATTTGGTTTAAAAGGGGTGAAAATGAGACTTCAAAGGACATTTCCAAATGACGCAGAGGCTTGGTGAGAAGCACCACAGGAATATCAGAAAAGAAACTAAACATGATTCTGTGTTCTCCCAAAAGCAGAAGCAAAGTTTACCACCAGAACACCCAGTGAGTGACATTTCAGAGTCCCACAGGGTGTTACGTCTGCAACCCGTCCTTGAGAATTACTCCAGACTTAGAGAGTGTAAGAAACAGTGAGTTTATCACAGGGAGGAGTCCCAGCTGCCCACACTTACTGCACATCTGCTGTGTGATCCAGATCTGAGGGGAAGCAAAAAGAGAAGCCATGATGCCACCAAAATTATGTAAAAAATAGGGATTATAAAGCACACAACCTCGATATCTGATTTTCTAACAAGAACTTTTTGCACTCATCCTCAGACACGAAAAATCTGCTCTGCAGTGCACTAGAAAATGTGATTTTAATTGATTTTGTGAGTGCCCTCTGTGTCCAGCTCTGTGTGCAGGGTTTGGCTGCTGTGACCCAACAAGGCTTCTAAGAGTTAACTGCAATAAAAAGGAAACTTTAACCAGGACTAAAAGAGTTCATGCTGAAGTCTGCAAGTCTGAAAATTATTCATGCAGAGGGTGAGACTTGCAAATATTTCCAGCTCAGTGAGGAAATACACCTGTCCACACCCAAAAAACAACACCCATTAGGCAGAGAGAAGAATTTAAAGTCTGTAGCATAAAACAGAAAGAAAACTTTACTAAGAAAGCATGATCAATGTGTTCTTGAGTTTTACATGAACATCATTTATATTTACTCAGAGGAATGAGAGAAATATGTCACAGCATCCCTGCTGTCAAATAAAGACCTGAGTGCCTCCTAAAAATGTAAATTGTAACGGAGGAACAGGCACAGTCCCTCCAGACAGACATGGAAAACACACAGGGAATGCTCTCCTGCCTAAAGTTGGCCCTTGGGCTGCCACCTACTCACCTGACATCCTCTCAGAAGACATTCCAGAGGTAGGGAAAGGAAGAGATAATGATCTTTGAGTAGAGCACGTAATTTATTTTCACCATGATTTTTTTAGCACCCAAAGCAAGAAAAGCATTTGTCTGTGATAAAGAAAATTGGAGAGCTCTCTCTCTCTATATATATATATATATATCCTGCTATTTTCTGTGCCCTCATGATTGCAGTGCCACACACACGCTGGATCAGGAAGTTACTATTTTAAAAATATATAGAACTATTTTATATATAAAATGTGTCTAATAGATAAAATATATAAACATATATGAGATATAAAAGACATAAAACAGTGTAGTAAACTTATAAAACATAAAATGCATAAAATATATCATAAGACCATATAGAATGTGTAGGACAAATTTTATCAGTATAAATACTCACATTCGTATTTCTTACAGAGTGGGGGGTATTTGGCCTTGACAGCCTTCTGCTCCTCTGTCAGGTTGTAATCCCTCTCGTCCGCTGCCATGGCCGTGGGATCCGACTGTCCCTCACTTCCTGGGGGTGGGAAACACGTCCTGGAGTGACTCAACCTGCTGACGCCGTGGAGAAGAGGGAAGAACTCCTCTCAGTTCAGCTTCTCTGCCCCGAGAGCGCTCTGGGAACGCTCAGCCACGGGCTCAGCTATTCCAGACGAGTCCTAAACACGCCACAAATCGTTTCGGTTGTTTCTGTCCCAGCTGGGAGGTGGGACAAGGTGGGAGCTCAGTCCCACAGCCCCAACAGTGCGTTCAGCCACGGAAGCCGAGGGATTACATTCCTTATGGAAATTAGCCCAAACGAAAACAAACAAACAAACAACCAAACAATGCAAATAATAGATTTATAGATATCCCCCTAACGTCCAGGCTGCTTTTCTTGTTCCAAGGTTTAGAAGCAAGGTACGGCATTTCCAACTTCGATTTTTTAGGTGTGTTGCAAAGAGAAGCCTGAAACTGAGGAGCTGGGGGCTCCTCTGGGGGAATAAACACAGGTATTTATTCGCTATTTGATATTTGCTATGCGATTTTAAACCTGTTGGCTGTGGATGGTGAGATCCCACGTTACCCTCAGCAGCCGATCAGAAGCAGCAAATATGACGCCTGTAAAGCTCACCGCCGCACCGAATCGTGTGGTGGGGAAAGGACATTAATGCCTATAGGTAATTAATTATTATAGGTAACTGATAACGAGCCGAGAATACCCGAAGGCGTCAGGGGCAGCCCTGTCGGGAGGGAGGGTGGGCCGCGCCTCGGCCCACACACGCACCGATCGGGTCCAGTCCCGCTCCCGCACGCTCCGCGGTGCCCGGAGATAACCGCTGTCACGGTTCTTCCCACTCGTGAACGGGGATCGCGAACCGGCAGCAGACCCCAAACCCACCGGCCCCCTCAGCGCGGGGGACGCGGCCCCTTTAAGAGCGCGCACGGGAATGGAGGGGGGGGTGGGAAAATGGCGGCTCCCGCTGAGGGCAGGGAGCCCCTCCCACGTGACCGAGGCGCGCGCTCGCGGCCCCGCCTCCCCTCCCTCCCGCGCCTCCGCCGATTGGTGGCGGCGCGGCGGCGGCCGCCGCTGATTGGGCGGCGTTGGCGCGCGAAGGGGCGCGCGCGGCGCCCGGGGGAGCCGCGCGCAGCGGGGGCAGGAAACAATAGGGACGGAGCCGCCGCCGCCGCCGCCGTGAGGGCTCCGAGCGCCCAGCGCAGCCACCGCCTCGCCCGCCCCGCGCCTCAGCCCCGCGCCCCGCCATGGCGGACAAGGAAGGTAAAGGCTCCCCGTGTGGGCGGCGCGGCCTCCGCCGGGAGGCGCCGGGTGTTCCCCCTCCCCCCCCCCTCCGCCGTTCCTCCTCGCGGCGTGAGGGGAGCGGGGGCGGCGCCGCCAGGGGGCGCTCGAGCTTCCCCCCCCCCCCCCATCATGGCCGCCGCCAACTCCCCGCGGCGGCGGCACCGGCCGGGGGGGTCCAGCGGGACCCTCCGTGCGCCCCCAGGAGCGGGGCTGTGAGGCCCCCCCGGTGGGGTGGGGCGAGCCGGGAAGGGCCGTGCCGTGCGAGGGGTGCGGGCGGTGCGGACAAAAGAGGTGTCGCCGGCCGTGCGGGGCCGCCCCCGTTCCCTGGGGGAGAGCCCCGGTACCGGGAGGCTGCTCCCGTTCCGTGGGACAGCCCCGTTTCCACGGGACAGCCCCGGTTCTGTGGGGCTGCCCCGGTTGGCGGGTGACTCCCCCAGGGCTGCCCGCCCACCTTCTCCACCTTCTCTCCTGCAGCGGAGGTTGGTGGCAGATGGGATGAGAAAATTGTGCGGGAGCAGCCAGGCGGCAGAAGGAGCCTTGGAAAACTGGATTTTTGGGAACTACCAGTTCCAAGGCTGCGCCCAGACTGGTCTGTTTAACAGCAGCTGGTGGGTGCCCTGCCTTTAAGCGTCGTTACACGTCTGGGTTTTGCCTCCCTGGTGCCCTGTGCGCTAAGATTTAGGATTTTATTGTGCTGCTTCTGACAGCATCATCATCCTTGAATCACCTCAGAATGGCTTGGGTTGGAAGGGAGCTTAAAGCCCATCCAGTGCCACTCCCTGCCATAGGCAGGGACACCTTCCACTAGCCCAGGTTGCTCCAAGCCCTGTCCAACCTGGCCTTGGACTCTTCCAGGAATGTAATTTGACATAGTTAATATTAATTTCGAGCCATATATCCAAAATAAAAGGGTTAGAATGCGCAACAGGGTATTTTTAATTATCTAATAATCAGCAGGGCATCCAACGGCAAACCAGGGCGTGATGTAGTTGGCTCTCATCCATTGCCTGCTCGTGGTGGTGTGTGTCTGTAAATACATTCATAAAGGCTAATTAATTGTGTGAATTTTTTTCAAAAACCCACTTCAGCAGCCTTTGATGATGCGGTGGAGGAACGTGTGATCAACGAGGAGTATAAAATATGGAAAAAGAACACCCCCTTCTTGTATGACCTGGTGATGACCCACGCCCTGGAGTGGCCCAGCCTGACTGCTCAGTGGCTTCCTGATGTCACAAGGTACACTGATCCTTTTGTTTTCTATTTGAAGCAGGATAAATAGTAAATCCAGGATCACCTTGTGTTAACGTCAGGCAGTGTGTGATTCCTTTCTGTCTTAGTAACCCCTGCCCTGCCAACAGCAAGTTGAGGACTCTCAGCACCAGAGATAATCAGCACAGTCGTTTTTAATATGGGAAAATATTTTCTGTTATTGAGAAGGATTTCTTCCCAATATCCCATCTAAACCTGCTCCTTGCAGTGTGAAGCCATTCCCCCTTGTCCCTCTCCATCTTTCCTGCAGGACATCTTGAGCTGTGACAAGCGATTTCCTCCACAGGAAGCAGGTCTTGTATTGGGCCAGGAAAATAAATCTGAAGGTCCTTATTCTGTCAGAAGCTGCAATTAAAAAAAAAAAAAAAAATACTATTGTGTGACCCCTGCTTTGTTCCCCTTCCCTTGCAGGCCTGAAGGCAAAGATTTCAGCATCCACAGGTTAGTGCTGGGCACCCACACCTCAGATGAGCAGAACCACCTGGTCATAGCGAGCGTGCAGCTGCCCAACGACGACGCCCAGTTCGATGCCTCCCACTACGACAGCGAGAAAGGGGGTAAGGGCTGCATTTCAACCTCATTTTCCTGCCCTTCCCAACGGAGAATTTGCCTTCTCCCAAAGGCCAGGCAGCAAGGTTAACTTTTACTTCTCAGCTGAACAATTACCCCTGTAATGGGGAGATTAATAAACAAGATGTGCCCCTTCATGGATAAACACTTTGGGGTTTTGAATGTATGGGATGTCTTAACAGTCTGATGATGAAAACAGAAGGTGGAGGCTCATTGCAAAAGTATTTTTGTCTGTGGGAAAGCTCACCCCTCCCTATTTCTCATCAGGAATTGACACTGAGTTCCACGCAGTGGTATTTTTACTGTCACTTTTGCACTACATGAACTCTTCCAGTGAGAAGTCATTCATGTAAAAGAATAACCTTATTTCAGTGGGGTGTAGCATTTCAAATATTCTTAATTTCTCTGACTTCTGCTGCCTGATAGCTGTGCCAGCCCCTGTTTTGTTATATTAATTTATTTATGTGTTGTTTTATTCAGTGTATCAGGCTGGAATTGGATGTTTCCTGTAACTTTGTGGCTGTCAGCACTGCCACAAGTGAGACATTTCTCCTGTTTACTTGACTGAATCAGCCTTTCCACCTGGTGAAAGTCCTTAATGATCCAATGTTTGCCCTGCTTTTTACAGGAAGTCTGGATTGTGCAATGAGTATTTTGATCTTTGGGGCCTCTTAAGAGTTGTTCACGAGCACAGTGTTGTCTTATAAACACTTGGTTTCTATTCTATTTTAGTATTTCTCAAAAATGCATTCTCCAGTTTAAAAACAAACCAAACCCCCCCCCTTTTGGCCAGAGTTGTGCTGTGCAATTTTGTGAAATACTAAATTACTGTGACTTTAGGTATAAAGATAAGGGAGCTTTAGCACGTTGTATTTCAGACCCAACTGAAACTTGATTTTACCAAAACTTGTCTGTTCTGCAGTCAGAGCTTGGCAGCACAGCAGTAACTGAGTCTGAATCCTCGTGTCTTGATCTGAAACCTAATTATTCACGACTCCTAAACTCTTTATTTCCAGAGTTCGGAGGCTTTGGATCAGTCAGTGGGAAAATTGAAATTGAAATCAAGATAAACCACGAGGGAGAAGTGAACAGAGCCCGTTACATGCCCCAGAACCCCTGTATCATCGCCACCAAGACCCCTTCCAGCGATGTCCTGGTCTTTGATTACACCAAACACCCTTCCAAACCAGGTGGGTGCTACTTTGTCCTCACATGCCAGCCAGCCCTTCCCAAATGAAAGCTTGGTGTGGTGACAAAGACCTTAAAAAGTTCCTTGCCTTGCCTGTCATTTGGGGTTTTAGGACCAAGTGGGTGTTTAATGTAAGGTTATTTTTTCTGAAGCTTCCAAAGGTAACCATGGAAAGATAAACCTTGTGCTTCTGCTGGTTGTTTTGTCACCTCACTGCGTGTGGTGATGTTTGGAGGGGGGGGTAGAAGGTGGGGGTTTTTTTGGAAGCTGTGATTTATTTGATGGGTAGCTGAGCTGTTCCCCTTGATATCCTGTAGAGATATTAACCTATGAACTCATCAAAATTGTATAGAGCAAATAGTTTTGCCACTTGTGGGGAGGATCAGAAGTGTTTTTGGTAATTTAAAAGTGCAGTTACAGGTGATGAGGGAAAGGAAAACATCAGCCCAGCAGTTTAGGAGGGGGTTTTGGAGCAGTAACAGATGAGCTGCTCTCCCTTCATCCAGCTGGACCAGGTGCCTCAGGCCAAAGCACAGAGAGGTGGCTCCTGGGCTGCTGAAAGTGGCACAGCAAAGTTTAGTAAAGCACCAGTAAAATTTAAAGCAGGTGTTGCAGGATGTGCTGGAAGTGCCAGCAGGCACTGGAGTTCTTGCACTGTCTCCTTACAGATCCTTCTGGGGAGTGTAACCCTGACCTGCGTCTTCGTGGGCACCAGAAGGAGGGTTATGGGCTGTCCTGGAACCCCAACCTCAGCGGGCACTTGCTCAGTGCCTCTGATGATCATGTGAGTACTTGGAACAGAGCTGAGCTCCAGCCTGCCCTTCGTGTGCCCTGGGAAGGCCACAAATCTTCTGGGTTTCAGGGGGAGGGAGGTGAAGAGATCACCTGTCTGAGGAGGTAATTCTTTGACTTTTCTGTCGTTTCAAAGACCATCTGCTTGTGGGACATCAGTGCTGTTCCAAAGGAAGGCAAAGTGGTGGATGCAAAGACCATCTTCACGGGCCACACGGCAGTGGTGGAAGATGTATCCTGGCACCTGCTCCACGAGTCCCTGTTTGGATCCGTCGCTGACGATCAGAAGCTCATGATGTGAGTGGGGGAACCTCTTCCCAGCCCAAGTGCTTTCCTGTTTGCTCCTCAGTCCCTCGGTGGAATGGGATGGAAACCTTTGTTTCAACTCCCTGTTTTTTCGTTCCCAGCTGGGACACTCGGTCAAACAACACCTCCAAACCCAGCCATTCCGTGGATGCTCACACAGCTGAGGTCAACTGCCTTTCCTTCAATCCTTACAGCGAGTTCATCCTGGCCACGGGATCAGCTGATAAGGTACATCCACCTTGACCTTGGAACGTCCCTGTCCTGTTTCTGTGACTGTGACTGTACATGTTGGTTACTTCAACTAAATGTGTTTTTATATTTTTTTCACAGACTGTTGCTCTGTGGGACTTGAGGAACCTAAAACTGAAGCTGCACTCCTTTGAATCACATAAAGACGAAATATTTCAGGTATAACAAAATGTCTTTCATGCACATAGACTTGGGAAAATAGTCTTTTCCACTCTGTTAAGGATACTTTCACTTTAAAACTCATCCTTTTCTCTCATCTGCTTATCATTTTCTGGGTTGTTGTTGTGGGGCTGCAGAGCTCCAGTACAGAGAAGAGTGTCCAGAAAGCCAGACTGGGAACAGGGTTAAAGCTCTGGGAGCTTTAACCACAGCAGAAGGATGAAATGGTAGCAGTGCAGGGTCCATTAAATTATTCATGGCAGCAGATTGAAGCAGGAGGCCCCAGTGAAATGGCTGCAGTGTTTCCATCTCCTCAGCCTGCTCCTGCAGGAAGGTTTAACTGCTTCCCCTTAACGGGATCACCAGAACCTCCTCTGACAACAAACAACTGCTAATTTTACTGGGGTAAATATAGAATGTTCACATCGTGGCTGGCACGTGCTTAGCAGATACAATATTTCCATCTCCAGCCCTTGCCTTAATCAGAGGGGAAAATATACAGAGATTTTTTTTTTTTTTGGTGGGAGGATTATCAGTTCAGACTGTAGTTATGTCTAAATAAAATGACACAGGGAATCCTGAATGCAGTGTGCAGGATTCTGTGTTCTTTTCTAATCCTGTGATCCTATTAGGTGGTGGGGTATTTTTTATTCTGGTTTAGTTTGGGTTCTCACAGAGACACAAAATGAAGTGGTGTTTGTTGTCCATGTCACGTTACAGCTTCCTAAAACTTCCTTTTGAATTCATCCTTGTCTGCAGGTTCAGTGGTCTCCCCACAATGAAACCATCCTGGCCTCCAGTGGCACGGACCGCAGGCTAAATGTCTGGGACTTGAGGTAAATCCCAAATTACTCCCATTGTCCCCACAAAATATTCTTGATTAATTGCCTCACACCTTAAAAAACCAAACCAACCCCTAATTTTCTTTTTTTTGTCCTCCTTTTTATTTCACAGTAAAATTGGAGAAGAGCAATCCCCCGAAGATGCTGAGGATGGGCCCCCAGAGCTGTTGGTGAGTCTTTTCAATCTCATTAATTGCTTTGACCACTCACTCACTTTTGGACAGGGTGGATTTGTAACCACTCCCCTTTTTGTTTCCCCCACTCTAGTTTATTCATGGTGGTCACACTGCAAAGATTTCTGATTTCTCCTGGAATCCCAATGAGCCCTGGGTCATTTGTTCTGTATCAGAAGATAATATCATGCAAGTCTGGCAAATGGTGAGTTGCTTGGGAGAGTGCAGGGAAGTGGCAGGTTGAAATGCCTGGATTTCAACATTCCTGCTCTCATTTGCAGCTCTCAGGAGTTACTCATTTTTGTAGCACTGCTGAAATCTCAGAGGGGCAGTAGAAACCCCCTTTAGCTTTGGTCAGAACAATGGTTTCCAAATTCTCAGAAACTGGTTTGTATTTAAAAAAAAAAATACATGAAAGGAAGTGCTGGTGCAAGAAGGAAATTTTTCCCTTCTGTGCTTGAATGAAAACAGTGTGTGAGAACCAACTGAGGAATAAAACCTTTGTAGATGATACAAATGCCCTCCTGAGGATGGAGAACAGGAACAGTTTGCTGCATTCCCAGCTGTTGAAGGTTTTGGAAAACAATCTTGACCTTTCACAAGACCATAATCCTGTTTGTTTTTTGTTTTTGTTTAATTTACCTGTAGATTTTATTCTTGGCAGCTTTCCATGGACTTCTTTTGGAAGGTGCAGCTAAGCAGAGGATTTACTAAATACACACCAGTGTGTGACCTCTGCTTTAACAAGGCATATTCCTAAACTAAAATAATTTAGGGGAAACTTGGGAAATGTTTTGAAGACATGGGCTCTTGTGGATAAGGTCACTTGTGTTGCTGCTTTGATGGTAAATGATCTTGGGACCCAGGGGGTGGGTGATAACATATCTGCAGGTGAAAAACTGCCTTTGGAGGGTGTGGAATCCTGTCCAGAGCAGTGGGAAACGCTCCCTCAGTCCCTCCATCCCTGTCTTGCAGGCTGAGAACATCTATAATGATGAAGATCCCGAAGGAAGTGTGGATCCAGAAGGCCAAGGATCCTAGATGACAACTTTTTTCCTCTTTCTAGTCTGGTTTTTTTTTTCTCCTTCTCTTCCCTCTCGACCCTCATATTGACTTAACACTGGTTTTGAGACACACGTAGGCTTTGTGTTCAGCCATCCATCCTCCTGTAGGTGCCATCCCAGGCTTCTTCACCCAGACAGCGAGTACCCACCCCCCAAAAAGGGCTCAGCCCCCTCAGCCAGGTCTGTGCTGTAGCTCCTTGCTCAGAATTCCTGCAGCAACCTCTCGTGTCGGGCTGGCTGGCCCATTTTAGCTGCCTTTCATCGCACAGCAAGCTTGGGTTTGGTTTCTTTCCTTGCTCCAGCCACGGGCTTTTTCCTAATTTAAACAAAAGTGGAGCTGGCAGAGCTGCCCAGTGGGCTTGAGCCAATAGGGATGATACAAGTGTTAATCCACTGGCAGCTCAGAAATGGTGTGGAAGGTCCTGGCCTCCTCAGTGCCACTCAACAGCCTTGGAATTCTTGTAGTTATCTGTACCTTGTGGGTTTTTCTGCCTTTGCAGATGCAAAACAGACTTGCAAGTTCTGACTTGAACTGAAACTTCTCTGGTTTTTTCTCTTTTTTTTTTTTAATTTTTTTGTTTCTCCTGGCAATTCTGGGCTGTTCATTCCTTCCTTCCTGTCCCTTTTCTCCCACCTGCTGGGCCACAGCAGTTGGGATTCTTTAGCTATTCCTGCAGAGAGCATCCTTCACACACCTTCCACCAACATGTTCTGTTTTTTTTCTGGCACTATTGTGTGTTTCTAGAGCTGTGTTTTTTCACATGATGTTTCTTTCCTTTCTGTGAAATGGTTTTTTTAAGACTTGGGACCCCCAAGTTGTGAAAGGTGTTTGTTTGTGCCAGCGGAACGGCCCTGCCCGGCGCCCTGAGCGGCGCTGGCAGCTGGGTTGGAGCAGATGAAATGTGGATGAACTGCTTTTTTTTAGGAGTTAGTCCTTGACCACCGGTCCCTGCACGTCTTCCACTCGGGTGTCCCGTGCCACCAGCAGCCTGTTACTCTCCATCTCCTCATGACTAATTGAGTGTTGAGTCCTTCAGTCAGAATAAAGTTTTTCTACGTAAAACTTTGGGGAGAGTTCAGTGCTCTTTTCCTCCTGCCTTTTCTACTTTGTCAGGGTGAGGTTGGACCTGTTCAGGGAGCAGGGAGAGGAAGGGGGGGTGTCCCACGAACCTGGATGCTGGGATAGATTTTTTTTTTTGTTTTTTTTCCAGTTTTCTTTGTGGAACGAGTCAATGAGCACTTAAAATCCTCAAGCAGCCACCAAGGGCACTGAGCTGTTCCTTCCCCCCCACCCTCAAGCCTGTCTGAATTCTGGCTCTGCCTTCAGCCCTTGCCACAGAGCTTGTTTTTGTTAATCTGCAGCATGAATAGTCAGATACAAACACCCAGGTTTGGACACACAGAACTTGGGATTTGGAGACGCAGCTTTGGGAATGAAAAGGCTCCTTAAACTCTGACCTTTATTTTCAGTGTGAGACTCGATATAAAGTGGAAACCTCTTACCCACCACCTCGTTTCTGTGGGGCACATCCCAGTACAGCAGAGACCCTTGAAATACAAAAGAAAATCCTGTTCAAAGGATAAAGCTTCTCTTGCATGTAAACTTTTTAAAAGTCAAACCCCCCTCTCCCTCAGAACTCTCTGTGCAGGTTTGAAACAGTTCCATTGATGGGACAAGACACGTTTTCCCCAAACACAGCAAAACATAAATCTGTTATTCCTCATCCATGTCCATTGTTTTCAGTGCAAGGATTGTTTGCTCTGCTCCTCTGTGGAAAAGCAGTTTTTGCTACATGAGCAGCAGCAGCAGCACCTGGAGAAACACACCCAGGGAAAGGACTGGGTGCTATTCCCGACTCCAGGCAGCAGCTGCGCTTCAGGCAGGATAAGCAGCACGAGGAGACATCCCTTGTTAGATCCTCTGTCCATTGTTTTTGCTACAAGGAGGAAAATTCCACGGTTCTAACAGTCCTGGTCTGCCTTTTCCTCTGATTTGCAAAGGTGTCCATAGATTTCCAAGCAGCTCCTGTAAGGGAGGAAGGAAATTTCGGTTATGGAATATTTACACAAATGGTGCGTGGTCTTGGGGGCGGGTGGGCCTGGCCCAGCCCTTCCAGAGCCCTCCACAAACTCCAGGATGTTTTCTGGAGCTTTGGAAAATCCCAGCAACAGGGTTGTGAGCAGAAGGCAGTTTTCTCCCGCTGGAGAGCATCCACAGCACCTTCCCAAACCTAAACCTCTGCTCCTTTCCACGTATCCCTGAGGAAAACACCACTTAAGTTGCCACACCTGCTTCTTGGGAAGCCACTCCTCGCCTCTGCGTGCGGGAATTTCCAGCAAATCCCCATTTGCTGCTTGGCAAAAAGGGGCTGGAGTTCCTGCTGAGCTGCCCCACCTTGGTCCCACACCAGCCGTGTCCCCAGCAGCAAAAACCCGTGGTGTCCCACAGCTGTGTGACCCCAGACTCTTCCCCACCACCCTCCTCCTCTTCCCAACTCCTCTGCTCCGCAGGGATGAGACACCAACGCACTTGTAGATGGAGAGCTCCCTGTGGAGGCTCGTCCTCAGCTCCTCCAGCTCCTGGTTCTTGCGCTGCTGGAGCTGCACCCCGTTCTTCAGCTCCTTCAGCCTGTCTTCCAGCTCCTCAACCTGCTCCTGGTGGAGGGGGGAGAAGACAAGAATGGATTAGCTGGAGGAGGAAGGTGCACAGCCAGGCTGACACTGCCCAACCACCCCCTTTTAAAATCCTCTGCAAAAAAAGCTTTGTTTGGTTACAAAGGTGGGAATTTGGGATGTGCTTTGTCCTTAGGCTTCTCCCAGCTGCTTGGGTTTGTCCCCTCAAACTGCTCAGTGTGTGTTTTGAGAAGCTACCAGAACTGTAAAAACCCATGAGTCAGAAGGAGATAAATGAGGGATTAGGGAAAAGGAAAACGTGGAGGCGCAGCAGGGATGCTCCCAAGTCCTGTCCCCCAAGGGACAGAGGTCCCTGAGATCCAAGGCAAGCCGTGGCACAGGTGCTGGTGGCCTGGTCCCCATTCCAGCAGGGAGGAGCTGCAATGGAAGGGGAATATCAGTTCCAGAAACTGCTGGGAGCCAGGCTGGGAGGAGGCAGCGCCTGCGAGCCGAGAACAGAGAGTGTTGAAAGGGGGGGAGATTAATTGTGGAGCCTCTTTGCCAAATGTGCTCTTGCAGATATTGAATTGCCCTGTCCCTCAGGCCAAAGTGCCGGGGGGGAAAGGCCTGGCCCAGCCAGAAATAACCCTCCCAGGAGGCAGCTCAGCCCATGGGCTGTGGGCATGGGAGATGGGACCCTTCCTGGCAATGGGAAGGGCAGAATTTGCCCCAGCAGGACTGGGTTTTTAAGAAAAGCCACACTTATTTAAAACTGGCTTTTCCAAGAGCCTTGGCCCAGCCCTGGGTGGGAAATGTGGGATGCCTGTGCTCAGCAGCACCTCTCAGCTCTGGGAAGGAACCCTCCAAGCCCTCCACCTCATCCCTGCTCGCTGGGGCCATTTCCAAGAGGCAGGCCAAAACCAAGAGAGAATATATTCAGGAGAAACCTATTTTCCAAGCTGGCTGAAGCCCCAGAAGTTCCCCAACCACATCCCTGGGTTTGTCTTACGCCCAGAGGCTGCTGCTTCGTGCCAGCCCAGTGGGGGATAATTTTGATTCCACCCAGCAGGAGATATTCCCCATCTTCCCCCTCCTCATCCAGCCCACTCCTCCCCTTTTGCCCTACGTGCAAGACCTGCAGCTCCCTCATTTCCCTGGCTGCAAAGAACCATCCCCACTCCGCCAGAGGAGGGTCGTGGGGTGCTCGCCGGGGGCACGTACCCGGTACTGCCCGACCTCCTCGTCCCGCTTCTGCTTGACCAGGACGATCTGCTCCTCCAGGCTGCGGTTCTGCAGCCTCAGCCGGCTGACCTCGCCCTGCAGGGGCCTCAGGGCCTCCTTCATGCCCTGGATCTCCCCCTGCATCTCCTGCAGCGCCCTGGCCCCGGCCTCGCGCCGCTCCAGCAGCCGCAGCAGCTGCGGCTCGTAGTGCTCCTCCAGCCCCCGCCGGCTCCGCGCCACGAAGCTCTCGAACTCCACCGACAGCCGGCGGCTCTCCTGCAGGTACAGGTTGTCCTGCCGGCACGGCGGGGCCTCCAGGCGCTGCCTCAGGGCCTCCTTCTCCTTCTCACAGGTCTCCTTCAGCTGGGACAGCTCCCCCGAGAGCTGCCCGGCCTGGCTCTCCAGCTCGCCCTGGTAGGCGGCGTGCTGGGAGAGGTCGTGGCGCCGGCTCTCCAGCTGGTACTGGCAGGCCACGCACTCCTTGGTCACCCTGAACAGCTTCTGCTTGATCTGGCGGATCTCGTCCCTCAGGTTGTCCCTCTCCAGCTCCACCTTGGCCAGCAGCCTGCAGGCCGCCTGGATCTCCTCGTGGGCGTGGCGGATCTCCTGCAGCGCCGGCTCCCGCAGCCGCGCCAGCTCCGCGATCAGGCCGTCCCTCTCCTTCTCCAGCTGCTCCACGATTTCGATGCACTCTTGGAAGTAGTTCCCCAGCTCTTCCAGGGTCAGGCACTGGTGTTCTGTGGTGTCTGCATCCAGAGGGCTGCCTGCTCCCTCTGCATCCATGTCCAGCGGAACCCCTGCCCTGTCTGTGTCCATGTCCAGTGGGATCGCTGCTCCATCTGCATCCTCATCCAGTGGGATCCCTGCCCCACCTGCATTCAAGTCCTGTGGGATCCCTGATGCATCCTCATCCACTGGGATCCCTGTCCCACTTGCATCCACATCCAGTGGAATCTCTACTCCATCTGCATCCATGTCCAGTGGGATTCCTGTCCCACCTGCATCCACGTCCAGCGGGACTCCTGCCACGTCCACATCCAGTGGGATCCCAGCCCCGGCTGCATCCACGTCCAGCTGGGTCCCTGGCACGTTTAGCTCCAAGGAGGTGTCCCTGCTGGTAGCCTGCAGCTCCTGGCTGGAGCCTGGGCTGCCCCTGAGCAGGGGTGTCACCCCCACGCCCCCTGATGGGTCTAACGGGCTGTGTGGATGGTCCGGGTGTGGAGCAGCTCCTGCAGCCGCTCCCTGAGGGGCTGAGGATGCTCCAGCTTCATCCAGCTGCAGCTCTGGAGGGGGCTCGGGCTGTGCCATCATGTCCCTGGAAGAGAGAGGAGAAGATGTGAACCAGAGCAATGAGTGTAACAGGTCTCAGCCTTTCCTCCCACCCTGTGAGACCCCCGGAGCAGGCAGAGCTGGGGGGCTGCATCTGTGACCACCCCATGTCACCCACAGGCTGCACAGACTGGGCAGGGCTGTGCTCAACGTTCTGGTGACAACTTGGACCCCAGCTGTCCGAAATAAGGGAAGAAATCCCTCCTAAAGCGACCGACTGCCACGGAGGGATGCAAACCCAGCCCCCAGACCCAAGAGCAGCTCCGGTGCCAACGGGAACAACCACCGTGTCCCGGCCAACCTCCCCGGCGGCACCGGCGCGACCGGTGTGAGCACTCCCTGTAAAACTTCCCGCGATTTCAACCATGTGGCATAACCTCACGGCACGGGAATGTGCCGCTGAAGCCCAGGCAGGCTCCGGGGTGGCTGAGGTGGAGCAAAGCCCGCGCACACACAGCTCCGGGCCAGCGGTAGCGTCTGCAGCAGGAGCCGCTTTGCAGAGTCATCCGATCCCGGCATTGTCCCCAGGCGCGGTACCTGCGGCTGCCACCGCCAAATCCTCGGTCTCGCATTCGCCCGGGCGCTGTTTGGGGTAGGATGGAGAAAACAACCCCCAGGGACGAACCGGGGCTTTTCCTGCTGCTCCCGCGAGCCGGGGCCGGTGGGTTCGGCGGGAGGATGCTCTCACCTCCCGGCCACGCCGCTGAGCTCATGTCTAGTCATTCCCTAAGGAATGAGCACAGGCTGGCACTCACAGGCAGCCCTCGGCTCGGAGCAACGGCTTTAAGGAAAGAACTGATTTTCACCGATACTTTCTCTCCTAATAAGGCAGTTTTCGGCACTGATGACACATCGCAGCCTCGGACTCAGCGGCCGGCGGCTGGAGAGGGGGCAGCGCCTGGAAAGGTGGGGAAAGGGCTCCTCCGCTTCGTTTTTCCTTGCCCTCCTCTGTGCCAGCCCTTATTTTTCAAAGTTCTCGGCTCTGCTTTGAGTGGGCAGGGCGGGAGGGGAGGACGCAACCCTGCCTTCCCAGCGGGGCGTGGGGGCTCGCTGCCACCCGCCACCCCTCATCCCAGGGCACCCCAGAACTCCGGGGTACCCCAGAGGGACCACCCGAGGGTCTAGAAATGGTGAACCTCAGATCCCCCCACCCCCAGCCCTGCACCCAAGGCTCTGGCAGCCCCCTCGCCTGCCCCACGCCCCCAACCTCACCTCGGATCCCGCACCCACGGGACCCTCCAGTGGGGGGAACCAGCCCCTTCCCTCCCAGCCCGGGTGGGCTCTTACCTTCCTCCCCTGGAGCCCAGCGCCTCCGGCTCTGCACTGCACATGGGCTTAGCATGGGGCGGGGGGGGTTATTAATAAACAGGACTGGAAATCAGACTCCCCGCAGCAGCCGCTTCTCCGGGCCACCGCCTGCAGTGCCAGCTGCGGGCGCTGCCTTCCTCCGCCCCGGGGAGGAGGAGGAGGAGGGCGGGGAAGGCCAGGCTGTCTGCATCCCTGGCAGAGGCAGCCGCAGGGCCCGGCTGCAGCCAGCCCTCATCCCCAGGGAGCAGCCCCCGCAGCCCCCCACCCGCTCCGGCTGTTCCCACCCACGATTTATGGGGGAGCTTTGTTTGGTGCAGCCTCGAGGCGCCCCCCTTCCCGCGGCTCTTTCCTGGGATCCGCAGGTCCCCATCCTGCCGGGGTCCTGGACAGGATTGGGAGCAGCTGGGATGGGGATAGTGGGGTGCCCAGGAGGGGTCCCCTGGGGCTGTGGGGGTTCATGTGTGATGGAAGGGGAAATGCCAGAGGATGCAAACGCCAGGGCCTCATCCTGCACACGGAGCGGGGTGTGTGAGGGTGCTGGGAGCACAGTGCCACAGTCCCCTCGGTACTGATTATCAGTGTCTTAAACACCAGTATCTCAGGATTCTTTAGATGCCCCTGCAAACACTCCAGTAACGGCAGAGTGCGGCCTCCGCTTCCCCTTCCGCCCACAACCCATCCCTTTTCCCTCTGTTTTGGGGATGGAGAAGGTGGTGATTCACTCTGCAAGGCCCCATGGTGGCCATGGTCACACTCCTGGGTGTGCACCAGTGATTCTGCCATCACCCTGCCCTCACTGACTTGGTTTCCCACCTCTGCCCACCCACCATCCCCCCAGCTCTGCCCTCCCACCCCCATCCTCCCCGCTCTGGGGATCCGAAACCAACCCTTTGGCTGTCACACCACCAGCGTGTCTTCACATAAACCACACATTTTAGGTACAAATTACCGAGCTGGCACGGGTGCATCAGCCCCCTTGGCCTGCCCACCCCTCACGGTGTTGCCCCCAGATCCTACCTCGGCCCACGCCCGCTCCCGCCGCGCTCAGGAAGTCGGCACTCGCCTCTCAGGAAGTCACCAGCTTTACGTGCCCCAAAATCACCCAGCAACGCTCACCACAGCTCGCACCACCACCCCGTGCCACCTCGTGCCACCCTGTGCCCGCGTCACCCACACCTTGCCCGTGGCTCGCTGGCCGCCGGGCTGCCGAAATCAGGTTTAAAATAACAGCGCCCGTCCATCCTTCGGGAACAGAGCTTTAAAAGGAAAAGGGAGATTTCAGTGGGTTTGTTTTAGTTTTTTTTTTTTCTCTCTCTTTTTTTGGATCCCGTTGCTTTTTTCAGCACGACACACCTTCTCTTTCTCTCTCTTCTCTTTCCATGAAGCGCCTCTATTTTTGACTCAATCGGAGAGGAATGCTGTTAATTCGCACAAGTTGGGTGTATAAATATCTACCCAGAGCCGAAACTGCCAAGGGGGGAAAAACCTGCACGTGGCGTGGGCCGGGTCCAACAACCCCTTGTAGGGGCTGGAGGGGACGATGGCAGCGGGCGCCGGGGGTTTACGTGAGGAGCCGCCAAGGGCAGGGTGGGGAGTGAAGAGGCTCAGCTGTTCCGTGCTCCGTAAGCGGATACCCCGGCCCAGGCCCCGGCACGGGGATGTTTTGTGGATATAACCAGGCAACGGGCAGCTCCGGTGTCACGGCCGGACCCCGAAGCGCTCGGCAGAGCCCGGCGGGCACGGGCTGGGCTGCACCGAGCAGGGAGATGCCGTGGGCGGCCAACAGAGCGGACTTTGCTCCGGCAAACAGAGCTGGAGGGGAGTTATCAGCGCTGCCAGAGGGGAAGCAAAAGGCAGGAGGGAGCTCGAGGGAGCTTGAGAGACGGAGTGTTCCGGCTGCTGGGATAAACGGCCAACACGAGTGGCTGAGGGGGGGTCGTGGGGAGCAAAGGGCAGCTGGAGGGCACTTCACCTGCCCTGCAGTGACCTGGGGCTGTGTCTGCCTTCCTGCTGGATTTTTCCTTCATGCACACCAAGATCCGCCCCCAGGGCAGGCACGGGGCTGGCACTGCGGCGGCGTCACCTCCCTGGCACCACCATCTCAGCATCGCCACCGTGGCACTGCCACGGCAAGCGCTGGCTCTGTCCCCGTGCTGTCCCTACACAATCTGTAGGGACAGGCTGGAAGTGCCAGGGAAGTTGCCCACCTTTGGGGCCTCCTCAGCCAGAGGCTCTGGCAGTGCCTGGGGCACTGTGGGGTGTCCAAGCTGCCCAGATCCCGGTGGGAATAGGCAGCAGTGATCCCGGGTGGTACTGCCAGAGCAGTGCCCTCGCTCCCGGCTCTCCCTGGCTCTTGTTTGCCGAGGGCACGAGGACCAGGAGAGCGGTGCCAGATCCAACCTCTCAGAGCAGGACCTGCAATCTGATCCCAGGGGAAAGTGTGATTCATGGCTGGAGCTGGGAGCACGTCCAGGGATGGATCCTGGCTCGGAGGGCAGCGGCACCGTGTGCCCACCCTGCCCTCACACATTGGCCCCTTGTCCCTGGCTGGGTGGGGGGGTCCCTGGGTGATGCCATAGTGGCAGTGGCTGTGCTGGATGCCACCCAGGCTGGGTGGGTTGGATGCCACTGGACCCTTGGGAAAGCCCGGCTCACTTTGCCTCCTGCCTCAGAGTGGCCCCCCTCCCCTGTGACACGGGGGTGACACTGTGGGACCTGGGCCAGGATGAGCACTGTGGCTGAGTCCTGGGAGTACCTAGGGGCTCATCACGCACCCACCATGGACCCATCTCAAAATTCCCAGTGCACCAGCCCAGGCAAGGAGGCCCAAGGCTGATCCTGGAGAGGGAGGTGAGGTCACCCAGCAGGGATGGAGGAGGAGGAAGAGGAGCAGGAGGAAGAGTGCAGTGTAGGCACGAGCCCAGCTGGGGCAGGGGTGAAAGGGAGAGCCCAAAGGCGCCGTCTACTCCACAGGGACCTTGGGAGCTCTGTGGGAGCAGGGCCAGACTGTGTCCCTGTGCCACAGGCGCCAGCGGCTCCCACTTATCTGGGTGCTGGGTCCTGCTTCCCCTGCAGACAGTGAGATGAGGAAAGCACCATCCCTGCCACGGCTGCTCCCAAGGGATACACTGGCTCAGCCAGCAGAATACAGCAGGGTCAGATGGGGGGTCTGGCTGCAGGGACTGAGCACCAAAATCCCCACCAGCACAGACAGTCCCACGCTGTGCCCCTTCAGCCTTATCTTTGCTCAGCCCAGACACTGGGATTAAACATCTGCCTCAAGGCTGCCTGTCCTGGCAGCTCCCATGGCAGCTCCCCTGGCACCCCAGTGTGCCCACGTGCCTCCCCTGCCACCCTCAGGGGGATTCCACACCCCAGGGCTGGGGCTGCCACTGCCAATCAGCCCCACCACGCCTGTTCCAGCCCGTGGGGTGCTTATGGGGCAGATCATCTGATGTGTCCGTGACATCCCACACCCTGGGCAGCGAGGGCATGCTGATGTTCCTGAAGGTTCTTCCCTTTGGGTCAGGATGCTCACACAGGAGGAGGAGGTGCCTCTTGTGGCCACCCAGCCAGGACACCAGAGACACGGGTGATGCTCCCGGGCTGTGACAGAGCTGTCCCTTCCAGCACTGGGATTCAGGCAGGGAGTGACCGCTGCTATTTATTCCTCCCATCATCCTGTGCCTGGCACCTCAGCAAGGAGCCTTCACTCTTCCCACGACATTTACATCCTGGACATCCTTTTAAACTCCCCGTTTCCACAACTGAGCCGATTTTCAGCATCACAACAGCCAGTCCCCTCATCATCCCAACGATTGCTGGCGGGGTCACTGCCACCTGAGCGCTCTCGCTGGGTTTTTCCATATCCTGGGGCAAGAAACAGAGAGCAGGAGCTGCAGCTCTGATTCCTGCAGAAGGGGTGCTGAGGGAGCAGCTCCCACAGCGGGTGCAGTGGGGTGGGAAGCGGCACCCACGGGGCTCAAAGGGGCCGGGGTGGATGAGGGAGGACCTTGTCCCAGCCACCTGTGTGTGACAGAGGCGTTAATGAGTAATGAGGGAGCAGCCAGGGCTCGGTGTCCTGGTCAGGGGATGGAAATGGGGGCAGAGGATGGCTGAGCACACCCCAGGGCACCGGCTGTGCCGAGGCCGTGCCGTCCTGGCACGAGGGGCAGGAGCTCCCGTGGCTGCTGGGGCACGTGATACCAGAGCAGGAGCTGACGTGTTTTGTCACCCTCAGGTGCCACTGGAGATCTCAGTTCCCAGGGATCAGACACGGGGTGCTCCTGGGGACACGGCAGCCTCTCTGCCTCCCCTGCCCTGTGCCTGGATCTCCCAGGAGCTGAGCTCCAGACAGCTGCTCTCCCCATGAGGCTCCTGGTATCCTGTACCCAGCTGGGTACCCCACACACTGCTGGCCCTGGGGCTGACTGAGAACAGGAGAAGCTTTCCAGGGCCCTGCATGAAGGGCTGGTTCTTTAGGAAGCTCCTGGAACTTCCTTCTCCTCTAGGACTGGGACTGTAAGAGAAGGAAGGAGGAAGGCAACCATCCTCTTCACCTTCCTCCTCTCCTCTCCTCTCCCCAGAGGGTAACCAATACTCTCCCTCTCACTGTGATTATTTGGAGCCCCAGCTTTCCTGCAGGTATCACCCTGGATTTGGCGCTGCCTCCCCATCCCGGGTCACCGGTGCCACTGGGATGCTCAGCCCACGGGCCACGTGGTACCAGTGCCTGAGTCCCACAGGAGACAGCAGTGAGCTGGGAAGCCTGTGGATGCTTTATAAATCCTTCTAGTCATTTCCAGCGGCTGGCAAGCTCCTCCGGGCACACGGCCAGGCCCTTGCGAGCGTCCGGGAAGGATGCGGCTGAAACGCAGCCGTGCAGCCTCTCACAACAGGAAGCTCGGGGACCCAAACCCCTCGGAGCCAGGAGCATGGAAACGCAGCAGAAACCACCTGGGTTCCTGGTTAGGATCGTTCCCCTGGTTTTGCCACATGTCCTGTCACTGGCCCGCTCACGGCCGGGATGTGCTGCCGCTCCGGCCCACGTTCTGGTGCATCCTCTTGTCCCCTCCCAGCTGGATCACAAAATCATGGGATGGTTTG